CAAAATCAAAAATATAAATTTATTTCAGTATGGTATGGTTTTGTGATGTATGCTGAATTACAGAAACACAGATGGTCTCCATCTTTTAAGCAATTTGGACGATTTGAGTTTTGTAAATATTTGCCAATATTCATATCTCCTTTATAGTGTTCTCAATTTTGTTTTGGGGGGAAAAATCGGACGCTTATTTGATGCACTTACCTCAGCAGATACTTCACATCATAAAAATGTTTATTATGTGCCTGCCCAGAAAGTTAACTTTAATCCAAATTTTATTTGTTGCAATTACCGTAGATTTTGCTTTCTTTTTTATATAGCTCATATTAAAATGTATCTTATTTTCCAGAATGGTGAGGGAGGGAGGGGAATGAGGCATCAGCAATGTTTGAACTGGAGCTCCCAACCTCATCCCTCCCAGTAAGCAGCCGTGATCCTGTTGCCAGGAAGCTATTGCTATGGCTCTGCCCACCGCCAGGCAACGCACTGCTGTGTTGCCAATCTTATTTTTGAAAGTGGTTTTCTTTTAACAATGGGAGAGGAAGAAGTGCATTTTCTTTGGTTCTGTTTGCTAAAAGAAATTTAGCATCTCTGCAATATGCTAATTTCTATCATTTAAATTACATCATAGCCACAAGGTTCAGTGAACTTGAGTATAATGTCTCTGCTTTGGTGCGGATTGCATCATCATCACCACCACCATCATCATCATTATTTTCTAAATAAAAGCTTGTCTTATTCTTTTAGACGTCTTTGGAGAGGCTGCTCAGGCTAATGTGGAATTTTTGCATGCTGTGGTTGAGTTTCAGACGTGAAGGCTATTTGTATATTAGTAATTCAGTACAGGAAATCGCTCCTAGAACAGCACATTTGGCAGCAGCTAGGGGCAGGTGCCTTTGAAAATACATAAGTTGGGAAGAACACAAGGGAGAGGAAATTTGGGTATGTTCATACCTGCCCTCTCAAACAGTAGTAGTAGTAGTTTCATTACTAAAACACTTCCTTCTGATCTGTTCATGCTGACATTGCAGTGAGGAATACATTGCCCCTGTTCACATCAATGTGTCTGCAAAGTTGCATCTGGACTGCCAATATTTTGCAAGAGGCATTCAGTCACATTCTCAAAATTTAGGTTTCCACAATCGAAGTGGGTTGAAGTGCTCTGGCACAACACATTCACATATTTATTTATTTATTTAGAGAAAAGCATACTTTTTGCAATTAGGGGAAATGCACTAAAAAGCATGAGATACTAATAGATGGACAGGAAGACATATAACCTCCAGGCAAACAAACTGGCATGAGTGCTGCTTGTTGTACAAGCTCCCCACAAGCCAGTCAGAATGAATGCTCAATAAAGGGTGGACACTGTATAGTCTCCACACAAGTTTTGTGCAAGCAAATCAGGATGAATGCTCAATAAACATATCAGCTGGAGGACTTCTGCATCAACCAATATGAGGCATATTATTACTGAACTTACTAATGGAGTAACTATTGCTGTTTGAGGGGATATAGTAAATGCAGATGTACCCTTAACTCGCCCACATCCTGATTTTCAGAGAAGCACTGTGGGACTGCATTAGAGTAGGTAGGTTAGATGTGTGCATAAAAAGGGCTGCCAATTTCTTTTTTTGGCAGTTCTTCCTGCAGACATTCTGTCTCTTTTAACAGGTCAATGGGCTGTATCTAACTATGTCATGCTCAGGTAGGTTAATTGAAATCAATGAACTTGACTAATGTATTTAATATATCTAGTTTGGCCCACAACTAGTAGTTTTAACATCAACTTCACAGAGTGCATAGTCCTGGTTAAATGCTTAATATATGTTTGTATCAGTCAGACACACCTATGCAGCTGGTTCATGGTTCACTCGTTTATGCAAACTGTGAGGTGGTGTTGATTTCAAGACTCTTCCTTCAACAATAAATCAGGAAGAGTGCTTCTGACATAGTGTTGTTCCCATAGGACATTCTGCTGCCCACCTACCAAGGTGAAGCTTTCCCCTGTTGTTGTTTTTTAAAGAATATATCCTTAAAAGTAATCCCACACACTCACAGTTTTGAGAACTTGCTCTCCCTTAATGATTAATCCAATTTTTAGGGAGCCGTGCAGTTTCAAACCCTCCCCCAGGGCCAATAGAAATCTGGACCAAGTAATTTGACTCAGTGATAATTAATGACACAGGGTTATTATCTGAATACAAGACAGGGATCCCAAGCAGATGAAGGATTATCTGGGTTACTTTCAGATCTCAGGTATGCTCGTTCAGTACATCTGAACTGCTGAGAGAATCTTTGTATCTCCCACTTGCTTATTGCAGATCGGAGAGTGCTGCACTGACCTGAGCATGGATGCTACATTTTGAACAGAAATATTAGCAAGAGAAAATCAATGCTACATCATACTTTCTTTCCACTATCTTATTGGATTTCCATGCTCCTAAGGAGGCATCTGAAGCATGGAAAGGAAAAGTTCTACGCTTGCCAACCTTTTTCTGGATTTTTCTTTGTTCATTCATACCATTGGAGTACATGGCATTTACGCAGTTACAAAGGCAACATAGGTATGTCCCTGCTCTCAATGTGCTTACAGTCTAAGACAGACAGTGGAGCAGCAACGGAAAGAAGGAACAGACAAAAGAAAGCAAGGATGACCATAGGCAAACTGCATGTAAATGAGGGTGATGAGGACAAACAAAAGACTATATGGAAAAAGTGAGTTTTGGATTGTTTGGATTGTTGTGGACTTTAACTGTGTGGTATCTATACTTTTTCTATGTATACCACTCAGGGACCTCTTTAAATGATTTATAAATTTTCTGTATGTATATATATATATATATATATATATATATATAATATCATGAGCTAAACTGAAGAAGCATGAAAAAAAACATGCTGCGCTGTGAAATATTCAAAACACACCATCAGTTTAAATAGCAGGAAATGAGCAGAGGTCTGTTCATTGCATTAGGCTAATCACCAGGGCTGGGTATGGTGCAATCTAGTAGTTGACACAAAGTATGAACAATTCCAGAGAACCTCCGGTTTAATTTTGAAAAGGAGAAAAAGTTCATTTTTAGAACTGCTGTGGAAAAAAACCTAGCATGTTTCATGTTGTGTCAGACTGTTCATGTACACTATCTGCCTGCTGCTGCTGCCTGCTCTGACTGGCAGCAACTCTCTAAGATACCAAGGCCACACTAACTGGGCTGTTGTGTCTTGTTTTGGGAGATGATGATGATGATAATAATAATAATAATAATAATAATTATAATTTATATACTGAAAGATGGAGGGCACAGGGAGAAGGGGACGACAGAGGACGAGGTGGTTGGATAGTGTTCTTGAAGCTATGAACATGAGTTTGACCAAACTGCGGGAGGCAGTGGCAGACAGGAGTGCCTGGCGTGCTCTGGTCCATGGGGTCACAAAGAGTTGGACACGACTAAAGGACCAAACAACAACAACGTATACTGCCCTATACCTGGGGGTCTCAGGGCAGTTCACAGAATAAATGCCGCACTGCCCTGCGGCCTCCACTTTGTTCATCCCACTGTCCCTGCCACTGGTAGAGAAGAAGAAGCAGTGCTGATTTCCAGCAAGATCTCACCAGAAATTAGGGCTGCTTCTCTACCAGAGTGGTGGGTGCCTGTGTGGCGTCACCTTGGAGGCTTCCACCATCTGAGGCAGTTGCTTCACCCTGCCTCATGGATGGGATGGGCTTGCACACTATAAATTACAAGGGGAACTCTGTTTCCAGTGTAACATTACTAGAAAGCTTGGGACTATTTGTAGGAAGGATTGTGGGCAGGAAGTGGGTGCTTAACTTGTCCTTTGCTTATTGATTTATCCCTGCAAATGCCATTTAGAAAAGTTTTGTCTTCAGTTTTTTTAAACCTGTCGTGTGGGGAGAACCCTATAATAATTGGGGAGGGGATAGGAAACCTGGGGTTTTGACATAGGGGTGGCATATAATGATTGGATAGGAGTCTGTAAATAAACAACAGCTGTCCCTCAGCTCTCCTTTCAGAGGTAAGAGCTGAAAGGTAAGTTCAGGAAACTGATCCGAACATGAGTAATAAAATTACGTTGTATGCTAGTGATGTAGTTTTTAATCCAGCATAATCTTTTTTTGCCCTTATGGATCTAATGAACAATTTTAACTCTCTCAAGATACAAAATTGATTGATCAAAGTCCACATTACTGAATATACTTGATTTGATTAAAAAATGAAACTGAAGAATTGAAGAGCATAGCACAGCCCAGTGGTACAGTGACTGACTATGACCAGGACAACCCAGATATTCTTTCCTTTGTTTGATGTGTACCCCCCCTTTATTTAAAAAACGGCTTTATCTGAAATAATGTTTACAGCAATAGCTGGAGAGTATTTGGTAAAACTTGCTAAATATATTTTGTAGTAGAATGTTGCATTTTTAAATGTTTCATTTTTGCATTTTTTTTGACATTTAGGCTTGTGTGCACACACACCTGAGTCTCCTAGGTTGCTTAGCCACAGACAAAAATCTCCTGACCTGAACTCCAACCTATGTTTCTGGGCCTCTCACATACAGAAAGAGGAACAGAGCCGCTTTCTTGGCTTTTGCATTCTAGTAAATTCTTCCCTTATAGGTATTTAGGGCTACCTGCTTGTTATGGAAGTAAGAGGAAGTCCAACTTGCAGGCGGGTTAGGAAGTTACATAGCTCCTGGAACTACTTTATAATGCAATACTGTATATGAAAACATGGTATTAAATGACCACTTGAATAATTTTCTGTCTTAAAACAGGAATAGCGCTGTAGAGTAGCTTTGGAAAGCAGCAGTTAAACTAGTCCCCGCTATGCATCCATGCTTTTTGTATGGAACTATTTCCAGGTGCTACAAGGGAGTTGTGTTTGTGTGTGGGCCGATTCTTACTCTGCCGTACTAAATTCATAATTAGTAAGAGTGCACCTTAGAGGCCAAGTGCAGGAGAAGAGGATATTAGCTTGCTTTCATCTATTTTGTGGATTTTCATCATGGAGAAAACTTGGGCAGCACGGGCAGAGAAACAAGCAGATTCTGCTCAGAGCTACGAAAGAGAAAAAAACAGCAGATTTTAGATGCCTCCTCAATTATCAGAGAAGCACAGGGCTGCTAACAATATAATATAATAAACATCGTAATAGTTTAATCACTGGCAAATCCAACACTGATAATTCTATACATAAAACAGCAGCAGCACTCAGCAGTACCTTGACCAAGAGACTTGGCTCCTATAACGTCTATAAGGCCTGGACAAAAAAATGTATCTAAAGCAGGCAACAATGGAATTACAGTTCTGACCTAGTCACCATGTGTCATTTGGCAGGTGCTGAAAAGTTCGCTTTTTAGGAAAGCGTTTAAAACTGCTGCTACTACCACCACTTTTGCTGTGTTCAATATACTTTGCTTTGATTATGATGATATGTTTACTTTGTTTCTTCACCTCCTTGCTGCTTGTGTGGTTTTTTTAAAAAAATTGTTTATTCCTCCCCCACTCTGTTTTATTTTTGTATTTGCTATTTGTAAATTGCCTTTGAGACCCTTTGAATCTCAATAAATAAATAAATATTGGGTTTACATACTAAAGGATGATGTGCAGCTTTTCCACTCCCCTCCTGTAGTGTCTAGCAACAGCTGTCACGTAACTCTTTCCATTTTTAAAATATATTTCTATTAATATGTTTCTTTTCTATTATTCCCTTCCTTTGATGAGCATAAGGTGGTATACATAGGTTTTCTCCTTTAAACATTTATCTCCATAACAACCCTGTGATGCAGATCAAGCTAACTGAGATGTGTGTTTTCAGGACCCACTCTATTCATAGAATCATAGAATCATAGAGTTGGAAGAGACCACAAGGGCCATCGAGTCCAACCCCCTGCCAAGCAGGAAACACCATCAGAGCACTCCTGACATATGGTTGTCAAGCCTCTGCTTAAAGACCTCCAAAGAAGGAGACTCCACCACACTCCTGGGCAGCAAATTCCACTGTCGAACAGCTCTTACTGTCAGGAAGTTCTTCCTAATGTTTAGGTGGAATCTTCTTTCTTGTAGTTTGGATCCATTGCTCCGTGTCCGCTTCTCTGGAGCAGCAGAAAACAACCTTTCTCCCTCCTCTATGTGACATCCTTTTATATATTTGAACATGGCTATCATATCACCCCTTAACCTCCTCTTCTCCAGGCTAAACATGCCTAGCTCCCTTAGCCGTTCCTCATAAGGCATCGTTTCCAGGCCTTTGACCATTTTGGTTGCCCTCCTCTGGACACGTTCCAGTTTGTCAGTGTCCTTCTTGAACTGTGGTGCCCAGAACTGGACACAGTACTCCAGGTGAGGTCTGACCAGAGCAGAATACAGTGGCACTATTACTTCCCTTGATCTAGATGCTATACTCCTATTGATGCAGCCCAGAATTGCATTGGCTTTTTTAGCTGCTGCGTCACACTGTTGGCTCATGTCATGTCCAGTGACTGTAATTTGTCTTTACTGTTTAATACTAAATTTCAAATTGTTGTAGCCTGCCCTGGGACTTGCTGGTGAAGGGTGGGTAATAAATCTAGTAGCTGTGGTTGTAGTAGTAGTAGTAGTAGTAGTAGTATAGTAGTAGTAGTAATAATAATAATAATAATAATAATAAATCACTGGCCCAAGTTTCATAGCTGAGTGACAGTTTGAGCCTGAGTCAGTTTTAGTCCCTACAAATTGTGTGAAGAAAGTCATTTCCTGTAGTTTGTTCTCTGTGCAATGCAATCCTAGTCGTGTCTTAACTGAGTAGAGCTATTCAATGAGGAGGGAACTTTATACATACTCATAAGCAGACTCGTCTTTTCTGTTTAGGATGAGCACTTGTGCTGAAAACAAGTTTTGACACTAAACCCTCATAAGCCTGGATTGAATTATGTCTTGTATTCTGGTATCCTTTTAACGTGCCACTCACCCACTTTCCTTATCTCTATGCCTTCCTGCGTTTCATCTGGGTTCTGTAACATCACAACAAATAAGGCAGTGGTTATAAAGAAGATGAAATTAAATGGACCAGAAAAAACAGTACAGTAAGGAATGGATGGTTTCTGTCTCTACAGTCAGTTCTGTAACCTGTACAAGTTGTGCAAATCAAGGAAATATGCATTATTTATTTTCTTCTCTAAAATACATTCTGATTATGGAGATAAGCAAGGACCTTTGCAGACTCCTTTGGCTTAGGAGGCATTTGCCCATACACATTGCACCCATCCCCGCCTGCCATGGGACATATATAGTCTATAGCAGCTAGGGGAGGGTAATGGGCAGGCCAAAGTCAGTGTACAGTTCCAGCTTACGTACAATTAATAATTCAAATTATCATTCAAAGTAAGGGGAATGTAAGGAAAAAATAGAAATGATAGAAAAAAAGAAAATATCTATTAAAAATACCAGTCAAGTTATCCTGAAGGATTTATGATAAGGAACTCACTAGTGATGCTGACAAGGTGCAATAGTAATTTCTGTTCAAGCACAAAATAACCTATGGCAGAAAAAGGCTTGGCTGTTTGAAACATAGGGTGTAAGTGCCAAGCAAAAACTCAAGAACAATTCTGGAATATGTCCAATTAACCCTGCAGGTTAAGGAGTGGACATTTCTGATAACTAGGTGGGAAAATGGGAGTGAAAAGTTTCATCAGTGTTGTTTGCTGCTGTAATGGCTTTAGAGTACAAAGGACTACACTAAATTTATGAAGGAAGTTTTGTTTTGTTCAATGGAAATTATTCCTATGCATAATTATTTGGAAGTAACATCAACCAAGTTCAAGGGGACATAGTAAGTGTGATTAAACTTGCACCCTAAACATCAGCCTTCCAGAACCTGATAGTGAAGTTTGGGACTAGGATACTGAAATTAGGGATAGGGGTAGTGCCCCCTTCCTAGTATTTACAAATATATTTACAAAAAAAGTAACAACTTCACAGGTTAGCTGCCCAAAGATTATTATTCTTGTCAGACATTTATTCCAGTTTTCCCTTGCCGGAGGGACTCCTTTGCTCTTGGATTGAAATTCTAAAACTGCATCAAATCCAGTTGCAACCTGTTAAATAGTGGTAATTTGTTGGAGGACAACAGATGAGAATTTTGCCAGTTTCATTCTGCCAGCTCCACATTTGAAAATGGAAATGTGTAACACTATGAAGGGACTTTGTTTAGGAGATCTGGCCAAGTTATTCAAAGAGCCACATGAGGTCTTTTGGGGAAAGAGCTTCAGCTTGGGAGATAAAAGTTAGGCATAGCAAAGGGACATGGCTAAATGAGGTGCAAAAATGTGCGATAGAAACACTGGTCCCTAGGCCAGGACTTAGGTCCTGGATCCCTTTGAAATAATAAAGTCTGGGCAAAGTTCATGAAGCAGCAATATTTTATTGAAAAGAAACACTTGCAAGTGGGTGACCTGAAAAGGCAGGCACACACTTTCTTATCAAAAACATGAATATTTAAACCCTTTTCCTGAGCGCAAGTCCCTCCTTTGCCGCCCACTAGGAAGGGGCATTCAAAATGCAACACCTATCGTGTCTGTCTATTGCAATGTAAAATCCAACCCCCCAACCCCTCTTTCATCCCCCAAAGCCCCTTATTTGGTTAATTTTTCCCATTCCCCAAAGCCCCTAATTTGGTCAAGCCTCTGTCCCCTTCATACTGTTTTAGCAATAAGGCTAGGTTTCTTTATTTCACTGAAGTGTGTGACACCGTGACCTGTTTCAGCTACCTGTTTTGCAAAAAGCCCCTGGCCACGGTTGCTAAAGATAGTCTATTTCTTCAGAACTTATCTTTCTCGAAAAGTCCCCAGCCTCAAGATTTCGAAAGAAACAACACCCTATAGAACATGTGACCACAGCTAGTTTGAAATATGCTAGCAATAGCCACGCCACATCCTGGCTGCAATATTCCTATAGCCTTACACACACTCCTGCTGCAATTTTCTTAAAGCCCTATGATTTACACGATTAATAAAAACATTTTCCTTTTCTGCAGGAGCAAACTGAAAAGACAACATATACATTTCTCACAAAAAGTCTCAGACAGATTGGAATATTTCAACTATAAAGATCACGGCATAACTGGGGCAAGTTGCTCATTCTCCCAACTGATATTATATCTCCTTATCTCTGCACACCCACATCCTTCTGCTTTTCTCTCAGATAAAAATGATGGGTGTGCTGCTGATGGGATCCAGCGAGCAATTTTATTGTTAAGGAGAGGGTGAGGTGGGAGATCAGGGCTGCCCAAACATACCCATTGCTTATGCAGGGCTGGCCCATCCATTAGGCAAGGTGAGGCAACCGCCTCTGGCGGCAGGATCCACAGGGGCAGCAGCAGCAGCAGCAGAGCCCCATGATGTAGATATTTATTTCCCACCTACCCACCCTTGTTCCTGATGTAAAAAAGGTAAAGGTCCCTCACGCCTCTTCCCTGGTGCTCAGAAGAGCGCCATTTTGTGGTTCGCCTCAGGTGCCAAAATGCCTTGGGCAGGTGACATTTATGCCAGAGAGGCTTTGTTGCGAACGGCGTTCCCTCAGGGGTGAGGTAAAACCTATGAAATGTGGGCAGAGAGCAGGTTGTCGGAGGGGGAATGTATTCGTTATATTTCCTCCCCACCCGTCTGTGGCGGCGAAGGCCACCAGAAGCGGCTCAAGACCACGGCAGAGACGACCAAGTGCTGAGGGAACGTGTGGGGAAAGTCTTTCCCTCCTTTAAAAATGAATAATAATAATATCCATGCGAGACGGCTAAGGCGATATAAACTGACCAAGACGTTAGCCCCCTTAGGGGCGCTCAAAATCAGACGGCGGCTTCGATGGACGAGTCAGATTAAACGCCACATGAAACAGGCCGAGAAATGAACGACCAGAGGGCTCTGAGGGCGCTTCCCTCCCTGCCTCCGAGCCTCCACCGTCAGACCGGTTCTGCTCGCGGAGCGAGGCCCGCGAAGCCCCACCCAGGGCCGCCTTTGGGAGTGGCCGCCAGTCAAGCGGCGGGCACCTTTATACCAGGCAGGCAGTCCGACCGCCTGCTCGCTCGCTCGCTCGCCCTCCCGCCGAGCCCAGCGTCTTGCTGGGTCATGGCGTGGGGCTTGGGTGGGTGGCTGCCTGCAAGTTAAAAGTGGCCGCCGAAGGAGCTCGCCGGCCTTCCTTCCCGCCCCACGCGAGCTGAACTCTGAAGCCCCGCCCTTAATCCAAAGGCTCGCTTTAAGAGATGACAGCGGAAGATCGGCTTGCGTGTTTGACAGGGTTTCCTCTGAGTCGGGAACCTCCTTTGGGCGCGAGGGATTCGTGAAGAGGAGAGTGCTTCTGAGCGTGTGTAGAGTGCGTCTCTCTCTTTCCAGGGAGCCTAGGTTCGCGTGTGAATTCTGATATAGACAGGCATGAGCCTCTAAATTTAGAAACTTAAGGATTTATGGAAGGCGGGGGTGAGGGGGGAAATGTCCTTTTTTTGGTCCAGCCCTCCTCCTGATGTGCTATCTTGCCTAGAAACTGAAGACCGCTTAAGACAGGTGAGTTCCTGCTTTATGCTCTTTAACCAACTGCGCAGCAGGCAAAAATGGCAATAGGTTAAGCTTCTGTGTGGATCGTGAGAGTTAAATCGGTTAGATTTCTGCTTGCCAGACAATGGCTGAATACGCATCACCTCTGGAAGGAAAAGGTTGCTTACCAGTTAAGTTGTGGCAATGAAGGTGAAAACAAAAGGAGATGATCCGACAAAATAACAGTCAGGAAATGTGATCACAAAGGTGTGATTAGGGTCAAATGACATTCGATGGGTAGTTGTAACTTTGTTTAGGTTTGATTTTTATTTTTTAAACGGACCCCTGACCATTAGGTCCAGTTGTGGCCGACTCTGGGGTTGCGGCGCTCATCTCACTTTACTGGCTGAGGGAGCTGGCGTACAGCTTCCGGGTCATGTGGCCAGCATGACTAAGCCACTTCTGGCGAACCAGAGCAGAGCACGGAAACGCCGTTTACCTTCCCGCCGGAGCGGTACCTATTTATCTACTTGCACTTTGATGTGCTTTCCAGCTCCTAGGTTGGCAGGAGCAGGGACCGAGCAACGGGAGCTCACCCCGTCGCAGGGATTTGAACTGCCGACCTTCTGATCGGCAAGTCCTAGGCTCTGTGGTTTAACCCACAGCGCCACCCGCGTCCCTCTGACCCCTGTATAGGAAAGGTGCATTTATGAATCTGCCTTAGTTCAGTAACTAACCAACACAAAAAAAATCGGAGTCCTTTAAGGGTATTTACCTGGATGAGTAGAAGCGTCACCTGCCGGAAGGTGAAGAAGAGGCCCAAACAAAGGTGTTATAATGTGGCTTGAGTCGTTTGTAATAAGTAAGAAAACTGAGTGCATTCTACCCGTATATAATTTGTAAACATTCTGTCCTTGACATGGCCTGTTATTTAAATGCTTAATAAACACAAAAACCTAAAGTGCCTGATCCTCCTTTTTCAAAACTGCATTTTATCAGCTGTCCAACTGCACAATTCGCCCCCCAACTCCACCTTTTGTGCCAAACTACACTAACCCCACCTGCTTAGAGACTGCTTTACCCTTCCAGCTGCTTTTCTATTGAAAAATCACCCACCTCCACTTCAGCTGCTTTTCTTGGTGTGGGGAGAGCAAGCTAGACTTGAACCTTTCTCCCTGGTCATTTTTGTGTGTACACAATATGATTTTGTATGGATGGAAATTGTTAGCCCCCGCCTTGCAGTCTGAAATAGTATTCCCCGTACACAAATTTTATCACCTCAGAGAGAACAAGATATTTGGTCTACATGAGGCCCTATTATCACCCCATCTGCCTTGATGTGAGACCCAGTGTTGTCTTATTTTGTGGCTCCCAATTGCACACTTAGCTCTTTAACTCCCCTCCACTGATCTGAAAATAACCTCCACTTCTCCCTCCCACTCCCCTGACTCCTCCTTCACTTCATTCATAGGCATGTATTCCCCTTTACACAACTGAGGCAAGATCACATCCTTACACTTCATGTTATGATGGTTGCTTCAAATGTCATGAAAACCCACAATTTACATAAGTACTTTCTATTTAAGACCTTTTCTAGGTAACTGTTAGTAAGTAGGTTGTTTCTAAAAAATAGTTTGCTACTTGCTTGGTGTCTGACACTCCCACGAGTGGCTTTTTGCATGTGCTGTACACTCGTGTCATGCTTTCCTTGGAGGAATCAGAATAATCACATAATTTGGAATAAGAAAACGGTGTAAAGCGCATGACTTGAAGAAAATACTGCTGGCCAGTCTTATGAGCTTCTGAAAATTTGATGTTGACATCAACAACCCTTTTCTAGTCAAGGGAGTTTAGTTTGTGTGGCAGTGAGAAATTTATTTACTTTACAAGCCATGTACAACAAGAGAAAATGAGTTAAAATACAAGTTTTAAAAACAATAAAACCATCCCTGCAAACTCTAAAAACAACTGTTTCTACATATGTACAATTAATATTCCATAAATGACTGAGTCACACCTCAGGGAAAGCCTTCTTAAACAAAAATGTCTTCAGTAGGCACCATTGTGCTCTAGGTTAACAGTAATGTCTGATTGCCCCATCAAGGACTCTTAATGATTGGGTTCTTCATGCTATTACTAATCATATTAATGTGAATGTTGGCCTCTATTGAGATTTGAATCTATTTCTCCAGTTTAACATTGCAAACTCAAAACAGCTTATTGCCCTATAATGAGCAAGCTAATTAAGCAATGGGCTAAGGGTGAGACTCCATCCCACTTTTGAAAGGTTTAGTTGGGTGCTGCAGTACCCATGTGGAGAAGCTGCATGAGGTCCTCTACAGATAGGTTTCTTTGTGACCACCGGTTTTGGTCGAGCTCTGATTCGCATAGTGAATAGCTCTGATTCACCACCATAGCTCTGATTCACCAGACAACCAACTGGAAAATTTGTATGAGTTTAAATTTGTTTTAGTTTATACTATTGTGGTTTTAACTGTAACATTTTTAGTGGTAATTCTATTGTTCTATTTTATTTTTTTATAAACCACTTCAAGGTTCTTTTTACAATCAAGTGGTATATAAATTTTATGAAAAGAATACAAAAATAAAACTGGAGGAAAATCATGTGAAGTGGGCACACATGAAGTGGGCTTTCTTGCAGAGGACCCAGTTTCACACTTTTGGCTCACACTTCAGTGTCTGTCGGTCAGGATGGCCGTTTATCACCCTCAGTACTGAAGGCAACATGCGGGAGAGTGCTGTCACACTCCTGTTTGTGAGCTTCTCATAGGTATCTGGTTGGTTTCAGTGGGAGCATAAACCTGGACTTTATAGGCATTTGGCCTGATCCAGCAGAGCTTTTCTTATTTTCTTAATTTATCTGTTTGGTGAATGGAGGGACTCGCACCACTTTTTCACAAGGCTAGTGTAGGATGGCCCTGGGTAAAAGTATGAACCATATCTGACTATGTTCATGGGTATAGTGGGTAGTCTGGATTACTTAACTTGAACTAAAAATGCCATATATTGTGTAGGCGCCCCAAGGACACATACTCAGAATTGCATAATATTCTGTTCCATAGTCTTCTGTATCCATGTGTAGTTGAAGACTGATTTTTTCCAACTCTTTCAGTGCCTGCTTTTGAAGTGATTATACCAGCTGTTGGATTTGAGTATGGGACTAAGACTATAATCCCGTACCCATTTACCTGTACCTCGTTGAACTCAATGGGACATTGCAGAACTGTTTTCTGGAATATGAAATGTATGTATGTAGTATTGTTTATTTGTGGTGTTCTATGGCATAAGTAGTCTTTCAGCACATATTATGCATTGTATGCAACTAAATTCTACTCAGAGTAGGACCATTCAAATTAATGGATCTAAATTAACCATGTCCATTAATTTTAGTGGGCCTGTAAGTATGATTAATGCTGGAAACAACCCTATGAGAATAATATGTTCACATTTATTTACTGCTTTTTAATCATAGCTTAATACATTTGTGGGGTGGGAAAGCTATCAGTGGTGTCTTTCTGTCAAAGTTTTATGTCTTGTATTTCCTCTTCAGTTTCTTTGCTAGATGTTTTAGTTAGGTAAGTGGTCCTTTAAAAAACCATTCTAAATATGTACCTTTAAAAATGAGACATAGTAATAATAATCATATATATTGCACACATACCCTGGGCTTGACAGTAATTTGGCTTAGAAAGGAATCAGTACATCCAATGGTTATTTGGTGTCATTCCTTTTAGAATATCCTATTAGATGCTATGTTGAATTATTCAGTATCAGCAGCCACTGAATAGTTAAAGCCTGATGGATTGTTTTTTGGCTGAGATTACATATTCATTTCCCAAAGGATTCCAACAGGTTGCATAGCAAATTCCTTGTATCGCTAATGTAAGTGCAGTTTGCCCATTGTCCCCAATCCTATCTACAGGCTTCACTTCTTATACCCCAGAACATCCTACTATGTGATTGACTTTCCAATTGCATAACATGCCCATTTGTGGAAATAGTGTGATCATTTCTGTGAGATCACTTGTTTGTGTAAGATTCAGTCCTTCTGCCCAGAAAGGCATTATTTTTGTACAACTCCAAAAAAAAGTATTAAATACACCTTAATTCTGTTTCGGCCAAAAGTTTTACTAATCCTGTGTGGAATATCTATCTATCTGTCTATCTGTCTATCTATCTATCTATCTATCTATCTATCTATCATCTATCTATCTATCTATCTATCTATCAAGACATCCACTTCAAGACAACACCCAACAATTCTACTTTCTATAAACCAATATTTTCTTCAATCCTCAAACTCAGATATCATAAGTTGATTTCCTTTTTCACACAAAAAGTCTATAAGGAGTTTCCTATTATTAACAATGATTTTTCTCTGATTAAAAATGTCAACTTCGCCATCTCGGTTAAGTCCAATAATGTTAACAATCATTCCTCCATGGTAGGTAATGATGAATCATTCCATCTTGTGCATAGAAAAGTCTAGCCACATTTTTGGAATATTTTTAATGTCCACATCCATTCTGATTCAAGGATTATTAATCCAATATTTGCTAAATCCCATTCTTTTCCTTTTATGTGAAGGAAAAATATATTATTTTGCATATATTGAGAGTATTAAATACTCTGGTTCCTCTTCTGATCGTTTAAATCTTTCACCATTTCCCTCCTATTATATCTAGAAATAGCCATATCTCACTGGTTCTCTCCATTCTACCAGGTGTCCACCAAGCCCTCTGTATCAATGTCGTCCTCTAAGACCAAGGGCTCTAGTTCACCCAATCTATTTTGATGGTGCTTTGGCCTCTCTAAATTGTGCCCCTGCACTCACAGTGGTGGGTTCTATGTCTCCTGATTTAAATTAACATTAATTTTATCATCTTCATCATGGAGGTCCCCTGGAGATGGATTCTGAACTGGACCCTCCTCAGTTCCTGATGACTTCCCTCCAGAGCAGATAAAATAAGAAAGGTTGCGGAGCAGGTTTAAGTGCCAGTGGTGTTTCCATCCTAGTGCAAATGGAGCCATCCCTTTTATGCAGGCCTAGTTTGCCCTAGAATATTCCCCATTGCCTAACAAATCCAAACCTTTCTTCATAACACCATTATCACATCCATTGCACTGAGACTGAAAAGTTGTGTCTGTGTAGCTCGCCCTATGTACGAAAGCAGTAGCATTGCATAAAAAGCTACCTTGGAGAACCTTGTTTTTAAACACACTTGGTCCTTGGAGTTCCTTATATAAAATGCTGGAGGCCTGACCAGGGTGAAGATCAAAATGGTCTCAATCAGCTACCGTACTTCTTATGACATTTACCCAGCATTGAGATGTTAATATAAACAAAAGCACAGGAACCATCATGTGCTATGTGTAATGTAAGCGTTCATTCTCATCTAGTAAATAGACCATTTTCTCTAAAAAGGAGGATATCTAGTAAAACGTCCAAAATCTTGCCTGGTCAGGTCAACTGTCTTTCCCTATCCAACAAGTTAATTCAGAGCCTATTCATACAGTCAGTATACAATGAGATAACCTTTGATTTGTTTAAACATTCAAGAGATGAATCAGAAGTTAAAGTAAACTGAAGGAAACTTGACAGCTGCAAACTCGATCATAACCAATCTCCTTAAACCATGCAAGCAACAGATTGAATGTCTCCAGCCTCTTCCTACTCCCCTACAATCTGCTTGCAAATCAAACAAAACAAAACAAAACAAAACAAAACAAACAAGGCAAAACAAAATAAGCATTTGGTCAGGATCCAAAGAAGTGATACATGCATGCCAAGGAGACAACATAGCTGGAGCCTCATTTGTTGCTTTTGCAGCAGCTGATCATATTGGTGAAGAAAAGACAAGCCACAGTCATTTGCTTTTTCACTATGGAAATTTATGGTGACAGCCATGAATGATGATGCTATTCCATAATGGCTCTTACACATGATAGTCTTTGGATCATGCTATGTGTCTGTCAGGGTCTTTGTCTGTCATGGATCACTTTCTTATTTCTCCTTAGGACAGGGAGACCCTGAGTTCAGCAGTAGGGCAAAGAGAATAATAAATACTAGAGCATCAAAAATACTAAACGCAATTACAATAAACACAATAAATAAAAACAGAAGGCTTTATAAGTTAAATCAGCACTTTAAATTGAGCCAGGAAACTAACTGGTAGCTAATGCAGTTGTTCCAGAATTGGTCTTATATGTCCAGACTGTTCTGTCCCTGTCAACAATCTAGCTGCCAAATTCTGTGCCATCTGCAATTGCTGCAATATCTTCAAAGGCAGCCCAACATAGAATGCATTGCAGTAATTCAACCTAGAGGTTACCAGAGCATAGACAACAGATGTTAAGACTATCCCAGTCCAGATAGGGGCACAGCTGCATCATCACTAAAAAGCTGGTGGAAGGCATTCTGTGCCACTGAGGCCACCTGAACCTTAAGCAACCGTAACAGGTCTAGAGGTACCCGCAAGCTATGTACCTACTCCTTTGGAGGGAATGTTACCCCACCCAGAGTCGGCCGTATCCAACCCCTCTGGTTTAGAGAACCACTTACTAACAGTGCCTCAGTCTTGTCTGGAGCTTAAGTTTTGTTAAATAAAATAAATGGGGGAAAATTTTAAGTCAATATTTCATCATTATTCACCCTATCTAGAGTATGGGAATAGTCATACTGAACTACTTTGTTGAAAGGGTTATTGTGTGGCCCTGCTTTGGACAGTAATGCTTCTGTTTAATAATGGTAAATTTGTAAGCTGCCTTGAATGATAAGAGACACAAGGTGGTGTGGGTATGAGGAAGGAAGCTTTGGTTGATCGTTTGATTCTGAGAAGGTACTTTCCCTCTAGGTCAAACTGCCTAGTAGTCCTGCTTTGTTTGCTCCCCACTCCCCAGCTGTTCACAGTCCTCTATTTTTATGCATATTAAAGAACTTTTCATGCTGTGAAACTCATCAAATCAAGAGAATTGTACACTTGCTTTTTAAAAAGTGTAAGACTGCAATATTGAGGGAAACAGAATTCTGCAGCGGAACGGGACTTGAAAATACTCAGTTTTGCTGCCTTCAAGAGTACAAACACCTGATGTTTCCATTTTAAGCCTTCCAACACAATGGCATTCCTCTAATAGGAATAATCTATGCAAATAAAATGGCTCTTGTGCTTTGACCTCGTGAACAGAGTTTTAATGCTGCCCAGGCCTTTTAGGCTGAGTCATAACATTTTAAAAGATAGGAGCGAGGAGCAGGATGGGGGGCGGGGAAGGTTTATAATAGAAATGCTGACACAAGAGTGGCTGAAAACAACTGTTTGAGCCAGAGGTGGTGGGGTCCAGGTCTTTCTTTGGATAAAGGCTGCATTATTCAAGAGTTAATGCCACTGACCTCATTCTTGCTGACTGCAGGTTCTGACTGATAAGGCTGCACCCACCCAGATCAGTGACTTGGTTGAACAGTGGCTACATCATGATGTTCTGCTGGCCTGCAGGATGTGCATCACAATGTATTTTGGTTGACCAAGGGTCTGATTCAGTATAAAGCTGAGAGGTATACATAAATTCATAGGCTAGATGATATAAACAAAATATACATGTCCTTCTCTTGCTTCCAAACCCTTCCATGGTTCTATTGCCTTGTGATCTCATGATGCTGGTCAATACTAGGTCAATGAATGGACTCTGGTCTTGGTTTTCTGCACTGAATTGGATTATGGTGATCTTAGAGTGAAGGAACTTTCTATTGTTGAGTTGTCATGGTCAGATTACTACCTGGTAAAGTTTAGACTTGCTGGAACTCAGAGCCTCTGCAGGGGTGGGGGACTGAATAAGTGTTGCACCACAGGAGGCTGATGGATCTGGATGGTTTCCTGATGACTCATACAAACCTGCCTGGGTTTTGAGATCTTCAGGGGAGGCCTTCTCTTGTTCCCACCACCCTCACAGGCATGCTTTGTGGAATCATGGGAGAGGGACTTCTCGGTAGCTGCTCCCAGTCTTTGAAATTCCCTCCCCAGATAAGCTAGACTGGCTCCCTCCTTGTCCTTCTGCTGGCAGTTGAATACTGTTTTGTTCCATCAGGCTTTTGTGAACCGACTGCCTTTAATAGTAACTTTGTTAATAAGTTTGGTGTCTAGCTCTGAGCCTTACAGTCAAGACTGCATGTACAGAGCTGTTTCCCACTTGGGGCTATGGTTTCTTTGTTGAGAAACAAAACCATCATTTCTGACAGTGCACGTCAAGAAACAGGGCAATGGTGTTTTCAGTACAGTGGTACCTTGGGCTAAGTGCTTAATTCGTTCCGGAGGTCCGTTCTTAACCTGAAACTGTTCTTAACCTGAAGCACCACTTTAGCTAATGGGATCTCCTGCTGCCGCCGTGCCGCCGGAGCCCAATTTCTGTTCTTATCCTGAAGCAAAGTTCTTTACCTGAAGCACTATTTCTGGGTTAGCGGAGTCTGTAACCTGAAGTGTATGTAACCCGAGGTACCACTGCACTGGGAAATGGGGCTGATTTTTTGGTCTGTCTCAGCCTAGCATTGTTTGTTTTGATTGGCAATGTCTCTTAAAGGTCTGAGGCAGAGGTGTTTCTAGCGGTGCTACTTGACTTTAAAATGGAGATGCCAGGGATTTAATATGAGACTGCATACATGCAAAAGTTTCACCACTATACTTTCCTAAATGTGATGAAAGCAAAACACAAGGCATCTTGGTTTTCTGTGTTCATTCTCCTGACAAGTGAGTAAGGCAGAGAAAATGGAAGAATGGCAACATATGAATATAGCATGATTTAAAGCCTGCTGGATAAGAAAATGAAAAATTTTTATATGGATTCCTCTGGCAGTGGGTTGATGGTGCAATATCTTTTAATATGGATAGGTATACCCAATTTGGTGGAGTCGTCACAGTAGTGGGATCCCTTCCCTGGAGGTATTGATCAGCATCCCTCTTTGTTGTTTGGAAGTCTTTGAAAACATATTTTATTCCAACAAGCTTTTAATGTATAGCTTGTACTGCTATTTTAATTATGTATCTAAGAACCTTGAAATAACTAACAAACCTTTGTTTTTATCTTTTAGGTATGCGTTGGAAATAAAGTTCAATAATACTCAACTCCATCCAAAATAATGGCTGCCATTTTCTGTGAGAACTGTTCCTTTTCATATTTTCAACATGGCCAAGCCTCCCATCATTCTGAAGCTAGTGGAGCTCTTCTGCTCATCATGCTTGGGAAAGTCATGCTCAATCTATTTTTGTTACAAGTCCGAAAACCAAATCTCCGTGAGAGTTATATGAGCTATTTCTGCAAATCACTAGCCTTTGTTGACTTTGTGCTCCTAGCGACTATATCCTTCATCGCCTGTTTTCAGGATTTCATGCTTTTAGGCGTCCGATTTACTGTGTATCATATCTGTCTTCTGGCTCAGACAGCAGCCCTTGCCTATGGAATCTTATTTTACCCAGTTTCTTTTGTAGCTGGTTTGGATTACTACCTTACAATAACCCAAACTTCCAAGCGTCCTAACATGTGTTGGCGATCACTATACACAGTTGCTGTTGCCTTCACGTGGATTTCAGTTCTCTTTTATGTTCTGAATCTTCCAGGCAGCTCTATAGGACTTGAGGTAAGCCATTCCAATTCTGCCTACCAGTGCCCTTTCTACACCAGCAGCCAGAGCTACTGGCTGACGGTAGGCATGCTGTTTATCATATGCCTGGTTCTTGTATTCTGTTGGTCAGAAGTTGTGGACATGGTAAAGTCAATTAAACTAATTTCCATCGAGAGAGAGGTTGTTTTGTTCTTCCCTTACATGCCTGAGTGCAGCCTCAGAGACTCTGCGAAGCATTTTTTGACAAGACTTCTTATCTGCTTTATTGGCACTTGGGCACCATTTGTGCTCCTTCAAATGCTAATCGTGTTCCTTGGTGCAGAGATTCCTGCTTGCATAGAGATGAACGTTCCCTGGCTTTACTTTGCCAACAGCTTTATTATTGGAATCGCATTTTGGGTCAGGCGCCACCAGATTGAAATGACAGAGGAGACTTGGGATGTGGATCCATTTGTCAGCTGGAAATTCTGCTTTGCCCCATTCAGCTGCCAAGATGAAGAGAAAACTCAAAAGCCCACCACCCAAAGTTTAATCTGTTAGCAAGCAGCTGCGAGAGGTGAATACTGAGTTACCATAATAGCTTGGGGGAAGTTTGTATTACTCTGCGACATTTGTAAACTTTTGTAGTTTGTGATATGTGAGTGGTGCTATAATGTAATTGTGTGCTGTTTACCAAGTTGGATTTCCAGTATGGGTGCTTACTTCAAAATAAGGACAAATTACTGTCAAAGGTGCCCAACCGTGTTGTTTGTAATAATAACCAAATTCTGCCCTCATCTCATTCAAGGCTCTCATATCCACTGGAGGCTACTATGGATGGAAGGAGGCAGTTGTTCCAATTTCCACCTTTCTCTTGCAGCCCTCAATACCACCTTACCTGCTCCCACCAAATGCTGTCCCAAAGGTTTCCTCAACCCTTGGAACAGATTTGGGGATGGGAGCAAGGGCTGCAGAAGGGGGAATAATAGAAAATTGCCTCCTAGTGCCCCTCCATGGAAGCCTCCACTGGATCAAAGAGCTTCTATGAATGTTTGCAATTGGGAAAAACACCAATGGCTAAAATGTTTTGATTTGAAAGACAGTTAAATTGATCTTTTAATCCTTGATGATACCTGATGGGAGCGTATTTTTATATGTTTTATTACAAATATTGTGTATGTGTGTTTTAAATTCTATTTTCCCTCTCTGATTATTTGCAGGGGGTTATTGGGTTGTTCTTGCTTTTATTTTGATTATATATTTTGTGTTTTTATATTGTATAGGGCGGTATATAAATAAATATAAATAATTTTATTACACAGTGTTAGAGCAACATACTTGAAATAAAGTAATCAGTGGCTGTCACTCTTTCCTCAACGTGAAAAAAGACATCAAACTAGACAAATGGAAGTAGCTTTTATTTCTGCAGCACTGTATTCACACTTTCAATGTAAAGTTCAACTATAAACCAAGTTGGTGATGCTGTAGGTCAAATATTTAACCCCACAGGAAGCAAATATTACCACATAAGAATGCTCAATTTAAAAAAAAGTGTGTGCCAATAACAAAAGGTGCAATTACAAGCAAATTGAAGCAGCAATAGTATAAGGTGCTTTGATTCATCCTTTGTATAATCTGATTATTCATGGACAGATTTAATAACAAGTAAATTTTACATCACTCCTACAGACCATAACAAATATGAGAATCTAAAATTCATCCACATGCTATGTAAATATGAAAGTGCTTTTTATATAAAAAGGATACATATAGATCAATTTTTACCGAAATCACTGTGTGGCTTATTCTTTAAATGTAAAAATGATACAGATTAATTAGGGGAGGGATAATTTTTTCAAAACTTTCACTGGAAACAATGAAAGTGCCAAATTGTTGCTACATATGCTTAAACCACTTGTTTAGGAAAATCGAAGTACCATTCCATGATACAAACACAGACGTACATATATTATTATTATTTATTGAATTTATATACCGCCCTGTACCCTGAGGTCTCAGGTTGGTTCACAGAATAAAATCAAAATATAAAACCACAAAATACATAATCAAAATAAAAGCAACAACCCAATAACCCCCCCCCCAAAACCCCACATTTTAAAAGGGCATAGGATGTCAATCAAATCAACCAAAGGCCTGGTTAAAAAGGAACATTTTTACCTTGCACCTAAAGATGTATAATGAAAGTGCCAGGCAAACTTCCCTGGAGAGAACATTCCACAGATGGGGAGCCACTGCAGAGAAGGCCCGTTCTTGTGTTGCCACCCTCTGGGCCCCTCGAGGAGGCACACAAGGAAGTGTGATTAATTTTACACAAATTTATATGCAAATATACTCAAAGTCCCATTGTCTCTCAGCCTCACACAAATTTGCTAATTCCTCACATAACCCTTGTCTCTGTGTTGGCTTTCATAGATGTAACAAAAGAGAAGAGAGGGAGAAATTACCCTGGATAAATACAAAAACGGGGTTCAGAATATAAAGAATTTAGTTTACAAGCTTATAAATTGTAGTTAAGTACTTTATCTGCTTAAACAGCATTTTCAGATATTAGTGCAATAGAAGAGGCAGCCAAGTTAAGATTATGTTTCATCCATTTACTGGTTCACGTAACAGAAATATTATTTCATCCATTATGAAAAGGGTAAAGAACACAAAATGGTTATTTTTCAGAGTCAGAAATGTTTAAGGCCATAGGGCCAATTTTATCCTATAGGTTTTTTCGGAGGGCACCGTACTTTTGTCAATCTGTATAACTAGACACCCATAGAGAGGAATTATTAACATATTTATAAACCCAACAGATTTATGAAAGGCAGTGTAACAGAGGTACTCTAGCATCAGATGTTTTAAAAGACCATGGATATGAACAAAAAATCCAGAAAAGAAAAATCCAGAAGTATGTGGAAGAAATATTTCCTAATACAAATGAGATTATATATATAATAATAAAGAGTTAATATATGTATTCAGGTTTTCCCCAATGGCACTGATTCCAGATGATCTTGCTTAAATAAGGTGCCAGTTTGAACATAATGATCCTGGCATCAGAAAACCATATTTAGCTGGAACAAACATTGGGCCAACATTCTCCCCCTTCCTCAAACTGCATGCCAACTTTAATACTTTGATCATAGGATCTTTAATCAGAAATTCCCATAAGGTCTGAAATGGGGAAGGATTATTGTAATGTCAGTTTGCTAACCAAGATCTAAAACAACAGGAAGAAGTCAAGAAAGGCTACGGCTACTTAGGGAACAGCTCGTAGAATCATAGAATAGAATCATAGAGTTGGAAGAGACCACAAGGGCCATTGAGTCCAACCCCCTGCCAAGCAGGAAACACCATCAGAGCACTCCTGACATATGGTTGTCAAGCCTCTGCTTAAAGACCTCCAAAGAAGGAGTCTCCACCACACTCCTTGGCAGCAAATTCCACTGTCAAACAGCTCTTACTGTCAGGAAGTTCTTCCTAACTTATAGACCACTTATATGGGGTACTTTTATTTTTTAGTTGTTAGGACACAACAAAGGTTGAAATCTTGTGCTTTATGAGGCTTTCATTTACTGTAACTGACTAGCTTCAGACATACGCAGGGAACTTTCTCCTACTATTGCAAACAAATCTGTTTTTTATGCTTTCATTAGAATCATATTTACTGAAATGTAAACTGTTTATGTTTACTTAGATTTCACTGATAACATCAGAAAGAACATATTTTAGAGTAAGCATTTTTTATTTAAAAAATTACATGCAAATGTTATGGGAAGAATATGTCAAGTTTGCATTTCAGGAGTGAATATTTACTTAACAGATTTGTGTGAAGAGATAATAACACTGGTGATGAAATATGATGTAAGCTGCTTGTTTATACCTAACTTAGTGCTGCAAGGGAGCTGCAGTTTAAATGACTGCTCCATCCTGTTAGAGAAAATAAAGGATGTGAAGTAACTTCCATCAAAACTGCACCCAGGACTTGCTTTGCCATCACTCCATTGCTAATGTCCTTTCCCCATTCTCATAAAATACTGCCTGAGTCAAGTATGACACTTCTCTTCTCCACATAAAATAGCTTTAGCCAAGCTTTGTTAGTCTGTGTTTAAATCCCTCACATGTCCTTACTCCCAGGATAATGTCAGCAGGCATTGATCCTTGGCTATCTTAACTGCCCAACAAGAAGGTGATCCCATGGAGTTACTCAAACGTAACAAGCACCACTTGGTGCATCACTGATGGGGAGATTAAGCAGGTGAATCATCAAATGATTCTCAAACACTGAAAGGCACTTGAGCCCTCACTCTGGCTCATGACCTTAATTTTGTTTTAAATATATAAAAAGGCAGTTTTCTATGCCCTTTTCCTGCAAATGACTCCATCACATATACCTGATGCATATTTACATTGCACATTTGTGGAGTCTACTGTCAAGTCTCCATGGCTGTTTACAATCATGGGATTTTGGCCCGCGTCAATACAAAAAGGTTGAACACTGTGACACGTCATTAAACTGACAGCGATGAGAGGTGGCTGCTACTACTACATCTGGTGCCATTTGACGTTTCTAATCCTATTACAGCTTGGTATATGGAAAATAGCCATCTAATGTAAAAGTGTTCTGGAGCATCAGGAGTATAATTTTGTGCAGTCTGTGCCTGAAAACCACATGAGAAATATGCTTTGTCCTTGTGCAGATGCTTGCTAATCTATGAGGAAGACCTGAGGTGTGGCCAAATCAGGTGGCACAGTCTATAAATGATAAGATTGCCCAGAATAGTAGTGCAAGTTTCTGTGTGACTGGTACATGCTGCCCCCAAACACCCTCAAGCATACTGTTTCTTGTAGTTCCCATTAGATTCTAAACCTCGCAACTAACAGTGACTGGACACAGCCCAAGTACGACTCAGATTTCTAACTTCCATAAACGCCATCACTTGTCTAGAATCAAGGATGTGATCCAAAGAGGCAGGGAATTTTATTAAAAGGAGAAGAAAACATTGTATTTACCTTAGGACTAAAATTTAAAATACTCCATACTAAGCCTGTAGCTTCAGTAAATAGTCCCCAAACTATCAACCAATGCAAATTACCACTTCCCATTTCACATCCTGTTCTTTTAGAAGCTGTACAAAATGTAAAGTGAGAATTAGCCCTGAAATGCTGACGCTGTTAATGGTGCTGATAATTGCATGCAAACAATGTGCTTCCACTTGTTGCTGTATTCACACAAGCACTGAAGATCACTTTTAACAAGCCTTGTGCAATTATTTCTGGGCATCCCCTAAATGCTACAAGCACTACTAAAGGAATCTGAAATCCAAGTGCTATTCCTAACTGTAGGGCAGGATTGAAGCTCAATACCATGTAGTCCATACATGTCCATGTTGCTCCATACAGTGTTAAAATGTCTTCAAGAACACATACCTGCCCCCTTACAAATTAGCCATCTTAAAGAATAAATACTAATTATAGCCACATCATGCTAAGTAACACTTAAAGGCAAACTGAAACGAATTCATTCACTCAGCCTGTCTATTATATCAAGCTATGAAAACCACTTTAGTTTCTCACTTGATCGTGCTCCTTTTCATGCTGTTAGGAATCAGTGTTTTAGAGTGGCAATTCCTACACTCTGGAACTTCCTAAAAACTTTTCTGTTTAAGCAAGCCTACCTAGACATGCAAAGCTGATGTGTATTTTAATCAGTAATTCTAGCTCATAATGTATATTTTTAACTCCTTAATTATAATTTGATTTTTTTTAAAAAAAGAATTAGTTTAAGCCTTACCTTTATTAACTAATTAGTGTACAATTTTGTAACCTGCTTGGGGGTTTCATTTATAATTAAGTGGCATTCAAACTTGGTTAAATTAAGGGGGGAACTCCAGTGGATACACTGGAATGGCTTGTGAAACATTGCCTTCTATGGTGGGTGGGGGAAGGGCAGGAATGCTATTGCCATAAAGAGACAAGCTGAGTTGTAGGGGATGAACAAGGAGGAGATGATGTGCTTTCTTTATCTGTCCCAAAGTCTAAGTTTACTGTCCCGAGGTCAATGCTGAGAGCAACAGGCACTGCCTTTTGGCAATAACCAGTCCGCTTTTGCATAATACAGAAACTTCTCTGTACAGCTTTTGCAATTAGTTCTGTGTGGCGGTGGCTTGGCAATTGTATCAGACTGTTTCTGCCAGGCGTGGTGGTGCTATGACAGCAGCTTGCCACAGCACCAGTCTTCTTTGCCGCTCTGTTTGGTCTGCCACCATTGCCACAGTCTGAGTGGGAGGGGAGAGAAAGGACCCGATCAAACTGATCTATTAGGATAAGGTAAGCGCCTGGTTCTTTGAGCAATACATCTTGCAGGACAAACTGGTTTGTTGGAGACAGCTCAAACAAATGTTTCAATTCAGGGCAGAATTATCTGTGCTTCTGTTCTTACTTTTTATCCTCAGGCCCACAGTACTTTAATATACTATATTATTCTATAATTATTGTCAGGATTTTCTGTGAACCTATACATAGTGCAGCTAATGAAAGTAACTGAGCATTTGGTATAATTTATATAATGTTTATGTAATAATCACTTGGCCATGGATATGAATTTGTGCTCTATTTATAATTACAGGAGATGTAACATTGTTCCAGTTCCCAGATGCTTAAAATAAGAGACTTAAAATAAAAAATAATAATAATAGCAATTTACAAAACAAAGTAAGCTTTGTGTAGCACTCAGTTAAATTGAAATATTTTGATTCGTATGATTTACAGCCCAGTACACATTTACTGAGAACTGTCACACAGAATTAAAACGGGACTTACTCCCACATAAATACGCATCATACTTCAGCCTTAATCTCTGTGAAGTAAATGAGACTAAAATGGCTCAAATGTTCCCCAGCTAAATCCCATGTGAGTAGGACTGAACAACTAATGTCTGTCCATCCTCCAGAATGTGGAAGAAAGCTCTTAATTCTGAAATCCTCCTGTTGTGCTTTCTCAAAAAAACACCTTTACCAGTTTTCTGAACTTACAGTTACCAATACTGTTTAGGCAAAGAACCAGTTCAGTTAGCTGTTCACAACTACTATTTCCGTAAAAAACCAGACCATACGATTTGGAGGCAGCTTTAACTACTTTGCATCCTATAACATGTTTGCATGTTTCATATGCAAAAGAATCTATGCGCAGTAAATACGAGGAGTTGGAGAATGATTAATACTTTGTAATTCTCGAACCTTTACCATACACACCTGTAAATGTTTGGTAGCTCTCCTTAACACTGTAAAGAATTTACTTACTTTGAGCTTCTGATAATAATTAGCGGATTACCGGTAATTGCTGAAGGTTAACTACAATACCTTTCTGAACGCATTCCTAAATTTGAGATTAAAAAAACCAATAGGGCTAAAACCAGTAGTCTTAAGTATTTTTGCTAATTAAACCACCCTTAAATCAACAGATACAATGTTAATGCCCAATAAAACAAACAACATTTTACTGAGCCATAAGCCCTTGTGGAAGATTCACATTCAGTTAAATGATGATCACAATCTATAAGACATTTCTTTTGAACAAGCTCTATTAAAATGAACAGAGATCCCTTAGTCTTATGACACACTCATTCATGTTAATGGGTCTGGCTTAGGAGAAGTACTCAGTGAACTGGGCCCCATTTCACTGAAGCATCATGCTAACTTAACGGTGGGGTAGAAGATCTTCCAAAGAATGATTCAAACTCCTACTCAGATATAGAGGACAAACTTCTGAACACTTACTCTTAATACTTTGGTGCCATTGGTTTAGGGTCCTTGCTGTAACATGAATAACTGCTGCAGATAACACTGGGCTGCGAGGAAATGTTACAAAGAAAAACCATTGCGATTTCAAAAAGTGCTTATTCCCTATGGAGAGGGAAGAACAACGTCCCCAGCAGCGTCCACCAGAACACCTGCAAATGGAGAGGCGAGAGAACTACAGAAAGAAAGTGAAGTCTAGAAACGTCTGCTGATCCAATTTGCCCTTGAGAATTATTCAATCATTCGGAGTTGCACACCAGCGTATGGGCGACACATTTCCATTGAACAGGTGTACATTAACTCCTTTGGTCTAAACCAGCAAAAAGAAGGAAAAAAACCAGAACAATAACAACATAATGCCCTCTTCAGTGCATAGCAGCATACAAAGAATTATCGTCATCATGTATGTGCTTTTTACTATCGTCTGGGAAGTGTGCCACACTGCCGTTCCAGCTCTCAGCAGTTTTGCCATTATGTGCATCACACCTAACTGTACAACTTCATTTATCAAGAATACCCCCCTTCCCCCCCCAAAAAAAAACATTCATAGGTTTGTACACATGAGAGGGATGCTTATGCTGACATGGAATTCAAGTGACCAAGGTTCTGACAGTGGAAGGTATACTGCATTTACAAAATATCTTGCATGTTCACAGAAAAGCTTCAGCACTTAAAAGAGAATGCTACAGTGGTGGGGCAGCTGTAGGGTTATGAGAGAAGAGGAAGTCAGTTGCAAGTTCCCTTCAAACTATACGCTCAGGATTAATTGAAACTCAAAAGAGCACAATTAAATGCATAGCATTTTACCATAATCAGTGCTTCCACAGACTCTGTGGACTCTTCTGTTAATCCATATTCTTAAAAAGCTTTCTACAAAGGAAAAAGTGTATAGAAACACAATTTGAAACTGTAATCAAGGTTATATCAAGGTTACATTTTCTAAAAAAAGCTTAAATCTTGAATGTTAAATAATCACCTTTTTGGAATAAGCATCACTCGCAACATATTACAGAAGCCTCATAGAGCTTTCCACTGACTCTCCTTGCCCTGCATTTGACTACTACAACAACTTGCCAACACAGCTTATGCTTCCTGATAAGCTGGATAACTACTGGAAGGTTTGGAAGATTACATTAGATATGCTCCTCCAACAGTCTTTATGTGGAAAAGGATGCTTAGCAAAACACAGCAGTAATAACCATATCAAACATTAAGATGCTGTTTTATTACAAGTCTGTCATATGGTGGAAGCTGTGATTTAAAGCCTTATTTTCCACTAGGATTCCTTCAAGGAGTTGATTCGTGCACAGATTTTCAGTGCAGGTCCTAGCTTAATATTCATTGCACTCATGAGATGGTCCTCTTTTAATAAGAGGAGAGCCTGCCCATCAATCTCCTGGGCTCGAAATTCATCGGCAATATCTTGGCAACCTGCAAGGAAATGACATATATTAATTTAAAAATAGGCAGCGTGATCTTGAAATAAGATTTCCTCCCCCAAAGCTTGGCTTAATGACTTCCACTTTTATCTAAATATTGTCTATAATTCCATCCTTGTTTGCATTATTGTTGGTAGAAAAGAGCGCACATTCTCAAGGGTTCCAGCCCTTCATCAATCTGGGCCTTCTCTTTCTACTGTTGTAAAACCACTGAAATATTGCAGCAGACACTTCCTGTTCCTTCACATCTCTGCCAGCTCTGAAATAAAATAAAAAAATTCCTTCCATAGACCAACTAAGTTAGTTATTGGTATGAGCTTTCGTGTGCATGCACACTTCTTCAGATACACTGAAACAGAAGTCACCAGACCCTTATACATAGTGAGAGGGTGGGGAGCGGTATTACTCAGAAGGGTGGTGGGAATGGGTGATTGGCTGATAGGTGTGGTAGACCTGTTAACAACTGCTATTGGTCTTACAGGAAAAAGCAAGGGGTGAGATGGCTAAAAATAACTTTATCATGTGTAATGAGATAAGAAATAGACCTGAAATGCTCTGAAATAGACCATTTATGTCTTCTGGGGTGTGAAACACTAATATTCTACTTCAGATGAGACACAGATGCAACAGGACGGGAATCGCGTAACACTGTAGTGTCTGAAGTGTTCACAGATTACAGCTTGATCTTTGAGAATAGGAACCAAAGCACCGACCACAACACAAGGATTGGGGGGGGACCCCCTCTTCCTCCTGCTTGGTGGTGTGAATTAGCCCTGTTGACTGGAGACTTCTTGGCAGTGGAGCGTGGGTGAAACTGGGTCTCTCTCAGGATCCTAGCTGCTACCTAAGCAAACACATTCAGCCAATGCAGTGTTATCTCAACAAGAGATATTTGGGATGTTTAAAAGGAAAACAGGGTTCAGTTGAATAGGGAGGTTGTAGCACAAACCTCTCACTACACAACAGCCTCAATGATGTACCAAGGGATACTGAACAATGCCATAGTGATTATGAAACAGTACTGGTGGACATACTAAGGTGTGTGGAAGCAAAAGAAAAAGATTTAAGAACTGAAAATAAACCAGCTATTTTTGAAAACTGTCACAACAGTTTCCATCTGAGTGGTTTGAAGTGGCTGCGAGAGAAAAGGCCTACTTAGTGGTGGCACCCTGACTGTAGCGGGCTCACCTGGGACCTACCCTGATATCATTTTGGAACTAGGCAAATGTCTTTTTTATTGTTCCAGTTTTTAAAAACTTAACTTTCCCCCCTACAAATCACTTTAATGTTTGCATTTAATTTGTTTGGACCGAGATTTTATTTTATTTTTGGTAAGCCTGAGAACTTGCTGGAAGTCACCTTATGAATACCGAAACCCCCCCTCTGCTGCCAAGGATTCTGAAAGTAAACTCTAGAAGCACAAGAGGAAATAGGTGTGATATTAACCCTGTTTCTTTGCAACCCAAACCAGCCCTCCTACGCCTCCTCTGCCTCTCCCCTCAAAGTAGTAATATTGCCATCGGACATTCTTAACAAACAAATGTGCTCCATCTCCATACCAGGCAAAGAATGTATGAAGGCCCAAACATCTTCCACAGTCCATCCGGAGGGATCAGATTGTATCGCTGGTAACAAATCCATGTTGTCTGTTGTTTTCCTAATTCTCAGTTCCCTAAGTTCACGCTCTCTTTCCCTTTCACTTTGCCTTCGCAAGCGAGTGGTCATGGCAACCGGTACATTGTCTTCCTGAGAAGCCAAGTCTTCTTCTGCAGATGGATAAGTAATTGGAAGCTGGAAAATGCAGTACAGATAAACCACAGTATAACCATTTTCCTTGATTAACTCTTACAAAAGGACACCGTGGAGTTTAGTTAGCATTCCACAGACCTGTCTAAGGAAGTGTTCCCTGGGAGCTCCATCAGAGCTGCTTGGCCGTCGCCCGCGTCGCCCAAGGCTCCGGCTCCAACGACTGCTTTTGTCTGAGCCATATAATCCAAATTTCTTACTGCAGCTGACGTTGTACCTAAGAATTTTAAAAAAAATTAAACACTGAAAAATTGCTTCTGGGAGTAGAATGTCAATGCTCAGTGAGAACTAACTTTTTTAAAAAAGCAATAGAGCCTTTGGTTCCATAATGCAAGAAGGAAATAAATATCATAAACAAATAATTTTTTTCTTATCAGAAGACATCTGAAGGCAGCCCTGTTTAGGGAAGCTTTTAACGTTTGATGTATTACAGTATTTTAATATTTTGTTGGAAGTCCAGAGTGGCTGGGGAAGCCCAGCCAGATGGGCGGGGTATTTATTATTATTATTATTATTATTATTATTACTGGTCAAAGTCCATCAATTCATAGTTTAAAATAAATGTTACTTCCCTAAATGTTCTGAGTTAACTGTATCTATACATAATTTGAAGGGATGCCAATGAGTTCAAGATATTTTAGTTTACTATCTCTTGTGGTTTTATATGATTTCACCTGCAATTCTTTGGCTCCTAGGAGGGTGAGCCAAGGGTAATAGGAAGTATCAGATCTTCTCTGAGGGTGGGGAGAGTTCTGACTTCAGATTCAGATTCCCCCCCCCCCCGTCAGATTCCCCTCCTCCTCCTGTCATTACCTCTACAGTCCACACCCTACCAGTGTTGGAGCTCTAATATAGGTGCAGCTGAAAAGGGGACAAACCAGAGGAGGACTGAAGCATGACAAGGGCAAATCCAGGCTATGGCTTGGATCAAGTGCCCCAAACTACCCCCGTCATTCCACATATCCATGACCCACACCAAAAATAATTTCTGCCCAGGGGCTAGTATAGTTCAGTATTGTTTCTTTCCCTCCATTCCAAAGTTCCAACTATGTGCTACATGAAGAAATACTTTTATTTATTTCAACATTCAGCTTCACTGGAGGCTCATGAGCTCTGCTATTATGAGATGGGGAAAAACTTTTCTCTATCCACTTTTTCCATGAGTCGCTGGTGGTTGTGTTGTTAATTTCTTTACACTGCTTTTAGAGCACAATAAGTAGCATGTTTGGGTTAATTGGTTTTTTTAAAACAACAACAACAACAGCAACAACTACTATGATAAATGTTTTAATCAATCATACTGATAAATTGGGGCCTTATTTCCATAAGTCGTGAAACTGGAGCAAGAATGAATTCCTTTGGTAATTAATTATGATTAAAGTATCTGTAATTACAGGTCAAGCGGTACCCTGTGACCCCAAACGTAAGCTTGTTTATCGATTATTTGAAAGACTTGATGTTTAAAGAAGTGTTAATCCTTTTTATGACTGAAGCCAGACAAGTTATAGCAGGGCACTGGAAAACATCTGCTAATTTGACCCTGGAGACTTGGTTGGAAAGGGCATGGAACGCTGCTCTTATGGAAAAGTTATCAGAACAACTTACACCTCTAAAAAACACGAGAGCTAATGATGGTTTTGGAGAAACATGGTACATGTTTATTCAGCACGTCAGAAGAGACAGTACAATAACAAAACCACCAGCAGTGCATAGCTCTCTCTGGAACAACCTGTTAAGGTAAGAATAGAAAACAATGCCCAACAATCACAACTGTCCAAAATCCAACACGTGAAATTCACTGTAACGTATTTTGGGAGAGAAGGGAAATGGAAATTTGTGTTACATGCTTCATAAACTTGTAGTTTTTTAATACAGTACACCAGGGGTCTGCAAACTTTTTCAGCAAGGGGCTGGTCCACTGTTCCTCAGACCTTGTGGGAGGCCGGACTATATTTTGAAGGGGGGGGGGAGAACAAATTCCTATGCCCCACAAATAACACAGAGATGCATTTTAAATAAAGAAACACATTCTACTCATGTAAAAACATGCTGATTCCCAGACCATCCATGGGCCGGATTTAGAAGGCAATTGGGCTGGATCTGGCCGTCAGGCCTTAGTTTGCCTACCCATGCAGTAGACTCTCAACTTACATGGGGCTTAAGTTCCAGGGATAGAGCATAAAGCCAAAATTGCACATAGCAAAAACAACACTTTAAAAACTGTAAAAAGCACAGTGCAGCACTCTCCAACCACCTCCACGCTCCCTTTGAAGGTGGTATGCACTCTTCCCAAGGCTGCTGTAGACTTTCCCTGCACCTCTGGATGCTCTGCCAGGGTGAGTGCAGTGGCAGGTGGGATTGCCAACGTTCCCCAGCCCATTATCCTGTCCCCTTCCAATGTTTATCCGCTCTCTCCTGACTCCACCCCCTTTTCCCAGCCAAGAATGCAAAACTGTGATTGTGCCAGTTAAATATGTGTAAATTGCAAGTTGACTATATTTTTGAAAATGTAAAAAGAAAGCTTATTTAAAAAACAAACTGATAAACACCACTAGCAAAACTGGAACAAAGAGTCACTAGGCTGGGTAAATCCTATGCTGGGGTCTCACTGAAGAAGAGTTTGGATTTGATATCCCGCTTTATCACTACCCTAAGGAGTCTCAAAGCGGCTCACAATCTCCTTTCCCTTCCTCCCCCACAACAAACACTCTGGGAGGTGAGTGAGGCTGAGAGACTTCAGAGAAGTGTGACTGGCCCACGGTCACCCAGCAGCTGCATGTGGAGGAGCGGAGACGTGAACCCGGTTCCCCAGATTACGAGTCCACTGCTCTTAACCACTGAACTATTTGGTTCATAAGATTTTGATCCCAAATCCAGCGCTATGTTTAAAAAGCGGGCCTATACACAATTTTTGGAATATTTGAAATTATAACTAATGAAGAATACCTCTTGGCACAGGACATGGTGCAGAATCGCTTTGATCGCAGAAACTTATTTGCATATCCCATTTTCCCACAAAACTCGCACTTGAGGAGATCCGTTTCCATCTCATCCAGCCCCTCTAAAGGGAAACAGCAACATAAATTCAGTCAGTCTGAGCCACTCAATTATAAAAACATTTTCAAAAGTCCGACAGAAGCTGTGATGAGCTGTCAAAGAAAAGATACTCCAAACCGTATTGCCAAGAGAAACGGTATTTGATGGCTTGTATAAATTATGTAGGGACACGGGTGGTGCTGTGGGTTAAACCACAGAGCCTAGGGCTTGCCGATCAGAAGATCAGCGGTTTGAATCCCCGCAATGGGGTGAGCTCCTGTTGCTTGGTCCCAGCTCCTGCCAACCTAGCAGTTTGAAAGCACGTCAAAGTGCAAGTAGATAACTAGGTATCGTTCCGGCGGGAAGGTAAACGGCGTTTCCGTGCGCTGCTCTGGTTCGCCAGAAGCGGCTTAGTCATGCTGGCCACATGACCCGGAAGCTGTACGCCGGCTCCCTTGGCCAGTAAAGCGAGATGAGCGCCGCAACCTCACAGTCAGTCACGACTGGACCTAATGGTCAGGGGTCCTTTTATCTTTACCTTATAAATTAATTTAGATCAAGTGAGTTTGTCTGTAAACATACTTATTTTGCATAATTTAACGAACATTTAAAAGTGCCTGAAGCTGAGTCAGGTCCATTCAGCCCAACTGCTTTGACTAGCAAAGGATTGGATAGGCTGCAGCCTGAACCTAGGATCTTCATGCAAAACATGCATTCTACCAGTGTATTACCACCCAGAGCTCCAATGCAGCACAATGACCCTATGCAGGCAATGGGAAATCGAAAGCTAAGAACACAAAATTTGTCTTGCTAGATCAGGGATGGGGAACCACTGGCCCATGAGCCAATCCTGACCCACCGTGTCGGCGCATGAGGCCACCCTCCTGTCAAAAACTCCCCAGAACTGGATGAGCCAGTTCTTTATCTAGTCCTTGGGATGAAAACGTTTTCCTCACTCCTGGCGCAGAACAAGTTGCCAACTGCTGCCTTTAAGCAAATTCATTGTTTGAGTAAATGTTGGCTGAACCGGTTAACTGTAGCATTCGTTCACCAGGCTAGCACCACTTGTGAGTAAAGTCCAAACCAAAGAGAAAACAAGGATGCAAATACTTGAGACACCACAAAAGAACAGAAACACTATTTCTTGGAGGTTCGTTGAAGAAAAGCGACTATTAAAACAGAAGCAACCAACCAAATAAATAAATAAATAAATAAATAAATCCATCCTTCCTATCGGAAAATATAATACATTCGTGTGGATTACAACAAGCACAGGAAGGCTCATTGTTTGCAGTTCCTCCAATGTCTTAGTTAAGACTGAAACATAAGACTGAGAAATAACTGTAAGAGTGGGGTGCGTAACAGCATACGTATAAATTTTGGCACAAAACATGAAATGCTTAACACAATGCTACTTTTTTATTTAAAAAAACATAATTTGAGAACTACTTGTCCTTTATGAAAAAGGCCACATGGAATTTTAGTCAAATAAAGTACAACAGGTGACCAACAGCTTATCTTGGAAATATAAGAGATTATTGCATCTTATTTTACTTTTGCTAAACACTACCTGCAGAACAGCTTCTGTAGTATAAAAGCTGTTAACTCTTTGAAATATCCAATAGCTGAACAAAAGGAACTGCTCAATGGCTTATCTGATGGTGTTTACAAAATACGGAGGAATTTAACGACGACACAAAATGCTGCTTTTCAATGGTATGAAAGCCGAACACCTGAAAATTCAGTTCCCTGTACAGACAGGAGTGTCTCTATGAAGATATTTCAGCATAAATCAGGTTATGTCATATTTTTGGCCCATGCTTGCCCTTTTGTTGTAGTGATCTCCAACCCTATTTCTGCACCAAAGAGATTCACCTTGGCTCAGTATATAAATTTGGACTCTCTCTTGTCTATGCTTGTTATTTCACCTGGGATTCTACCCATGAAAATTCCCTACTGTCAGCTTGATGAAAAGGGGAAGGGCTTGTCTATAAATCAATGTAGTTCTTATTACGCTGTACAGTGGTGCCTCGCAAGACGAAATTAATCCGTTCCACGAGTCTCTTCGTCTTCCGGTTTTTTCGTCTTGCGAAGCACGGCTATTAGCGGCTTAGCGGCTATTAGCGGCTTAGCGGCTATTAACGGCTTAGAGGCTTTAAGAAAAAGGAAACAAACTCGCAAGAACTCGCAAGACGTTTCATCTTGCGAAGCAATCCCATAGGGAAATTCGTCTTGCGGAACGACTCAAAAAACGGAAAACTCTTTCGTCCAGCGAGTTTTTCGTCTTGCGAGGCATTCGTCTTGCGGGGCACCACTGTACTAGGCTGACTGGAATCTGGCTGTGTACCACCAAAATTGCAGTTATTTTACATAATGGAGCCTACTGTAATGCACAGTTGCCTGATCAAGCAAGGAAGGGAAGTCCATACATGCTGCTGATGTGTATGTGTTACCATTTGAAGGGGATAAGGATACACATCTGCAGTCAGGGCTGTGACCTCCATGCAACAAAAAGGACAACAGCTGGATCAGGTGCTAAAACATTTATTTACAACTTCGGCATCCACACAAAATATGGCATTGGGTGACAACGTCTGGGAAACTCTCTTTCCTAACATACAGTGGTACCTTGGGTTACATACACTTCAGGTTGCATACGCTTCAGGTTACAGATTCCGCTAACCCAGAAATAGTGCTTCAGCTTAAGAACTTTGCTTCAGGATGAGAACAGAAATCGTGCTCCAGCAGCACGGCAGCAGCAGGAGGCCCCATGAGCTAAAGTGGTGCTTCAGGTTAAGAACAGTTTCAGGTTAAGAACGGACCTCCGGAACGAATTAAGTACTTAACCCGAGGTACCACTGTACCGTATTATTCTGTGTATAAGACGCCCCCATGTATAAGACGCCCCCTATTTTTTGAGCCCAAAATTAAGAAATAAATATTTTAAACACCAAACAGAACTTTGATATTTTATTAAATTTTCAAAACACCGGTATATTTAGTACCATATATTTAAACATCAAACAGTGAGGCAAGCTGTGTAATGGCGGCTGCTCCTGTCAGCTCAGTGTAACTCCACCGTAGCTACAGCTACAGCTCTCCCACCTGTATGTGGCACTTTTGTCTCAGTATTTACGGTATGTACCGTATTTACTCCACGAGCGCTGGCAGATGCGAACGCTGATCAAGGAACTGCGATTGCCAGAGCTGCCTGAGTGAGTGCGCTTGGGGAATGGGGGGGTCTGGGTAGCCAGGGGACGGCTGAGGGAACTGGGTGGAAGGGACAATGTCTGGAGTGGGGGCTGCTGGGGGGGGGAGAGTATCAGACCAGGGTTTGTCGTGAGGGAAGGCTGGGTGAGGTAAGAATATGGATGGCGGCATGTATTTATTTACATATTTAATTGCAACATTCCGTTGTATAAGACAACCCCCAATTTTAAACTTTAAAAAATTGGGGGGAAATCTCGTCTTATACACGGGAAAATGTGGTCATTAGAAATCTCAGGAAAAATATAGAATAGGCTCAGGTTTCAGAAAATACAGCTGCTCAGCATATGTTAAATAAGATGCACAAACCTTCCGTAATTATATCCTCCAACTCCGTGTCTGAGGAGTTATCTACGTGCTTTGCATTGTTCTGCAGCTCTGGCTCCACACACATAACGTTCATCGCCTGGCCCTCCACCAGCAGCCTCTTTTTTGCAGGCTGCTCAACTAGAAGAGATGAACAACTTACCTGTTACAAGAGAAAAGAAGAAAATCATGATACAAGAAAATAGTACACATAACCTTGCAAGGTCAGGGCATGCGTTCATTAGACTTATTGCTACACAGAGAGACAAAGAATAGATGTGTGCCTTTTGTTGTCTACGGTCCAACTCCGAACCAACATAACAATCGAAACAGATGAAATGAGAATGGAAGAATGAGAAGAGAAGCAAATAAATCTATTTTTCATTTGAAATAAATAGTTGCTTATTTTAGACTTCTATCTGTGGCTTTGGAAATCTCAAAACATAGGGGAAAGTATCAAAAGAAGACACCGCAGAAAATATATATGCTATTTTCAATTCATCCAATGCCTGTTATATCGAAAATATCTTCCCACTCCTTTTCTGATAGATTACCTTCCATTGTCTTGCATTTCTATTTTCTGTCTTTAAATGTGTAGAAAGGAAAGAAAAGAGACTCAGGAAGATAATCTGCCTGTTATGAAGGTAGAAGAATTCTGCTGGATGTTATACGTGGAGCTGCCTCTAAAGGATGTAGCACCAATCCTGGCCCAGCTGCACTGGCTGCTATTTAGCTTCTGCGCCCAATTCAAAGTGATGGTTTCGACCTATGATGTCTTATGCTGCTCAGGATGCCAATAGCTCATATGAACAGACCCTGGGATCTGTGATGAGGCCTTCCCAGAGAATGGGCCTTTTCTGCGGTGGCTCCCCGTTTGTGGAACGCTGTCCCCAAGTTTAGGCAAAAACATAAGTTTAGGCAAAAGCATTCCTCTTCAACCAGGCCTCTAGCTGTTAATCAACCTATGGCCTTTTCAAGCGGCGGGGGGGACGGGACACAGTATATAATAATAATAATAATAATAATAATAATAATAATAATAATATAAAAAATGGCTTGGAATCTATCTACAAGTATCTTTCTATCCTCTTTGCTTATTCTTTCCTCTCTGAAGTTCAATAGATGGACTGAACATAAGTTGTATTTAACAGCTGACAACAATAACAGTGTGGTATAGGCAAAAATCTGCCCGTTCAGGCTCAGCCTATCTAGAAGTGAATCCACTTAGAAGACTGTGGCAGGATTCGGATTGGGTAAATCAGTCTATTTCTAGTCCATGACCGTTTTGCATGTTTTGGCATCAATTACAGTACTGGTTCATAATCTTTGCTTTAATGGTTGCCCCCAAGGAAGAGTCAATTGACTCAGAAGGTCTTGGGACAAATACATAATCTTATCTACCTTTGAGCTCTCCTCTCTACATCCTGACATTGGATGGCTTCCCATTTCCTGCCCCCTTTTTTATACTGAGTCAACACATTGGTCCACTGAACCCTGAATTACATAATCTGAAGGGCAGGAGTCTTTTGGGACTCATGCAGAGGGCCTTCCTAGCTCTGCTACTTTATGTTCAGAATTGCAGGGAGGCAACACATCTAAACCAAGAAAAAACAGACCCCAGTGACCACAGTGAAATAGTTTCTAAAAAGCTATTTGACAGACAGCAGTTACTAGAATCAAGTTATTTGGAGCGAAAAGCTTTAGAGAAGCAATAGCCCCAAATAACCATAACACATTGCCTCCTAAATCAAACCAACCAACCAACCAACCAACCAACCAACCAACAAGATACAAATATGGCTCAACATTGCACACTTACAGGAAATGGCTCTAACCCTTCTTGGATCACAAAGCCCTCAATAACATGGGTCAGGATCTGTGGCTTAACGATAGCCTGTGGAGGTTTGTTTTCTATGCTAGGGTTCTTATGAGAGACTGATGCGCTGTTACTCCTTGTTGGGATTGCTGGAAGCAAAAGAGGTGGTTGTGGAACAGAGGCATGTGAAGGGTCTGATGGTGATTTAATTACAGAAGCGCTAACTGATGAGGCCATTGAGGGATGTCCGTCTTGTTCTGGAAAAAAAGTATTATTTTTAAAAAACAACTCAAGCATTATTTACATTCACAGCTTCACTACTGCAGAATTCATTCCTAATTCTTGTTTCCTCAACTGACAAATTGCCAAAGTAATTTAGTCTTTTTGTCCAGTGCACTCTTATCTTAGATAAGAGCCTACCAGTATCACAAATGCACTGTTGGGAGTGGGAACTGCACAACATAGCAATTTGCATAATGTGATTTATCACAATATTGTTTAACTAGCACAGAAATCCAGTTCCACTGGCATGAAATTTATTGGTGCAAGGAGGACAATATGCTAGCAGCCTGTTGTGCATAATAATTATCCTTCTTTCTTGCCTAAAGCATTTTTCTAGTCCATTAAACATTATTGTAACATTAAAGGAATCACACTCATATTTTTATTTTTAATAAGCAGAAGATAAATTGTATACCCTAATTTGTGTACTGCTGAGAAACTGAGAAACAACCAGCAAGCCTGCCTCCTATGTTTCTGTTCCTTAACTGTCACTGCTACTTGTTCAATTCTATGGTCCATCTTGCCCAATATTCTGCCTGTGAGATATTCCATTTCTGGATACTTTTGAGGAAATGCACACCAATGAGAGTTTACCTATAGCTAAATAGCTACTGACATTCTCGTCTACTGTTATCTTGTGTTGACAGAGGTTAACAGAAGTGACCAGCAATTGTGAAGTCTGGCTTTGTGACATTTCATTTTTTTAAAAATGGAAACTAACCAAATTATACCCCGTTAAGCAAAGTGCATTGGTGCTTTTCACCAAATCTGATGAATCCGTGGCCTGGGATGGGGACTGGAATGCAATGTAAGGTGTGGGGGGTTAAAATGCAATGATTATTGAGTTACACCTATTGCCATGACATGTTTTAAGATAGCTGGCTGCAGACATCTGGCTTACAGATGTTAAGAGACTGGTAGCACTAGAGATCTGGGGATCTTAGGGCAGATGAACATTGCTAGTCATGGCCTCTGAGCAAGCAGCAAAAAAACACATTAGGCAAAAGACTCAATCCTACATCCACCTCAAGTCAATAATGCCTGGTTTTGGGGTCTGTGAAACCCTAAGAGGCTGCCCCTGCACCCCTCCCCAATTCCACAATCATGTCAGCCATTGGTTGTACCTCAGTGGCTATGTGGCTGCTCACTTATGCGTCCCCTCAAATAGAAACTGTTTAGCTCCTTCCTCCTTTGTTCCTACTGACGTTGGATCTGCCTGGCTTCCTCATGTCCGCCTATTATAACAGGCCCTTGAATTCTCTCTTTTTCCTTCAGGGTTCTGAGCTGCAGAAGCACATGTGCAAAAAAAGCAGAGGCTCTTGCCGTTTCCTTCTGCCTTAAGCTACAAACCAGCAGGCTGCTTGCTGCTAAGGTGAACTAGTTGGCGGGTGATCAGTTTCCCCCCTGTCCTCTCCCCACCTTGAATCTAAATTGGTTTCAGCAATCTGCTGACTCCAAGACACAATTCAGACATTCAAGTATACTGGGTGAGATTCTATCCCTTTATCTTGCAGCACAATCAAAACTGCACAAAGAAAAAAGAAAGGCCACTACACCGGAATCTGCCCTAAATAATTACGCACCTCCATATTCCTTCTTACCTGAAAAAGGTTCCTCATAGCCAAGCTCGTCTCTGTTTCTTAAAGTTATAGCTGGAGGTGACAAGGTGGGTGGAGTGGGGGTCCTAACCATACGCACACAGTCCGATTCTTCTGGCATCTCCTCCTCACACATGTCTTCCACTTGATAAATCTGCATTGAAGAGGTAAGCACTTTTAGAAGCAAACCCTACAGATATTTTATGGAATTGTTAATTGCCCTGGGTCTTCATTTTTTTGAAAGGAAATGCAGGACAATCATACTGAAATAAAGGTTTTGCCAACTTAATCAAAATAAGGCTATTATCAATGTAACTTTAGCAAAGATTACAGTCATACCTCGGGTTACAGATGCTTCAGGTTGTGCATTTTCAGGCTGCGCACCGCGCCAAACCCGGAAGTACCGGAAAGGGTTACTTCCAGGTTTCAGCGCTTGCGCATGCGCAGAAGCACTAAATCGCACTTTGCACATGCACAGAAGCACCGAATCGCAACCCGCGCAGACGCGGCGCTGCAGGTTGCAAACATGCCTCCTGCACGGATCACATTCACAACCTGAGCGTCCACTGTATAGTGATTACTGCTTCATCATGGAAAAAACAGCTGGTGCATACATGACAGGGTTAGGATACTTTGATTTACATATGCATTCATTCTTTTAGCTATTTCCATCTTGCTCTTGGTCAAGACTTCTCAGAGTACCTAACAATTTTTAAGTCAAATGTATAATCTATCACATCAAAATTGTAAAACCGGCAAACGCTTTTGAGAAAAATCCTGAAGAGCTGTAAGAAAACAAATATCTAACATCCACCCAGTTTAAACTTGTCACTGTTTCATCTCCCATTTCAAAACTGGAGAGGGAAGTTATCAGATGCTTACCACCGGGGTCTCAACAGGTACTGCTTGTTGCACTTGAAGATTCACTGCAACCGTCTGAGGAGGAGGAAGAGTCTGAAACGGCAGCTGGACCAACGCTTCGGCAGCAGGAAGCTCCTCCTCAGAAACCAACGTGTTCTGCACCAAAACCTGACCCTGGGACAAAATGTCAGGCTGCACTTGTAAAGACTGAACAGGCGGGAGAGGAAGCGGCTGGCTGTGGGCTGGAGATGTTGGCAGCTGGGGAGAGGCTGCCACTGGGATTGGCGTGGGCTGCAAAGCTGGATACTGCTGGTGAGGCGTTGGAGATGTTATATGTTGGCCTGTGGACACCATGGCAGGCTGATCCGGTGACCCAATGTGAACTATTGGGGAAGGTGGCAGCTGGGCTGGAAGATTAGAAGGCTGTGAGGTTGTTTCTGCTGGCCTATCATCGGCCTGCGCTGGGTGATGCTCTGACTGAAGTGCTGGTGTTGCTAGCGGATGTGTCTGCGACTGAATAAGAGCCTGGGGGTGTATAATTATTGTTGGCGACTGGCTGGGCGAAGGAGGTGGTGGTGGAGATACCACTACTGACTGTTGGGAGGACTGGGATGGAGTTGGAGAAAGTGGAGGAGGAAGTGGCGGGGGATGGATGTGGACAGGTGTGCAGTGCTGCGATGAGGCGCTGCTGGGGGCTGGAGGAAGAGCATGGCCTTGGAGAGGGGCACAGTGTTGCGACACAGATGCTTCCTGGTTGGGAGGAAGCTGGAGCGTGATTGGTTGAACTTGTTGCTGCTGGAAGATCAGCTGGTGGTGGGAAATTTTTGAAGGTGGTGAGTGAAGAGGGGACTGCTGGTGCTTTAACAGAGAATGAGGCTGAATAGCAGAATATGAAGCTGCACAGTGAAAAGGAAAATAAAAAGAGAGAATCAATAATCATTTCCTTAAATCCGCAAAAAATAATAATGCATGGTTTTAGTCATGTCCACCCGGCATTTGACCAAATCAAGCAAACAGATCCATTATAAATGGCAACTAATATATTCAATACAATACCCTGAATTTGACAAATCCTTAGAGAAACACACCTATGAAAGATAATATGAAGGTTGGGGGACTATTTTTTCACTAAAAAGTCTTCATTTTTAGAATTAAATTGGGCAACTGTAACAGACAAAACAGTAGTCAAATCTAAAATCAAAGTTGTAGCTAACTTTTTTCCAGTGACTATCCCTAGGAAGCAGTTCTTCAGGCATACTACAATAATTTGTATGTTAACATTTGGTATCTGAAGAAGTGTGCATGCACACGAAAGCTCATACTAATAACAAACTTAGTTGGTCTCTAAGGTGCTACTGGAAGGATTTTTTATTTTATTTTGTATGTTAAGAGTTTTCACTCCCGTTCGCTGCCTTAAAATCTATATAATTCATACATTTATGGAAGGGCATGTGTTATTGTGCCATCATGTATTAAAATACTTACAAATATCCTAATAAAAATAATTCCACAGTAGAGCTTCAAGTCTGACTGTAACATTCAAACGCTAACCCTAAAATCCTATGGGTCCCTGGGATGGCAACCCATGGGATAGAGGAAGATCAGCTTTCCAGTAGTGGAAAGAGACATCTAACCTTGGAGAGGGAGACCATAAGCCGGCTGCTCACTTCCTGAAGCTGTGGAAACTGCCATGGCCCTTTGCTTTGCTGATGTCAGAGTTCTGGTGCTTATAGGGTTGACAAGGGTGTTTTGGGGCCAGACCAGGGCAAGGCTTGGGTATGAATGATCCATTGCTGTCCCAGTTCCCCGACATGCCCCAAACCAGGAGGACAAGCCCTGGGGCCGACATATTTCTACCGATTTGATCCCAATGAGAATGGGAGGGAAATTTAAAACAAAAACAGGTAGGTGCACAAGAGCAATCCTTAAACCAGCAGAGCGCTGGATTGGGATGTTCTGTTCTGTTCTCCTCTCACCCTCAGGAATTGCACAAAGTGAAGTTTATTGAAATGCTTCCCTCTCGTCAAATACGTCAGTTCAACTACTGTTGGTAACGGGAAGAAACCTTCCCAGATAGATATACAGTGATGTACCACTAATGTGCCACGCTGTTTCTTCAATATATGTAAAATGAATATGTACGTCACATTTCAATGACTTTAGGCAGAATTTTTCAGTCCAGAATGTGATGGAACACTGTCGTGTCAGTATATGAGTGCTTGTTTTAATGTTCCCACTTACCTAGAGCTTCCTAGAATTTCCTGGGGCTTCAGATTTTGTGGTGCATTCCACACAAGTGACTGGACACAGAAAATATGCACAAAAATCAAACAATACATTGTATTTAAAATGAACATTCTTTGAAGAAGGTGACCTCTCTGTCCTACCTGGTGCCATGAGCTGATGAATACTTGACGTGCGTGTGACGGCTGGGCTTCGAGGCTCTGCTGTTGGGCTGTCACCTTTCCGTTTGCTTTCTAGAGGATCTGACTGGCTGGCTTTGGTACTGGTTACGGGTTTATTAGGGCACACAGCTAGTGTCTGGGCATGACTACTGCTTTTTGGAGAGCCGTTCTGTGAACTAGATAATACACCCAACTTCTGGCTGCGTAATGTCAAATTCTGGACCTAAAGAAAGTGATTAAAAAATAAATCCAACATGAAGTTTAATAACCAGCTTAATGGCAAACTTTCAATTTGATGGTACCAAAATCAGAAAAGCACTACAATGAAGCCCAGTAAGTTCCATGGGAAAAGCAGTTCAGAACTGAGCTTCTCAATATTTACTGTTGACACAGTGCCAGAGATGTTAAGAATACCGAAGTCCATACTATCTTGGTTAGAGAGCAATCTTAAAATTTACAAGATATTACTATCGGACTGACAATAAATAGTGGAATTCAAATCCATTCACAGTTCCCCCAAGGAAATTACTTGGCTTGGTCTTCTGTCATATCTATGATAGGCTATACAGTTCTGGTTGGGGTAGCAGCAGGATAAAATGAAAAGAGGGAGGAAACATAGATACCCCTAATATTACCATACAGAAAGGCCACCTCAAAGTGTATCTAACAAACCATTTAAATATATTGCACAAAGGGATGTAACATATTTGTATTGAACACTAGTTGTAAAAGTGAAACACAGCACAGAGGTACAAGATTCTTATAGTTCCACATGATGCTAATTGAATCCTGAAAAGATGAAGTTTCCCACTGGTAAATAAAATAAAAACACTGTAGGCACTTCACTAGACCACAGCTGGGTCAAAGTCAATGCTTCTCAAATCAGAATTACTTCTCACATTCCAGGAAACTGTTAGATACCTACACCTAGCTTGAAATGCCAGGCCGTAAGGTGCTATACTTATAATAAAAAGGGAAGGGAAGTCCAACTATATCTGTTTTGAACACTTCCATAATCATGTTGATCAAACAGACAATAAAGAAATTTATACCCTTAAGGGCCTGCATAGCTTCACACGAACCACTGTTAACTGACAACCCAAGACATTCCTGTGACCTTTGGGGTCCCTTCCAACTCTACAATTCTATGGTTCTATGAAAAGACTGGAAGAACATGGGAGCAAATCTGTCTTCACAAGAGAGGAATACTGAACATTAAGAAAATTATCAGACCTGCCTGGAGAGAATTTGAATTGTGCTTATCGAAAGGAAAACCAATTCACAATGTTAACCAGCAGGAAATTAGGCGAGAAGAACAATATTGGTGACAGATCTTAGAATAATTGACTGCTTTGGTCAGAGTTCTTGGCATGTAAAACCTGGCATTCTGTGGTACAACTGTAAAAATTCCAGCAGCTACAACAATACAATTCCCTATTTGGCTTCCTGTATGATATACAGTCAAACCTTGGATCGTGAACGCCTCCATTTTGGAACGTTTCGGCTCCCGAACGCCAAACCCTGGAAGTAAATGCTCCGGTTTTAAATGCTTTTCAGAAGCCGAATGTCTGACGCAGCTTCCGTTTGAGTCCAGGAAGCTCCTGCAACCAACTGGAAGCTGCGCCTCGGTTGTCAAACATTTCAGAAGCCAAACGGATTACCTTCGACAACAGAGGTTTGAGTGTATACAGTATGAACACAAAATCTACTGATGATGTACTGAAGGTCTGCAAAAAATTGGAAAAATCATAGATGCACAATGGAAACAAAAATACTATACTGATGCTGAATATCTTTGCTGTGAATTTATAGCAATAGCTCAAAGACTTCCAAAGTCCATGCTGCCACAAGCAGTACTTCTTTTCATACTGAAACAAAAACTCCTGGATAATGTGCCTAATGTTTCTCACACTTGCAGTGTCAGTGGCAAGTGGCAAGTGCAGTTTCTCAAAGCTCAAACTTATAAAAACTTACATACGCTCAATCATGTTGCAAAAGAGACTAGTTGGCTTGAGAACTATAACAGCTGAACATGCCCAAGCGTCAGCACTTGACCTGAAGGAACTGGTGGCAAAATTAGTAAAGGAAAAGGGACTCAAAGCAAGATACTGATGTGCATGAAATTGAAATTTATGAGACTTACATCTTAATATCATAATTCACAAGATTGCTATTCAAAATGATTTGGCAAAAACATTTTCTATTTGAGAAACATAATCAAATATGGATGTATTATATATTCTTTCAATTTAAGATAAATTTAGCAGTTTCAAGTTTGTGCTTTTCATTTTTTCTGCAAGACATCGGTTTCTGAAAACTGAAGTTAGCAATTTTTTGAGGTAGTTAGCCTTGCCTAGGGCACAAAATAGTCTGGCACTGACACTGCCTATATGTTACTTCAAAGTAGTAGCTTAAAATTAGCAGAACTACCCTGCTCTTTCCTTGAAGGCATAGCCTAAAACAGGCTTCCTCAAACTCGGCCTTCCAGATGTTTTCGGCCTACAACTCCCATGATCCCTAGCTAGCAGGACCAGTGGTCAGGGATGATAGGAATTGTAGTATCAAAACATCTGGAAGGCCGAGTTTGAGGAAGCCTGGCCAGAAGCTGAAATATTCCTTCTCTCCAGGAAAGACAAAAACTCCCCACCTTCATCTTGAAGAGGAATGAACTTTTTGCTCTTTGCTCTGTTACATATTGAGATGGATGATTTTTCTTTTATTTTCTTCTGTTCATTGCTCTGTCTGTCTTTTACACAAAACAGTGTCTATGACTAGGTTCCTGACCCTAATATGGTCAAAGTCACAGTCTCACTTTTAAGAAATAATACATTGAGGTATTTAAAAACTACAGAGGACAATGAACAATGACAAGGAAACTATAAATGAAAATATGAAGTCGAGCACTCAAAGTTAACATACCACAGTAAGACTGAAGGTAGTGGTAGAAAAAAGAGGCAGCAGAAAAGCAAGCAGATCAAAAAATTGAGAGGATAGGGTTATTGATGTGGCAACAGTTCTTTGTGAGGTCACTGGAAGCCTTGAGGCCAAAGATCCTACATGAGAAAAGATTGCCCTTAAGCTCTTAATTCTCATACACGCTCAAATATGGGGCACACTGAGCTAATGCAAATGCAATATATTTATTTGTACAAAAACAAAAGCTTATACTGGAACAGTTGGCTGCCTGCTTCCTTGATTGTGTTCTGAAAAGGGGGATTACTTAGGAAGCAAACCAATACATGCCCTTATTTTTCAACCTGACTACTAAAATCAATACTTTAATCTTTTGGGTATGCTTTTAGTACAGGTTAACAGGGGGAAAATACAGAACAATCTTATGGTAAGCAGGGCCAAGGCATCACTGGTTGGTGGATGATATCCATGCTTTATGATGTCACTGCTGTCATAGAAACCATGTGTGCACACAAATGAAAATGCCATCAGCCAGTACAAGAGCATGGAAAGCTGAGAGAGGAGGCAACATCTTGAGTGGGGCAGGGTCAGCGAAAACCGAAACAAGAACGCTCCACAACCTGGGGCACAATTCAGATTCTGGGCACATAGTATGGAACAGGAGTTTGACTGGCTACAGAGTCAGTCAGCCCTTTGCAAAGTAGACCTCTACAGTCCCGACGAGTCAAGAAACCAAGACCGCAAAGTTATCTGTTTCGTTGATGTTGGCAACCTCAAAGTAACAGACAAACACAAACACAACAGAGGATTATCTGGTGCCGCTGACCCTTGTCTTGACCTTCGTAATCTTGAAGAAAAGGAAGTAATTGTAATAAAGGACAACGAGAACGATCCCCATTCTAATACCGAAGGCTCTGTCTGCCTTTTCAAGCAAGGCTCTTCTGAAGAACTCAACGTTGTTAGCTGGCTCAGCAACGACCTTCAGAAATACGCAGTTGGATTCCAGCATGCACTAACCCCCTCAGGCCCTCGTAAATCTGCTTACAATTCACCTGCGCTTGAAAAGATGTCCCAGACCAGTGATACTTCCTTCCGGGGCAATGGTTGCCCAAGAGGAGGAGATGATCTTTCCTATTATGTTAACAAACTCTGTTCTTTAGTGGTTCAAATGGCACAGAAGGAAATGAAGGATAAATTTGACAGTAGTAAATGCATTCGGCAATCAATCAATCCCCGCGGATCAAACAGCAGTGCAGACTATGGCAAGCTATCCCCCAAATCATCTCACGATGACCCCAGAAAAGCTTCCGTCTTTTATGGAGAGATGTGCAATCAGAACGGCTACAGGAATGGTCAGGGAGCAGACAGACAAATGTTGGAAAGGAAACAGTCATGTCCTGGACAGGATGATGGCTCTGTAAGCAAAGGGTTGATGGTATATGCAAACCAGGTTGCTTCAGATATGATGTTCTCATTCATGAAGACAATGAAAGTCCAAAAAGGCAAGCATCCTCCACCAGCTTGCGTGGTGTTAAAGAAGGTGCTTTTGAAACACACCAGGGATGTCATATCTGACTTAATCGACTCCACTATGAAAAATCTACACAACGTCACAGGAGTGCTCATGACAGACTCTGACTTTGTCAATACAGTGAAGAAGAACCTTTTCAATGCAGGGACCCAGAAGTCAACTGAGATTCTGGAAGCAATGGTGAAACGTTTATTCAAAGCATTGTCAGGAGATGATAAAAAGCAATGCTTAGCTTTCACTGCACTAAAAGCAGGTACACACACAGACTCCAGAACTCAAGGATTGCAGTTTGCATCACTTAAAGGTGAAATGCAGGGCAGAGGAGGAAATGGACAAATGAGGCCCCATCCCGGTGGAAGCAAAGGTGCAGACAAGCACTGTTCAATGGATGTGTACGCTAAAGACCTTATTGTAACAGCGTTAATGTTAATACAGCAACACCTCTTAGAAAAAAACAAAGATCAAGCACCCACCCGCGAGACAACGACCACATCGTTTTGCTGTTCCCATGACAGAAGCGGCGGGTCCAAATATGGTTCAAGGCCAGGCGGGGGCAGGCAGGAAAGCCTGGAATCCCAAAAATGCGACATCTCAAGTATTCTCTTGTCCATCATCCAGAAAGTACTAAGAGAAGCTGGTGTTGCAGACGAGTGTCCCCCTGACAGAGGCTATAAGCAGCCTTCCTTTGCCGAGTGCAGACCACAGAGGGCCTTATCTAAATCCTACGGGGGGCCTGATATGAATGACAACATGGAACAGATAAACAAGCAGTTTATTGACCAACTGGTGGAATCGGTGATGAAGCTGTGCATGCTGATGGCTAAAGGTGGTGAGGACGGGAAATGTAACGGGATGCCATTGGGTGTGGGCTCTGAGGTGATTGTGAATAACCAGAACTGCAACAACAGTACACAAAACAAAGAACTGCAAGCTGTGCTCCAGTGGTTAGTTGCTTCGCAATTCAATGTGCCAAACCTGACATTCATGAACGATCAAGACGGAGAATTGGCAAGGCTTCCTCAGCTGGCTGACAAAGCAGCCAAGAAGGGCTACAGCGTAGGCGACATTGTTCAAGAGGTAATGAGGTATTATGAAAAACAACAGGCGGATGCCATGTCGGGACAAATGCCTCGGTGTGGACTAGTCGACTGGCTGCTTGCTAACCTGTAAGAACTAACTCTTCCCTCTCATGTTACTCTCGTGAGCCCAGTCCAGGCGCCGAAACCACTCTTTGCTGGCGCAACGGAAACCACCAATACAGCCCCACTGCAAGCAACAGTGCACTGAACTGAACTGGGGTAGCTGGGCAAGCTCATCAATAAAAAAGAATAAAAAAAAAAGTGAGAGGGGAGACAGGCTGTTTATTGATCACTTCAAACAAATAACCAGGTCCTAATTAGCTGCAACATTATACATAATCCAAGGAGCCCAGAAACAGCATTAAAAAAAAATAAACCAAAATGCAGGATGTGTTCAAGGCCTTTCTACTACTCCTGTAGGCTGCTAATGAAAATTAGTGATAAGGCACAGAAAGGTGGGGAAAAGAAGGGAGGGGAGGGAGTCCAAGTTTCCGGTCACAGTAGATGAGAAAGTATCAGTTGTGGCAACCGTCTCAACTCGTTACAAATCAGAATGTGTTAAATCTTAAAACCTTATCTTCACTTCTGCTTTGTGACACACACTTTGTGCTTTGTACATTCCACCCTCATCTACCGACTGATGTAAAGAAGTATTCTGTCTCCAAAAGGAGCGCTCCAGAAAATAAATGTTAGGACAATGCATTTACGTTGTGTTCACTTCCAGGCCAGTTTATTTTAAAGGAATCTCCGTGCTTCTCCTTTGCTGCTGCCCATAACTTTAATAGGGAAGTAGAATGCAATTAACAAACTACTGGGAGCAACCTCTGGCACTTATGGGAGACTCCCTCTACTTCTTAGCTATTTTGAAAGTCAGTTGCCTCTTACATGGTTGCATCCAGGATGTCTGTAACCAAAGACAGACACGCTAAGCTGTATACTGCTGAGGTGGAATCATAGAATATCAAGCATTGGTAGATATTGCTGACCAATTCAGGGCCTCATAAATTAATGTATCTGAAATCAGGAATACTCCCCCCCCCCCCAAAAAATGCACACAACCCCATGACAGAAAGTTCACGACAATGGGATGAATAGGAGGTCCTCATCTTGAGCATCACATTATATACCTAGCTTCGGTCAGTCACCTGGCTAGACCGTTGTTGCAGTTGGAATGGTGCATTTTTTTTGCATGTCCTTTCTGACACATGAAATTCAATGCTAAATTGTAGGCAACACAGTGAATTAAACAAGGACTAAATGACTATCCTGCAATTTTGAGTGTGGTGAGTATTGTTTTAATGCCTCAGTCTCAGCAAGGTAATTTTGGTGTTACTTCTAGCTTAACAAAGTTTAGGATTTTAGACAAGTAACAATAAAAGTAGACCTGCGTCTTCTTTCTACATAATGAAGGACAAAGATGTACCAGTTGCAAGGGCTGGTTTTGTGATTACACGAAAAATAAGTGTTTTACTTTCTGTAATTTAAGGTCTACCCATTCTGAATTGGTGGATCTCTACAAGGGTATGTCACAACATGTGGCAAAAAAATAAAAAAGTCCCTGTCACTTGATTATGGAAAGATGAAGAACGTAAGATTGCACCATAAAATGCTTAAGAAATTTTCACGGTTAAAAAACCCCTAAGTATCTTCTTGAGTCTGCATTTAATAATGTTAAAAGAAAATGCAGATCTTTCTGTTATAAAATATAATCCTACATGCACATGCATTATCTTTTAGGACAAACAGTAAGAGTAACTTGCAACTACTTTCTCCATCCTAGAACTCTCTCTGCACATTGCTTTTGACCTTACCAGCCCCACATCAAGTACAGTAATTGTGCATGGTAGAGGATTGTTCTGTTTACACAATCCCTCCTCTTTGAGATATCTCTCACTGCACAGGTTGCCAAAAGGCTTATCAAACCTGGAACCACCCCTTACCAGAACCAAGGAAAAACGTTATTTTATGCAAAACTATATGTTGTGAAGACCAATTATTTGCTGCTACAAAACTGATGGAAGCAAACATATGAGGTGAAGAGCAGTAATAATCAGTACACGGTAAGGAACTGGAGAAATGTTAGGCAATGCTTTGTACTATATTGCAAGAGACACTATGCAGAGCATGCAAGTAGAGCCAATATAGTAATCTTATACAGACTGCTGATATCCTTGGAAGAGTTCTGTTTGCAAATTCAGCACTGCTTACTACACACATTGCCAGCTTACCCTTAGCCAGCCTGCTAATATGTGAGTGATTTCAATATAATTAGCAGCATAAATTCATTAAAAATACTATCTATTTCACACACACTTCCCAAACCTGCATCAAGCTCACTGAAAGCTTGCTAGAATTAAAAGGTTTACAGTGTTTTGGGAACTGCATCTTCTTAGACTCTGGTAGACCTCCTCAACGCAAGCCTCGGGTGACCCTCATAAAAGAAAACATAGTCTCAAGGCTAACGTTTTCAAAATAATATTAATAATAATAATAATAATAATAATAAATTTTTTTATTTATACCCTGCCCTCCCCAGCCAAGGCCGGGCTCAGAGCGGCTTACAAGCAATAATAAAAACAAGTTGAATGATTACAACTTAAAAACAAAATTAAAATACAACATTAAAATATTGAAACATTAAAATATTAAAATGTAGCCTCATCGCAGGAGGAGAAGGAAAGGAAAAAAGAAAGAGAGGGAGGGAGGGAATCGAATTGGCTCCAAGCCAAAGGCCAGGCAGAACAACTCTGTCTTACAGGCCCTGCGGAAAGAAATCAGATCCTGCAGGGCCCTGGTCTCATGAGGAAGAGCGTTCCACCAGGCCGGAGCCAGAGTTTAAAAAAGGCCCTGGCTCTGGTTGTAGCCAATCTAACTTCCTTAGGGCCCGGGACCACTAGGGTGCTGCTATTTATGGACCTTGAGGCTCTCCGTGGGGCATACCGGGAGAGGCGGTCCCGTAGGTACGAGGGTCCTAGGCCGTGAAGGGCTTTAAAGGTCAAAAGCAGCACGTTAAATCTGACCCTGTACTCTACAGGGTTTGAAAAGCACTGGGTGAATATGCTCCCATGGCAGAGACCCCGTGAGGAGCCTCGCTGCAGCATTCTGCACCCGCTGGAGTTTCTGGGTCAGCTTCAAGGGCAGTAGAGAGAAATGTGGGGCAAGTCTCACTGGGGGAGAAGGAGGGGACACCTGGAGGGTAAACAAAGTTTCAAGAGGAGACTGGTATACAAGTGTTTATGCTAGAAGTCTCCAAGCCAAGATGGGTCAACTTGAGTGCTTAGACTTAGGGAATGGCATTGATATAGTGAACATCACAAAAACCTGGTGGAATGGAGAGAACCAGTGGGACATGGTTATCTTTGGATATAAATGCTACAGGAAGGACAGATAAGGGCAGACCAGAGGTGGTGTCTCTGCACCTCAAAGACAGCACTGAATCCAGCAAGCTAGAAATCTCAAAATAGGCAGACTCCACCACAGATCCATTGTGGGTGGCGATACTGGGCCCCCAAAACAATTTAGTACTGGGGACGTGCTATCAAAATGCTCAAGCAGACCTTGAGATGATGAATGAAATCGAGGAAGTCTCTAAAAGAGGAGACATTGCAATAATGTATAGAATGGCTACATATGTGTACCAGTCATGACAAAGAGGTAATATTTCTAGATGCCCTTAATGACTGTGCACTATAACAGCTGGTGTTGGAATTGACCAGAGAGGTGGTGACCCTGGACTTAATATTGAGTGGCACCCAGGACCTGGTAAGCGTTGTTAAGCGAACTGGGAGCAGTGCTTATAGTGCTCTTAAATATACATGCAAATGGTCAGTTGCTTAGAAGGCTCATCTTTTGTTCTTGTGACCTTTAGTAAGGTAATGTGTACCTCCCTTAAAAGCTGAAATGTGGGTATTGTTGCCACTGGTGTCTGCAAATAAGTTTGACCTAGTACAAACCAATTCTGTGGGGCATGGTCAGTCACTTTTGGAGCGTGTGGTGAGAATGGACTGGGGAAGCTGATCAGACACAATTAAGATCACATATGCCACTGCTTGGTGATCATTTGCATGTGTGGGGCCGTACATTTTTCAGCCAGTGTGTTCGCTTGCATCACCATCAGTTAAGAGGCTCTGTAACCATGGATGGGCCTGGTCAGATGTTACTTCACACATATGTATCCATAGGGCCACTCCACTTGGAGGATTTTCCTGTGGTTGAATCAGACCTATAAGTTACCCAGGAGGAAAAATGAAAAGAAGGGAGGATGCTTGCTGAGCCAGATACACAGAGAAATTAGAATGTGCTGCTCCTTCTTGCAGTGCAACTCTGTAACTCATTCCTCAGATTAGCTTCCATACCCAAGGGCTGGAAAACTGTCAATGCAACACTAGGTTGTGGTTTTTTTAAGCGATCAAGGCGGATGGGTAGGAATCCAAGAAATTAGACCAGCTAGCTTAACATGTGTTCCAGGAAAAGTGATGGAATGCGCTCTTAAAGATAAAAACACTAAGCATATAGAGGAACAAGTCTTGCTGAAGAAGAATCAGCATAGCTTCCACAAAGGAAAGTTATGTCTAATTTTTCAAAGTTCTTTGTGAGTGTCAGTTAGTCCAAGAGTATCAATAAGCAGCAGACATTTGGAACTTTTGACTTTCAAGGAGCTTGATACAGTCCCTTATGAAAGACCCTTAAGTAAGCTTAGGAATCACTGGATAAGAGGAGATGCCCTCTTATGGACCATAAGGTAAGCAAGGAGAAGCAGAAAGTAGGAATAAATAGATAGTTCTCTTGTGGAGGCGTGTAGAAAGTAAGATTCTGGTGCTTTTTAACCTATTCATAAATGATCTGGAGTTAGGAGTGAGCAGTGAGGTGGCCAATTTTGCTGATGACATAAAACTGGTAAAATAAAAAGAGGGCTATGAGGAGCTCCAAAAGAATATTTCCAAACTAGCTGAGTTGGCATTAAAATGGCAAATATAGTTCAATGTAAGCAAGCATAAAGTGATACACAATAGAGCAAAAAATCCTAAATTCACATATATACTAAAGGGCTCTAAACTGGAGGTGACTGACCAGAAAAGAGAACTTGGGGTTGTAGTGCAAAGGTTGGTGCAAATGTTGTCCAATTGTGCAGCAGCTGTGAAAAAGGTGAACTGCATGTTTGGCACCATTCATACGGTCAGTATCATAATATTCATACAGTCAGTATCATAATATTGCATCTAAGATGCAACTGCACTTGGGATACAGTTCTGTATTAAAAATAATATTGCAGAGCTGGGGCATAGGAAGCTGCCTTCTACTGAATCAGACCATTGGTCCATCTAGCTCAATACTGTCTACTCTGACTGGCAGCTGCTCTCCAGGGTTTCAGGCAAGGGGCATTTCCAGCCCCCCATGGAGATGCTGGGGATTGAAACTGGTGCAAAAATTACACACAATGTCGAGAATATGAATATAGGTTTTCCCATCCTCTCACAACGCAAGAAATCATGATTATCCAATGAAGTTGAATACTGGGAAATTCAGGAAGTACTTCTTCACGTAGTAAACAGTTAAACTATGGAATCTGCTGCCACCAACTATAGTGATGGGTCCCAACTTGGATAGCTTTAAAATGCAGTTAGGCAAATTCATGGATAAGGATATCAATGGCTACTAGCCATGATGGCTATATCTCCAGTACACTAGTTCCTGAGGAACACAGGGGTGCAGAGTGCTGTTGGGACTTAGAACCTCTTGTGGCTTTTCCAAAGCCTCTAGTTGGCCACTATGAGAACAGGATGCTGGACTAAATGGGCCCTTAATGTGAACCAGAAGGGCACTTACGTTCTATAAACCTTCAGAGTGGATGTAGCATGGGACCTATTACATGATACTTGAGCTACAAGCATTGTTTGGCTTGCATCAAAGTCAGTCTTGGCTGGTCCATTTAACAGGTTCCCAGATTCATCAGACAGGTGTGCAAGAGGGACGCTGAGCCCTACTGTATGGCTTGATTCTTCTACTCAGGAGGAGCGCCATGAATTACTACGACTTCAGTTCAAAGTGTCTGAATTTTTTTCACCATTTAAGGCTGCAATCCTATCTCCTTACCCAGGATTAAGTGCCACAGAATTTGTTGCTAATGCCACAGCTCCCTTCTTGCCGTTCTCTCTTTGCCCAATCTGACCACCTCCCAGAATGCTGACATGGTATTCAGCGGCGGAGCTAACTGCTCAGGCACCCGGAGTGGCGCATATGCCGTGCACCTGGGGGCAGCACGATCCGCCCAAGAGGGCAGCGCAATTGCAATGTGGTGGTGCAATCCTCCTAGTGGAGGTCTCATTGTGGTGTGGCAGTGTGATTCTCCCGGCAGGGATCCGATCGTGGCGCGGTGGTGTGATCCGCCCAGGGTGGATTTTGTCATCCCCCTCTGGGACACCTGGGGCGACCGCCCCTGCCGCCCCCTTCCTATGCCCCTGATGTAGAAATTACAACTCCTCCTCATTCATGTTAATGCTCACTCACCCACAGTGAGCAGGAGGCAGGCAACAATAGCAAGTAGTATGAGAAGGAACAGGCCTCAGCCAAATGTCCAGTGATGCCAACCAAAGGCTATAACCTCTTCTGGGTTTCATATGCGTATGTGAGATAATGGCCTAAATCCTGAGAACATGCCTTTTAAGCAGTAGCAGTGGAAGCCTCTCAGGCACCTGGGGCAGCATGCCCAGGGGCAGGGTGCTCTGAGGAAGGGACAGGGTGTGCCACGGGGCCTCATCTGCCCTACAGCTGGGGGGGGAGGCAGCGGGCGGACAGTGCAGCGTCTGCGGCTGGTGCCCATTGGGTGGTGCTCAGGGGGTGGGGTGGCGATCTGCCCAGGGGGCATTTGTCACCCCCCTCAGAGATGACACCCAGGACGGACCGCCCCCCCAATGCCCCCCTTCCTATGCCCCTGCTTTTAAGTGTGTGGGTTCCTGGATCTAGGAATTCGGTAGATCATCTAATGTAGACAGGGTTGCACTCCATCTGAAGGAACAACGCTCCAGGATCCAGCAGTGGCAGCGGAGGCACAAGTGGTTTTCACCACTAGGAGTGTCTTCTGTCAGTTTTGGCTTGTGTACGAGTTACAGCTATTCTTGAACAAAGGATAGCATGGCAACAGAGACCCATGCATTGGTAACCTCAAAGTTGGGTTACTTTAGCACACTGTAGAACTGCAGGGAGCTGACTTCAGGCACCAGACCCATCGGCAGACAAATCCTGTGTTACAAAAATGTCTGCAAATGAGACGTGAAGGCTGGCATCGTTAACTCTGCCGCACAGGAATCCTATGCAGATGACTGCAGGGCCTGAAGACAATCAGGTCACGTATCCACAGCAGTGCCCAGAGGAGGAAGGACTGCTGGGAGGAGTGCAGAGGCATTTGCAGCAGCACAACAAGACATCTTCATCTGCCCCAACTGCAACAAAACATGTCTCTCCCATATTAATCTCTACAGCCACAGCAGACGCTGTGTAACATTTCAACAGTTTGACTTCACCCTGAAAGGCACACTCCTTCATTGTCTCTTGAGACAGACAGATGACAACCAAGTGCTTCAAGTATTTTGAAGTTGTGACACTTCCTTTGTGGCTATGTTTAGAAACCTATTATGATTAAATCACTGTGGAAGCTTTACTTAAGGTCTGCATAGATTATTTTTATAGTAAAATAAATGTAGAAAATAACTATTCTTAATTTTCCATTACAGTGGTACCTCTGGTTACGAACAGGATCGGTTCCAGAGGCCCATTTGCAACATGAAAAGAGCGCAACCTGAAGCGCCATATCTGTACAGGTGCGCGGTGCGATTTGGTGCTTGTGCGCATGCGCGAAGCGCGATTTAGCGCTAGTGCGCATGCGCGAGTGGCGAAACCCGGAAGTAACCCTTTCCGGTACTTCTGGGTCGCCGTGGGACGAAACCTGAAAGAACATAACATGAAGCAAATGTAACATGAGGTATGACTGTATTAGGTTTGAAAATGCACCATTAATTTCCCCCTACACACAACAAATTTCTCATAGACCATGTAGGATAGATAAGGAGAAAAGTTGGGCAACAATATCTTGTTAAATAACTGAAATCACACCACTGGTGGGTGGCAGTGCTGCTTCTTTGTGATGTCATTGCTGCCATAGAAACCATGTGTGCACACAAGTGAAAATGACATCTGGCAGCAGAAGAGCATGGAAAGTTGAGAGAGGAGGCAACATCTTCAGTCTGGCAGGGTCACCAAAGCAGCTGAGCTGAGAAAGAACACCCACTACGGTCCTAGGTGCAATTCCAGTTGTAAACTTCAAAGGATGTCTCAAGAAGTTGACTGGTTACACAGCCAAGCAGGCGTGTGTAAGGTAGACCTCTACAATCCTGATGGAGGGAAGGACCAGGAGCGAAAAGTGATCTGTTTTGTTGATGTCTCCAGCCTGAACATAAAAAACACAGACGATACAGGCAAAGATGCTGCTGGCCAGTCTAAAGGCAATGAAACTGCCACAGGACTTGATCTGGGGAAAATGCAGGACAAAGAGGTAATTGTAATAAAGGATAGTGAGACACCAGAACAGTCTAAGACTGAAGGAGCAGTCTGTCTGTTCAAACAAGGTTCAACTGAAGAACTGAATGTTGTGTCCTGGCTCTTTGACGACCTGCAGAAATATGCATGTGGATTCCAACATGCACTGACTCCTTCTACTGCCCCTCGTCAACAAAAGCCATCAGCTGCTGACAAGATGTCCCAGAACAACAACAACACAGCTTTCAAGTCTGCTGAAGGTCAGAAAGGACCTGCAGACGAAGTAGCAAGCACTGTTCAAAAGTTGTGCTCCTTGGTTATGCAAATGGCAAGTAAAGAGATCTCTGAAAATCTGGAAGATGCTGCCAATAAATGTATACGCCAGGCAATTTATGCTACCAAAGATGGGAAAGCCCTCAATCCTGGTTCTGTAAGTAAAGTTGCATCCAAGATGGTGAACGAGGTGATGGAAAATGCCCAGGATCCTGGTGTTAAATCATCTCAAGAACAGGTTACGGGCAAGAAGGAAGAGGGCAAAGGAAGTCCCAAGAAAACCTCTCTCTTTTATGGTGAGGTATGCTCCAACCAAAGTGAATCCATGCCAGAATGTGATGACGGAAAGCCAACATCACATGCTCATTTGATACATCCAAGGAAACAGTCAGGTCGCAATGACTGTGGTTCTTTTAACAAAGGGCTAATGGTTTATGCAAATAAAAATGCTAAGGATATGACATTCTCATTTGTGAATGCCACAAAGATTCACAAGAGTAGGCAACCACTTCCAGCTTGTGTGATTTTGAAAAGAGTGTTTCTCAAACACACAAAGGATGTCATATCAGACTTAATTGACTCTACTATGAAAAATCTACATAATGTCACTGGGGTCCTCATGACAGACTCTGACTTTGTTACCACAGTGAAGAAAAATCTCTTCAATGCAGGGACCCAGAAGTCAACGGAGATTTTAGAAGCAATGGTACTAAGAATGTACAACGCTTTGATGTCGGAAACTAAGGAGAAAGGGCATAGTCTTGTATACTCTTTATTGAAGACAGGATGTTCGTTAGATCCTAATGCTCCAAATATGCATTTCGCATCTTTGAAAGGTGGATTACACACGAGGGAGAAAGTAAAGCAAGATCCAGCTCAGTCTGCAGCTCAGAAAGTAGGTGAGACAATAATTAAGGATGGAATCAGCATGCTGCGATCAAAAACAGGATGCAAAGGTCCAGACAGGGGATGCCATGACAAGAGACCAGAAAAAAGTAGCTCCACAACTGAGTTTCTAGCAAAAGACCTCATTCTGACAGCTTTAATGTTGATACAGCAGCACCTGCTAACTCAATACAAGGACCCATGTCATGACTCAAACACATCTTCATTTGGGTTCTGTGAAAAGGGAGGCAAACATGGTTCCAAATCTCATGGTTGCAAGGGTGATCCACAACAGCAAGATTACCAGAGGGGAGAAATACAAAGTGCTCTCCTATCAATCATCCAGAAGGTCCTTCAAGAGGCTGGTTTCAACGTGGATGAGTGCGAAATAAGCACCAAGAATTGCAAACCAAGCTCATATGATGATAGGTCTAGCAGAAAATCCTCAACCAAACACTGCAATCCAGAAATGGATTCTGAAAACATGGACCAAATAAACAAGAAATTCATTGATCAGCTGATGGAATCTGTGATGAAGCTGTGTATGTACATGACTAAAAGCCCTGATTTTGTTGTTGAAGATTACTCTGATGATCAAGCTACATACTTTACCGCAAGAAACAAAGGTGTATCAAGTCCAGATTCGATGGCATCCCAGAAACCTCCACAACCTACTACTATTGGAAAGCCACTTGTGCCCGCTGGTTCTGAGGTGATAGTAAACAACCAGTGTGCCAATACCAGCTCACAGAACAAAGAGCTCCAGGCTATCCTCCAATGGATGGCGGCCTCTCACTTCCAAGTGCCCAATCTCACATTCATGAATGAGAATGATGAGGAACTGAAGAAGCTTCCTCAATTGGCTGACAAAGCAGCCAAGAAGGGTGCGAGTGTGGGGGATATTTTGCAGGAGGTAATGAAGTATTTCGAAAAACAACAGGTTGATGCCGCTGTGGGAAACATGCCTCGTGGCGGACTTCTTGACTGGTTGCTTGCTAATCTGTAGACAAGTGCCAACACCTCCCTCTCATTAATTCCACCCAGCGAAGTGCCATCTTAATTACCAGATGGAATAACAATACAGCTCATTTTCCATAGACAACAGTTCATCAAATTCCACAGGCTGTCACACTAGCTGGGCAAAATCATCAATAAAAAAAATACAAATGTCAACTGTCATTGATTTGTTTATTAATTCTTATGTAGATACTATTTATGAGATGGAAAGGAATACGAAAGCTAGAGGTTGTTTTATTGGAGATTGTTACCAGTGTAGTCGATAGACCATTTGGGTGGTTTTGCCTTTTGACATCTGTTTTTTACTATTAGGGAGATTCTTTCTGGATTCAAGACTGATCACAGATTCTTTCCCTCTACTTTCCCTTCCACTTCAATAGACGTCGCAAAGCATTTAAAATTAGGTAAAAAGGTTTATGTTGCTGAACAGTACTCCTTGTACTTCAGGTTTCCACTTTCTGTCAAGCAAAACCCATGAAGTTTAATAGTTTTGTTAGTAAGATGAAGAAAAATGGTTGGGTTTTGATTTAGCAGTGTTCAGTTTCTCCAGCTACACTATCCATAATTTCACATTGGAATTGACTAGTTAAGCAAAGATAGGAGGGTAAATATTTTGGTCCACAAAAGGATCACTGATTTACATATTCTGAATCTGCAAAGCTTCTCCCACACCCCTGCTATTTCTAAAGATGCAGCTTTTTGTAAAACTGGCAGTCACTCACAGGCTACAAAAGCCCTATTTTCAAAAGCTATTGTAACTGATTCTGCTGAACCTATGACCATGCTTATATAAACATGGAAGAAAAAGAGGCATTTTAACTGTAAGAATGATCAGATGACTCAGGACTTACATGCAGGACTTACAATAAAATGTAAACTTGACATCTGTCTTTGGAATGGGATTCACCAAGGCTGCGTATCGTGTGAGATTTCTACACATAACAGTATCTGATGCAGATGCCTTCATGCTGCTATTACCCAAACTCTGCACATTCCACTCCCAATGTCTCTGCCACTGCTCCCAAGCCTGAATGTGCAACCTTGTTAGACTACATATTTGTTTCATTGTCCTTTTAACACCACTCTGATCTGCTCAAAGGGAAATTAGAGAAGGTGTAGAAATAATACTTTACTGATTGCACATGGTTCTTTTTGTACTAAAGTATTTCTGTTGATGAATTTTTTTCATATTTCATATTTTTTCACACACATATATACATACATACATATACGATGGTACCTCTGATTACGGATTTAATTCATTTCGGGGTGCCATGCACACCCTGAAAAATCCGTAACTAGAGGCACTGCTTCTGTGCACGCCTGCAGAGCACTTCTGCGCATGCGGCGAAACCCGGAAGTATACACTTTTGGGTTTGCCGCAGTCATAATCCAAAGTAACCTGGAGGTTACGCAACATGAGGGACCACTGTATACATAGTGCTTTTTTTCTAAAAAAATGTTTAGGGGTACTTTCATTTTGACTCAAGAAAATGACCATTCTATAGTTCAAATCGGAGGAAATGAGTACAGTAAATGGACAAAAGTACAAAGATTCATAAAATGTTTAGGGGTATGCGTACCCCTGCATCCTCCCAGAAAAAAGCACTGTATATGTGAGTGTGTGTGACATGAGGCCCATTAACTGCAGCGGAACTCATGGCTGTATCCAACTAAGCTATATTCAGAGCAAACCCATTGCAATTAATGGATCTACGTTGGCCATCTACATTATTTTCAGTGGGTCTACTCTAAGCAGGATTAGCATTAACTGTGACCCTCAGTTTCAAGTAAGTGTATTTAGGATCATCGTTTATGCAGAAATAAATTCAGTTATCAATTTGAGCCGACATACGGAACTGCCATGTTAAAAGCTTATAAAACTTTATTATTCTTCATAGTGAATGCTTTATTTCTTTCAAAGGCTCTTTGGCATTAATATGCACTGGTTAAGTCTGATCTTGTACATCAATTCTGGGAGCAATATTGCATTACTGCAAAATTATTTAGCCATTAGGTTTAAAGTCATTCTACATTGTCATCTTAAAAAAGCATCTACATCTACCTCTTTGGAAAAATCTATCAAAATGTACCAACCTACAGTACAACTTTTTTCTAACAGGTTAAAGAGGGTAAGAGGTCATTGAAATTTAAGCAACACATGTTTTAGATACATGCTTCTTGGGATCAAGAATGCGTTACTGCTAACATAGACTGGCCATGTAATATGGCAAAATACTAATATCGCTGTAGCAGTTCAAAGTTTTAAGATAAAGATATAGATAACAGTTGAATGAGTGGCCCTATAGTGGCTGTGGTTCAACAGTCATCTTGCTCTGTGAGGAGGAGAAAGATGGAACACCCTGGAGAATTGACATCATCCAACTCTCGGTGTTTCAGCTGGGGAGTCCTCTCCCACTCCCAACTACCACTACAGTGGTACCTCGGATTAAGTACTTAATTCGTTCTGGAGGTCCGTACTTAACCTGAAACTGTTCTTAACTTGAAGCACCACTTTAGCTAATGAGGCCTCCTGCTGCTGCCGCGCCGCTGCTGCACGATTTCTGTTCTCATCCTGAAGCAAAGTTCTTAACCCGAGGTATTATTTCTGGGTTAGCGGAGTCTGTAACCTGAAGCGTCTGTAACCTGAAGCATATGTAACCCGAGGTACCACTGTACAGAGAAACTCAAGAAGCACCTTGCCCTGAAGGTAAATGGGATCTAGCATTCACAGGTTTCTACACCCCCCTACCCCATAGCTTGTCTCTGCTGTTGTTGTTTTTAAATTTTATTTATCTTACAGTTTTAATACTTTTATATAAACCCCTTTGCAAGGTCCGCTTGAAAAGCAGTATATAAATAATGCAGCATTAGATACAAAGAGAAGAACAGCATGCCGACCACTCACAATGGATCTGGAAATGGATACACACACACACACACATGCTCACACAACCCACGTGAGCTCACCTGAGTAGCCGCAGACTGACAGGGAAACGAAGAGGACGACGACACAACAGGAATGTCAGACTGGACAGCCGCCACAGTGGTAGCAGGTGTAAAAATCAGCTGTGGAAGGTAGCAAAAAAGAAAATTGAGACACACAGTGTACCATGAATGCACACAAACAAACAAAAGCTTAGATAGAAAATTCTCTCAGGTTTTGTTTTGTTTTTTTAAAAAAAAGCTGCAAAGATTTGCTGCAGTATTCCAGAATAATGCAGCTTTCCAGCCTTTCACCAGGTAGCTCAGCCACAGGAGGGGTATAGCAGAGAACAGCACCAGGACTGCAGGGAGTGGAAAGGAAGAGTTTTAACCCTTCTGACTCACCTGCGATGCTCCTGATGAAAATCCCTCCTTCCTCAGAAGCTGCTCTTTGCATCGGAACACAGAGAGGAAAGGGAGGCAAACAACTGATTTGCTCACACTCTCCAAAATGAGGGAGAAACGCAGAACCAGCAGATCCCCGCATTAATTTATTTATGTGGAGTTGCAAAGTGATATCCAATTCCAAGGAGAGGCAGAGAGGCCAGTGAGATCACAAAGCCTTTTCAAGGGATGGCACATTAGGAATCAGCAGGCTTGACCGGGAATGGAAGAAGCACATGCAACAAGTCCACAAAAGCCATGACCAGAGGATGACAGAAGGAACTGTAAACCGGGCCATTGGTGCTGCATCTCCATATACATCCGAGACATGACTGGTGAGGAGCTGCAGCCAACATCTCTAAAATCCCACAGGTGAAAAAACACAAACTCGGAGATGTCTACAGCAAGAGATGGTGTGCTCCCTTCAGAAATATTTCCCACTATCCTAAGTCTAGCAAGAAAAGTAGCATAGTTATTTTAATTACAGTCCTGAACCAGGTAAACCCCTAACAAAACAAGAAAACAAAAAACAAAACACTTGCTGACCCCACAGAGCATCTTTACCAACTCTTTGTTCCTTCAAATGAATTATTCTAGTCATGCCCCACAACAAACTGGATCAGAGAGATTGATTTAACAAAAACAGAACAGCGTATTTTTCCCCGTTAATGCTTAAAATCATTCTCAAAGAGTATCATCAGAAGAAGAAATCAAAAAGGCTCAACAGCACAAACTTCTTTTTTTTAACAGTTCTTTGCCAATGATTTTATACATCATTTTCAAAGGTTTCCAATTCATACTCATAAAAGTCTTTCACTCATAAGGAACTGGGTTTAAAGATAAACAATCATGGAACCGGCTCTGGTGGATGAACATCCTGGCCTGATGCTACTTAACAAACAGCTTACTCCATTTAGTATCTAAGAAAAATTTATACAGAGGAAGTGGATCAGGGGTATTCCTGCCAATGCAATAGTATGATATCACACAATGTGGAGGGCTAGCCAAAAGTTCTTCCCTTAATATACTCCAACTGTTCTATGGAACTTTCTTCTATATAGAACAGGGGTGCAGAACATATGGCCCAGCACAAGTCCCAATCTGGCACATGAGGCTATTTCCCCAAGCCATTTCCATCTGCCACATAGCTCACATCACATGTGGAATCAAGTGTGGGGTAAGCAGTAACATAGCTGCAAAGGAACAAATGGGATCCCCAATTTTTCCTTGACAAGCGGGGCTTGCTGTCTTAACAATGGATTTGCTTAACCATCGTTTGTTGGGTTACCCTGTTCACCAAGCTACAGAGGAAGAGCAACTGGAAAACAAAACTGCTGCCAGGGCTAAGTGACTCTCACTTGTGTCCGTCCTGAAAAAGCCCTACTATAAACACCAGACCACATATACTTTGCAAGCAGAGGGAGTAATTTAAAAGGCCCATTCTTCTACTTTAACAATATCTAAGAACATAAGAAGAGCCTCCTGGATGAAGTCAATGGCTCATCTAGTCCAGCATCGTGTTCTCACAGCCGCCAACCAGATACCTGTGGGAAACCCACTAGAAGGATTCGAGCACAAGGACACTCTCCCCTCCTGCTGTTTCCAGCTACTGGTATTCAGAAGCACTGCTGCCTCCAACTGCGGCAGCAGAGAATAGCCATCTTAGCTAGTAACCACTGATTGCCCTCTCCCCTCCATGAATTTGTTGAATCCTCTTTTATGTTGGAGGTCATCACTGCCTACCTGTGGGAGCGAGTTCTACAGTCTATCTATGTGTCACATGAACAAGTATTTTCTTTTATATCTCCTGAACCTTCCAACACTAAGCTTCATTGGACGTCCATGAATTCTAGTATCTGAAGAAATGTGCATGCAAACGAAAGCGCATACCAATAAAAAACTTAGCTGGTCTCTAAGGTGCTACTGGAAGGAATTTTTTTGTTCCGACTATGGCAGACCAACACGGCTACCTACCTGTAACATGAATTCTAGTGTTAGGGGAAGGGGGAGGTGGGAAATTCTGTATCCACTTTCTCTACACCATGAATAATTTTATAAACTCCATCATGTCACCTCTCACTTGTCTTTTCTCTAAACTTAAAAATACCAAACACTGCAACCTTTCTTCACAGAGGAGTTGTTTCACCCACTTGATCATTTTGGCTGCCCTTTTCTGAACCTTTTCCAACTCTACGATATCCTTTTTAAGGAAATGCATGCAGGGCTGTTATGTCAAAACCACCAATTATCCGGTACCCACAGAAATGTTCTTGAGATTTCAGCAGGATTCTGCTGGATTCTACAAAACTTAAGTGCTAAATTACAGTCACTGCTGGAAACTCAGAAGGGACAAGGAACCATTAGCCACGAAACAGAAAAGAACAACTAAACCTTAGCAACCATTCAAATAATAATAATAAAATATAAACTAGCAAGACTTACCATTTGGGCTCGGAGGTACATCTGAGCCTGGCTTGCAGTCAAAGTAGGAGAGGTGCTCCCCAGAAGCATGGTCTGTTGGGTAAGACTGCTGCTACTACTGTTGGAGGTCTGTGAACGGCTTATTAGCTGCGCGGGTGTAGGAGAAGGAGAAAGATTAATCTATGGAAGCAAAAATATTGTTTTATTAACTACCTTCATTCCACAATTTCAAAAAGAGCCCCACAGAAAACAGCGGAACTTGCTTCCAAGTAAACATGTGCAGGGTCGCCAGGCAATATATTGGACTTGCAGTTGTATTCTGCAGCACAGAATCTAGGTTTGTAAAAAAGTTTATGTCATCTGTCAAAGTTGCATCCTTAAGCACCTGTTTGTTCATCAGGAAGATCATTGCGCAAAGCCATAAATTTTTAACTATTGCTAACACGTTAAGAAAAATGGTTAAGTTTAAATACGTAACTTAAGCAGACACCAATTCTGATACAGCAGATCTCGCATTTATCTTCTGATATACTTGATCATAAGGAGGTGTTTCATTTTTATACTAGAGTTTAAAATTATGATTGCAATAAAATGTTCAGCCACATTGCAGAAGATCTGCCTTTTTAGATTTGCCATTTTACTTTTTCCAAATTGCAATTAAAATGTCCAGAATAAGGCTTAATTGAGCCCACACTAAACTCAATGTGTTACTAGTAACTGACGTTATCCACCGGTAAAAGTCATGGACACTTATGCTCAAACATTATTATTGATTAAGCCTTTAATTGGTATTCTGAAAAAATTTCCTGTTTTAAGAGATCTGGCAAAATCCACACAAGTACAATCCATGAACATTAAGTTACTCTTGCGAAACACAATGTCAGGGGGTCACCATAGAGCTTCTTTAATGGCAAATTTATATTTATGTGTCTGTTATTGTTTTTCAAACTATTAACGCACTGAGACTCTGTTGCGGACAATTTTTTAAATTGAAGCTTCTGCTCCTCCAGCTATTTGCATGTAAATGTGATCACACAGCTGCATTCCTAACTTTCTGAGAACCAACATGGTAACATAAGCTGGGTTAAAAGAAAGCACTTTGTTTCGCTACTTACCGATGTCTCCGACATACTTGACTGCTGAGTGACACTGCCATTGGGGGATGCACACTGCCTCCCACCTGACAGGTTTGCCTAAATAGCAAGCACATCTGTCAAATGTGTCATTTACACTGCAATAAAAAGTATTTAAATAATGTTGAATATGATAAATTGAACATCTAGGCTCAATGGCATTTGCTAGGCAGTCCAATGCCCACATGAAACCCACAATGGTTTTCTCTGTGGCCTGCAGTCTCTTTAACCCTGCAGCCAACTGTCTACTTTTTAAGAGACTGCCAAGTGCCGGATCTGTTATTTTCACTGTGCTGTCTAGAGACCCCAATGAAAGCTTTAGTTTGATGATGGGGCAGGTCCTATTTAAAAGTCACACAAATTCAAAAGAGGATCTAGTTGTTATTAGATCAAACTTCAAGAGCCCCATGTTGGGCAAAAGATTCCTTCACTGCAGGGGTTTGGACTAGATGACCCTCGTGGCCTCTTCCAATTACACAATTTGATGACTCTTACAATTTTGTGCAGGGCTACGCCCCATGGCAGCCATTTTGTGGGAGGAGCAACAACACTTCCAAATGCTCACAAAGGCCCAGAAAGGTTAGAGACCCATGATTCATGGGAATGCCACAACCAAGAATGTGGTACAAGGCTAAAACTGGCGCATTAAATATACATCTCTAATTAAAAACTGACCAGTCACATAGTTAAAATGATTTTGCAAATATTAATTTGATTATTTTGAAGTAGCTGCTGAACTAGCTTGGTCTTCTGCTCCAGATACCCTCTTTACAACATAAAATTGCAAAGTTGAAAAGTCTTTTTAAAAACATATCCCCTTGGACACAACAACATGGTATTGGTTGGCGGTGTGATGATCTAGAAGGAGAGAACACTGTCCCTTTTCCCTAGCTGACCCTCATGCTGCCAGGTAAAATTGTGAACTGAAGCTCTCGCTGATGATTAAAAAACCTGGGATAAAAAGAAAATCTGTCAAAAACTGTCATTAAGCCGAAAGCAGTATCCTGATAATGCATTTTGTGGCACTTTAAGCTTAATTCCCAGATGGTTGCTGTATTTTCTGTTTCAGTCTCACCTGTGGGACACTGGCCAGGCTCTGGAATTGGGTGCTACTTAAATGCTGTTGTTGCAAAGCAGCTGTTTGTAACATGAGATGCTGCTGCTGAGCTGCATACATCTGCTGAAGATACTGCGCTGCTGAGCTTGGCGGACGATGCAACGCCTGCTGAATAACCTGTGGATTTTAAAGTTACATCATCACTGGGACAGAAATAGAAAACGTGCTGATGCTAGCACATTAAACCATTCAAGAACCTGTGGCTGGTCAGATATACAGGATGCATTTAAAATTAACATATATCAACTCAACGGTGACCAGTAATACACTATGACTGCCATAGATTACTTTATGGATGTTACCGAAAAAGCAGATTTCTTTTCCCACAAAAGGACTTCCCCTCCTTCTCCACTCCCTGTCCCCCCCCCCCCTTTGAAAGAGGCTTAGTTGACTGTCAGCTTCTGGAAGCCCCTTTCAAAGCACTATCTCGTGGACCACATTGAAAGGGGCTCTGCAAGTGTGGGGCAAAACCATCATCTGAGGTCTCACCCACCTGTCGAATCTGCAACAGGTTGGAGAAATAAAGATCTGGATTGCCAGCCAGACCCAGTTCCCCACCAGATATACAGAAATCACCATTGCTTGTCAGTGCTTTTGAATCCTCCATATTTTTATTATTATTATTGTCATCTACAAAATACCTGCACAGCATGTCGATCTGCACCACTATAGACAGATATCTGAGGTGGCTGAGTACGGGAAGGGGAGGATGTGGTGGTGATAGTAGTTGTGCATGTAGAACATGTTGTTGTGCTCGGTTCATTCTCCATAGCTGTGAAATTATTCTTCCACCTGGTAAGGAATAACAAAAGAAGAACCAACGGCTCAATGTAAGCAACATCCTAGTGTTTGGAAACCAGAGAGGAACACAGAAGCTGGTGTGATTCGAATAAGAAAGTGTGCTGGGCATTGCCCTGGGAAATGCAAGTTCAAATCGTGGGTCATCCAAGAATGCAAGTTACAATCGCTCACTTGCAGCTCTACATTTGCAGAACAGGAAAATGGCTTGCCTCAAAAGACTATTACTTCAGGAAGGAAATCACACCCATTTGAAGACTGAGAGAGGGTGTTACCAGAGTAAGCTATTCAAACTAGTAATTACTGAGTAAGTTTATTTTAGAGTCATAATATTAAAGAAACAAAGTGAAGTTGCCTTATTAATTTGCACTGTACACCCAAAAAGTAACAAATAAAGAACTATTCCAGTTCTTCTGAGCCTAGACTACCTCAAAACCTATTTAAAAATCCAGAAGGGATTTGCACTTGATTGGGAATTCTAGATTCTCGCATGGTTCCAATTTCTGAAAATGGAGCATTTAAGAGCATTTTATTTGACCAAATTCATGCCTGCTGTCTTAAGAAATGCCTTTATGGAGCTCAGATGAAGTGATGCCCACAGCAGCCTTGGATAGCCACTGCAATAAGGTTGTTAATCTGCCCTTTATATCGGGATCCAAGATATCAATTCCTGAAACCTTTGCTAATTCATGGAAGCAGGCTTACTATGGCAGAAATGGTTTGCTTTTGTTTGTATGACGCTAACAGATCTGTGACACATAAAGAGGTGCTTTCTGCTCTGGCTGAAAGAAAGATTGGAAAAAGAGAGGTAGACGATATTGCAATAAATTGCACTGGAGATTCAGAGGTCTAATGGAAGTTAAACTTAGTATGAGCTAGCAGATGATACTTAAGAATTCTTACTCCCTTTCTTTAAATCACTGATGCATAGCATTATGCAACTGTTGTATGCTGTATGTTATGATTTGCAGTTTGGCAAACTGTAATGAAATTGTTATGGCCTTTGGTTAATGCAATACACTCTTTGATATGGATTGACCTTTTAAAAAATCATATTGCCTTAGAGGGGAAAATATGACAAAGCAGATACTGTTATTAACTTGCATATGCTGGATGAATCACCCCATTGTAGTGCTGGATTTAGAGGAGACATTTAAATTTCTCCTTTCAGTCTAGCGCTATGATGGGGATGAGAGTGTGTGTGTGTGTGTGAGAGAGAGAGAGAGAGAGAGAGAAAGAGAATGTGTGTAGTGTGCCGTGAAATGGACAGTACCGTGTACTTGCATATATGGGGAATGCTGCTGGTGCTATATGTGTGGCAAGTATGTCTGTGTGCTGCATGAGTGCAAGAGCGCCTTTGGTGCTGGCACACCTATGCAATACACCATGTAAAAGAATATAGATCATTTAACACATAACTCAGCGAGTAACTCAGATACACCTCAGAACGTACACCCAACCAGGAGCTCCAGTTAATCTCAGCTGACAGATGTGCCTGTATCATACGTGTATTCTAAACTACCTGTCTGATGTATCCACGCTACAGATTTAAGAATATACTTGAAAAGTAAGAGGTATAACACGAGCAGCAATCCTAACTGTTTATAAAAGGATACCAAGCAGCATGAGCCATTCACTTTGATGGGACCTGCTGGCTAACATAGTCTATTAAATATAGCTGAAAATTCCGATTTCCAATTTATAAATTCCGACTCTGTCTAGAAAACACAATTTTCCAGTTTGCACCCCTTTGGTATCTTATGCTTATCTAAGTCCTGTATACAGAAAAACAGAAAACTACAGAATTCCTACACTTTTATTAACATTTCAAATTTTATTCTACTAAGCCAAGAAAGCCGTTTCTTACTAGTTATAAACATATACATTATATACTATTCTCTACACACCAACAACTACCAGTCTGCTCATTTCTTTAAAAATCTATACATTATCTTCTTGCATTAAGCATTAGCATATATGGAAACACTGGTCCAAGGTTGTTTATAAATTTGTCCTTCTTCCCAAGGAGCTCAGAAAGGTGTTCACTGTCCTTTGAGGAAGGATGGGCAATACACTGTGGCCTTTTGAACCTGGGTTTTGTGCATTTGTTTTTCCAGAGACTCTATAACCAAAGGCTGTAACTGAGTGAATGAGGCTAAACAAGCTGATGCTGAATCCAGATAAGATGGAAGTGATGCTTCTGGGTAATCTTACTGCTCTAAAAAGGGATGTGTTATGCCTGCGATAGATGGGCTGGTAGTCTCTCCATCCGACCAGAGGGGTACCTTTGGATCAGGACACAGTGGTGGTAATGGCCAGAAGTGTATTATCAGGCTCTGACTTGTTTTCAGAGCACTGTTTCACAATTTTGTTTTATGTGGGTTAGGGGTGAAGCTGACTCAGAAGCTACAGTTGGCTCAGGAGTTCTGTAGCATACCTTCTGATAAATATGGGAATGCAAGAAATATTGTATACAAGATGAAAACATCACCTTCAAAGAGTGGGACCATTTTTTCTGCAATTGTCTCAAGGCTGTGGGATGGTCTCCCTAACAAAGTCAAAAGCCGCTCTCCTCTCATTCTAGAGGGGATGCATTTGGCTGCTGCTTGTTTGTACACAGCAATAATTATGTTTAATGGTGAATTAAACTTTTTGATGCATATTTGTTTTATTATTTTCCAAATACGGTTTTATCTTGTTTAACGTAACAAAACTTAACATTTGGATAGCACTCTCAAGTGTTCAAAGCACTCCACGTGCATAATTAAGTGCTAACCCATGCAAAAACACCAAACGCTGTCAGTATTATTATACCCCCCACATAGTAGGTGGGGTGGCCCAGATAAGAGCGGCTTCCCTAAGGCCACCTACTGCAAGTTCATGGAAAAGGCAAGAATCAACTTAAGAGACTTCCTGTTTCGTAGCTCCGTCACGACACCAGCACCTCCCGCATGTCGCTTGGGATGATTGGGGGTGGGACGTGAATAATTTAAATAAATAAAAACGCACAGCCTGCAGAATCAGAGCTGGAAGGGACCCCGATACCTAGTCCCACCTCCTGCAATGCAAGAATATTTTCCCCAAAGTGGAATCCGAACGCAAGACCCTTATGTTCTACCAACTGAGCTATTCCAACAGCGGCAGCTTTTCCCCAGAGCAAGAGGGGCCGAGCTTGGTGCAATCCGCACCTGTTGGATTTCCACCTGCCAAGAGTTTTTCATCCATTTTGCAGAGGGGGAAGCCGCTCTGCCCTAACCACTAACACACGCCGCAGGAAAATGCGTAGACACGGATAGATATACAAATAGATGGATGTAGAACCGAAGGGAGCACCAGCTTCCAGCCAGCCAGCAGGGCCCAGCCTCCCGCTCCCCTCCCGCCCTTCGGCTGGGCCAGGGCACTCCAGGGGTCGTCCAGTCGAGGCAGCCCTCGGTCTTCGCTGCCTGCCCTCAGAGCGAGGCAGCGCCGGGAGAAACCGGTGTCTGGGCCCAGGACCTTCCCCACTCCCTACCTGACAAAGCCCAAGGGGAGGCTGGGGCCGTCACCCGCGGGCCCCGGAGCCAGCAGTCGCCGCGCAGCAGCAGCAGCCCCTCAGCAGGCCTCTCCTTTCCCCGCGCACAGCGCCGCCCGCCCGCGAGAAGACGCGCCCGCTTGGCGTACAGACCCTTCACACCGCTTCCGCCATGTTCTCTCCTCCCTCACAGGGAGGTACCGCGCATGCGCCCTTCGGCCGGGAGGCCGGACTTGGCTCGCGCCAAAAGGTCGCGGCGTAGGGATGGGTCGCGCGAGGGTTCTTTCGGCGCCGCTTCGGCCGTCGCTTTTGAAGCGCAAGCCTCTCTGTGTAGACATATGCTGGGTATACAGTTGTGTAAGGCGGCGGTGCGGGTTGCGGGGAGGCAAAAGCATTCGGAGGCGTGTTTTTTTGTTTAGTTTAGGGAAAGGGATGTCTAACAGCGAACGCTGTACATGTCTACTCGGAGGTATGTCCTATTGATTTCAGGTAAGCGGGTGCAGGGTTGCAGTGTGCAAGGGGAAGTGGTAGAGGCTTTTAAAAACTAGTATGAGCTTGTGGACTGAGAAGAAGATGAAGACGACGAAAAAGAGTTTGGATTTGATATCCTGCTTTATAACTACCCGAAGGAGTCTCAAAGCGGCTAACAATCTCCTTTCCCTTCCTCCCCCACAACAAACACTCTGTGAGGTGAGTGGGGCTGAGAGACTTCAGAGAAGTGTGACTAGCCCAAGGTCACCCAGCTGCTGCATGTGAAGGAGCGGAGACGCGAACCTGGTTCCCCAGATTACAAGTCTACAAGCTCTTAACTACTACACCACACTGGCTTTTGCTCCCTTGCTCTAGACGGGGCTGCAATCCTGTACATACTTGCCTTGTGTGAAAGTCTCACTAAATAGGATTTGCTTCCGAGTAGACATGCATAAGAGAACACATAATATTAAAACTCGCAGCAGGCTAATGAAACGAACTGTGTGCCCTTGTACCCCTGCTTGTGAGTTTCCCTTGAGGCATCTGGCTGCCTAGTGTGGTTCATATATATCTATTCTAAGCATTAATTGAAATACTTTCATAATAGTCACATGTTTAGTTGGGCTAACTGAAAAGTCTATAATGCAGCAGATGCTCTTAATGTATGCAGTATGATCGCTGCTAGCTGCAAAAGCAGCTGAGATATTAAAAAACGGGTTGTCAATGATCTCAAATGTGCTACCTGTTCATGCAAAAGTCCTCAAGCTAAGGTAGGCTGAGCAGGTGTGGGAAGCCTTTGGTCTTTCAGATGTTGATGAACTACAACTCCCATCATCCCTGGCCATTGGTGTGTTGGAGACGTGTTGGAGCTGATGGGAGTTGCCCTTCAGTAACATCTGGAGGACCAAAGGGTGTCTACACCCAACTTGCAGCAATGTAGCATAAGCTCCTTTTTGTGTGATTATCAAGTGCAATTCACTTCATGTTTTCTATTTTTTAATTTGTATTTGTTTATTAAATTTGTAGACCGCCTTTCATCCAAAGATTATGTGGATGTCCACAGTATAAAATGAAAACACAAAATTCATAAAATAAAAACCCATAACCCCCCTCCCACAAACACATTTAAAAGGCCATAGAATATTAATCAGTCAAAGGAGTAAATTCCTATATTCAATGGGACTTACTACCAGGAAAATAGGAGTGCATTGTTAAATACTGTTTTGCTTCTTGTGATTTGAAGTGGGAATAATACGGGCTCATTTGCTGGCATATTTTTTTTTTCCATCCAAAAAAAGGAAGTCCAAAGATTGAATGCTCAGAGCTTTCTACTGTAAACGAGCTCTAATAGTTCAGTTTCTCATTCATCCAAGGTGCACTGCGAACATTTCCAGTCCAGGTAAAGACAAATCCCTAATCCTCAAACAAGCCTAAACGCGTTTGTGCACATACTTGTAAATGTTTGTAACCCTGTTTGGTGTCCTCATGCATCGCAGCGTCATAAATCTCCTCCAAGCCGTAAAATCGGCGCAAGTGTAAGAACGCGCAGGCACCACAAAACACCTGGCATTTGCACAGCGCCGCCCACCAGCTGCCTTTGGAAACTCCATTACCCAAAATTCTCCGCGGCGCAGGTATCCCTACCACTCGGAAGTGTCCACCGGATGCTATGGCCGGTACCAACCTATAACGAGGCTCTGCGGAAGTTTTGGTTTCATATGGCGAGTGTCGGAGTTGAGGTCCGACTCAGCAGCGTTTACCTGCCTTTTGCCCAGTATTTAATGCCCTTTGTGGGGTGGTACAACCCATTCGCTAGGCTGGGGTCGAGGCCAGGCCAGACAACGAGGAGCAGCAGCAGCCTGTCCCCAGTCTCTCAGCCTCTGGAAATGAATGGCATCCGTTTACGCACAGAACCTATCCGGGGTGCCCCCTAGCGCGCAAGAGATGGCGTCGTCCCTCCCCCCCCCCCCCAATAAGTCTTGAGAAATAGTTTATCCCACAATTCCTTCGGGTCGCTTCCGCTCGGGAAGCTCGGCGCGTTCTGGGAGGAGGGTGGGAAGTATGGAGTAGGAACGGAACCTTCTCCCTCGCGCACGCGCGCTGAGGCGGCTCGAGCCCAGCGTACGTTGGAGCGGCTCGAGGGAGGGAGCGGCGGCTGGCTGACGGGGGGCGGGAAAGGGAAGAATTGTGAGGCGGCGGCGGGTGCCCGCAGCTCGCTCGCTCCCTCCTCCCCTCCTCTTCTTTTTCTTTTTCTTCTCCTCCTCCCGCTCTTCCCCCTCATTTCTTCATCTGCCTTCCGCAGCTCCGGGGTGGGGCTGGCAGAGCCGGCGGGCGGGGCCGGGCAAGGCGAGGGGGCGATGCCGACTCAGCGCGAGAGCGGCAGCAACAGCGGCGGCGGGAACAGCATGTCTCTCCCGGGCCTGGGAGGAGGAGGCGGCTCCGGGGGTCTCGGTGGCCCCGGCGGGGACAGCGCCCACCAAGTCCGCGTCAAGGCTTTTTACAAGGGGTGAGTAATTGGCTTGGAGGAAAGCGGTTGGGGGGGGGGGAAGACCGACGAGACTATAGACTGAGTAATGTGTGGGGCGGTTGGGGGGGGTTAGGGCGTTATACTGGGGTTGTGGGGAGGATGAGGCGAATGGAGTGGCAGAGGCGCGCCGCCCTCCCTTACGAGAAATCATTCAGTCACATAGATCAGCTGTCGGTTCAGGAGGGAAGCAGCTCTTGTTCCGCACACACAGTTTAATTCGTGGGGTTTTATTCGCACACGATGCAGGCGGAGCCCACTGGCTTCGGGGGAAGGAAAAGAAGAAAAGGTCGGACCTGACCTTCGCGAAGTTGCCAGTCATAGGTACCTTCCTGTTGAGAAGCACCATACAACCCAACTACAAGTTGCTTGGGGTGGAGGAAACGGGGAAAGAGGGTTGTCTCCCTGCTGTGCTTGGTGACATATGGCCGAGTGCGGTTGGACATTGAATGCTTCACCAAATTGGATGCTTGGTCCCCTCCGCAGCCTTGGATTTCCAGGTGTTTTCCAGGTGCAGCTCTCATATCCAGAGCCAGTATAGCTAGTGATCGAGGACGAAGGGAGCTGTAATCCAGCAGCTTGGTTGGGGCGAGATCCAAGGTGGGGGAGCAGAGTCCTTTTCTTGTATTTTCATGAAGTGCAGAGAGTGCCGGAGTTGTATGTCCTGGTTTTGGGGATAGGGAAGAAATGGGCTACACACATGGTAGGCAAATCTTTCACAAGGTGGAGGATTCAGGGATTAAGATACCTGGGAAGAGAGTCTGTAGGAATGGGAAATGGCCTGTGGCGTAAATTTCAAATGTAGGGAATGAGATTCAGGTTGCTGCCAATGTGAGGGGGTTTGCACGCTTTTGACTTCTATCTGCTGGGTAGCTATGAGAGGTTGGGTGGCAGCACATTATCTAGGCATGGAAATTGTAGCGACAGTTATTATGGGATGGGCACTGGGGGTTTAATTACTGGGGGAAGAATGTTGGGAAAAGGTAAGATTTATTGCGCCTAGCATGGGGAGCAAATAATGATTCTACAGTAAGGTGATGTGTCTCATGTTCACTGCTCAGGATGCATTTGTGAGATACAAGAGAGTGCTGTATTGTTATGGGGGAGGGGAAACCATGAGTAGGAGGATTGCTCATAGGGTGAGAGAAGCATGCAGAGATCAGAATTCCAAAAATGAAGCACTGAAGCTGTGGGAGTGTAGAGCTTCATGAAAGTATTTAAGGAAGTGAATGGAATCTGTGCCATCTTTTGAAATAGAGGGGCAACTCAGAAAATACAGAAAACAAGGGGCATTTAGCAAATTTAGGAATATGGATCGAAGCTAGACTGTATAAGCTGAATTACCAGTAGTATGCATGGTGCAGTAAATTGTGGTTCTCTATTTATGCTTCATACCAGCTGAATGTGGATAGTTTGGATTTTTCTTGGTAGATGTGGCAGTGCATTATACAGACTGTGTAGTCACTTGTCTGCAGTAAAATATATTGCACGTAAGTGATGCATGTCTTGGAAATGTGAGGGAAATCCATAGGTATTTCAATTTTTAAAGAAAAACATCTGTCCTGCTCTTCACCCCATAGTTGCAGTGCAGATTACATCATTTCCAGGGCATATAATAGCAGACTAGTTTCACAGTTCAACAAGAACACAATTAAAATTCAACAATACAAAATGCATATAAAACTTAAGGTCTATTTTAAAGCTGGATGAGCTTCAATCGGTTCTTTTGCTAGAGAATACTGATCAAAATTAATATAGATCTGAATAGGAGCTGGTTCTTGAAATTGAATTTTTGATATTTTCTTTGCTAGATTTCTGTTAGCGTATCTTGCAATGCCAATAGTAGAGGTACTGGTTCAGTAAAATAATGTAAGTAGCAGTGTATAAGAAAGACCACAGAATTGAGTTGTTGGACAAAGATTTAGTTCTGTGGGTGGTGTGTAACTACAGAGTACTTGGAGAACATGATTGCAGCATGCATGAAGCATTCTTCCCTGGTTTGGTTTGTTTCCCTTTCCCTGGCATCTAGAACTAAAGATAGAAAAGGAGGAATTTGCTTCTTTTGAATATGGTCAATTTTTGTATATTGCATTTTTGTATATATAATAACACGGAGTATTTAAGGACATTTTGGTTAGGTAGAAAGGATTCTAGTATTGATTTCACTTTCAATTTTTAGCCATTGTTCTCACAGCTCTGGAACAAAGGTGTGCATACTGCAGGGTTTGGGGATCTGTGGTTGGTTAAAGAGAAGTTGCTATCCCACTTTGGAATCATAGAATTGTAGAGTTGGAAGAGATCCCAAGGGTCATCTGGTCCAACTCCCAGCAATGCAGGAATCTTCGAGAATTGAGATAATTCTTGAATGTTTGACTTAATACTCAGAAGTATCAGTTATTGTGACACAAGGAGTTAAGATGATTTGCTGGCTAGATCTCACATGATGAGATTGTTTTTAAGAGGATTTTACTCTTGTCAGGGTTTTCAGAAGCTGATCAAGTAGACCAGCTTTACCCAACCTGATGCCTTCTAAGATGATGTTGGACTATCATCCCTGACAGTTGGCCAGCAACATCTAAAGGGGACTAGGTGAAGACTGAAACAGACCCTTCCAATTATGAACCCTTTGCATTACTCCTACTTTCAAATGATAGGGCCAGCTATACTTTCTCTTACCATGTAAGCAGTCCAAAACTGACTGTGGCCACATGCAAGTTCTGCAGTAAAGCACCCTCTGTTTCTGATTTACAGATTATGATGATTAGAGGGATCTGTTTCTGAGCACAGTATATGTTTGGGCTGATGGGTTTCAGAAAATTCACTTTCATTGTGTTCATCAAATCCATTTACTAATTGCTATTGGTAAAGCCCATGTGACATTCATATTCTGCAAAACCAAAGTACACAAATGTATAGTGCAAGACTCTGAGACCTTTTGATTATTTTTTAATATGCTGTAAGCCACTCTGTATTTTTTTTTAGTTTTTCTTAAAGTGGCATGGGTAGCATATGCTTAGATAAAATATCTGGGCTAGTGAGTTCTACTAACTAATTATGTAGACTGATGAAACACTATTTCCTCATCTTAAATATGCCAATACAATTTCAGTACCTTCCCTAAATTGTGTTTTTGTAGTTAATGATTTCCTCTCTTTTGCTGTCCTTGTGTTCATGGGCATCTTTTTACTCCAGTACCTGCCCTGTATTAAATGCATTTAGTATTAATTGATTAAATTGGCAAATGAGTAAACTAGTTCTGGAGAGAGAAGCATCAGTTATTTGTTTTTGTTGTACATCATCATCACCATTATAATATTTATTTATATCCCACATTTTTTTCCTGACAGGGACTCAAAACAGTTTATAGCAGGTATAGTCTTAGAAAGGGCATTTCTCATTGTGAGAGTCCAGTAATGTGTATTCTATGATGACACTTGCCACTCTGGGTTTTTTTAAAATACTTGTGATTAGAATAAACAATAACAGCCCTGCTTTACAAGTGGGGACACCCTTTTAATTTTAAAAAACAACTAGATACTGTGGATCACAAAACTATGTTTTACCTGTTCACAGTTTTGAAGAAAAATGTATCCATCATGGAACACACTCATGTCTGCTTTCAGCTGCTGTTTTGAGAAAAATGATCACATTTTTTCAGACAGTGGTAACTGGATGAAGTTTTATTCCGTGAACATCTCCTGGCAGCATCAGGTTTCATCACACAGCTGGTTCTGTGTATCCTGATACAGGTTCCTGGTCAACTAGGCTTGGTTGTTAAATAGGCTTTCTCTAAGATTTTTTTTTTTTTAATGCTTCTATTCCCTACACTTGGATACTTTGGATAACTATTAAAATCCAGACGCTTAGTAGGTCTGTGGAATTCAAATAAAGATAAAGCTCAGAGCTCTCAACAGTGTGATCATTTTTGTTCTGCATTATTAACCTAAGGCTAAGCAATAAGTCCATGTCCAGTGATTATATATTGCAAAACATGGGACGAATGGAGGCAAGTGACACTGAAATGGGAAAAACAAGGGAAAGAATTTGAGTAGCTAAATGTTCTATTGCTATTCACTACATTTAAATAGAAACATTTACATTTATTTCTCACCTTTGATTTCTATTGTGCCTAGTATTTAGAGGCCACCTGGAGCCACAGTTTTAAGCTTTCTCCAGAAGAGTAGGCATCTTTGCCATGTTACAGATCATCAAAAGAATGTTGTACCATGAACTTTTAAAATCAACAACATATTTAATTTGTTCGTAAAACGGTCTGAAGAGCAGCCATTTAGCTAATTATTGGAGGATGACCACTTTGTTTTTCTGCCATTCTCCTTGTTGTCTTCCAGTTGTGCTGTTTTCCTTAGGGCTGGGGTCTCGAAGGAAATACTGACAGTAATGGCCATTCTACTGCTTAATTTGTGTGTGGTTTGCTAGCTTTCTGCTTTAAAGAACTAGTATTTTTGTGTTTTTATCCTGTAAGCTGCCCTGCAATCCATACTCAACTGAACAAGACTGTGCCCAGATGTGTGTGTTATTCTGATCAGCTGGCCATTGATGTGGCTCAGCTTCATTGTCTTACATCTCTGGATGTTGATAATGAGGAACAAGTGGTATAAAACTAGAACAAGGTGGTTCTTAACTCTAGCATTGATAAATAAGGTAGACAGAAACTATACTTCTACTTGTTTTGTTTTCTTTTAAATGGAGATCACTACCATTTATGGTGGGAATGGTCTAGTATTGGGAGAAAATTAAATTCACAGTTAATATAAAATTCTGTTAGGAAATTATGTTTGATCCAATGCTATATGGAGGGGCCAGTTCCTTGAATGTGCAAATAAGTGGTGTCTTAAAATTTTACTGCAGCTATTTTTCGTGGTGCTAGTTTATTAAGATAGGGGATTTGGGCATTATAGACAAATTAACACATTTTGTAATGAAATAAAGAAGACAGAAGCAGAGCTATTTCAAAGTTGATTGGAATCTTTATTTGAGTACTGTAAAAATGATAAAATTTATTGAAATGAAAGACAATACTCAACATTTTGTTTTTAAGGGAAGAAGTTTCTTGTGGTAAAATAAAAATGTTTATGTTTTCTAATTGCATATAAGTTATTCATTCATTCATTTCATTTATGAATCACTTTCCATTTATGAATTGCTTTCAAATACAATACAGATACAGACTGGGATTAAAAATTAATTATGTTATGGAAGTTGTTTAGATTTTATTTAGCAACATTAATTAGTTAAAAGAAGGTTAGTGTGCATTCCTTCTTCTGTCTCTGAACATACAATTTATGGTAACTGAAGTAAATATTTGTGGAATGTGCTCCTGTCTCTAGCTTCCTTGAGAATTTAGGTTGCAAGGCAGTGTGGATGACTGACTTAGATCTATTATGAGTAGAACTAATGTTGGATATATTCCTGTATAAATATTTTAAATAAAAAGTCTAGTGACCTCTTAAATTTATGGTACTACTTTTGTTGAAGATAAAAATTAGCTTCATTAGAACTTTACTGAACTAACTTTTCAGCTCAAAGACCAAGCCTATTGCTGTCCTTGTAATCATAGTTTAAGCAGGAATCTGTTTTTAGGGCTCTCACTAAGGTAACTATAAACCTCTGTATTCACAGTAGGCTTTCCCAGATAGCTTTCTTAGAACTGTATGCCTTATCTGGCAGACAAGATAGAGGAAAGCACTTCTTGACCACATCACACAATCACTACAGAACTTCCATGTTTTAATAATAATACTTCTTAGAGAATTAGAGAACTAAGGGCACTTGCATTTGCCTCATTCATAACAAAAGGGGCTTGAAAGAAATATTTTAAAGTTTTTATTTCTAATTAACCATGGAGTCAAAACATTTTCTTCTAAAACAATTGGAAGTTAAGTAAGCAAACATGTCAAGTCAAGAAGAGCAAACAAAAAAAAGGCAAAGGCTTTCTAAGGAGGGACTCTTATTGTGAAAATGCTCTCACCATTGCTCACTAAGCTCAGCCTGCAATTTTAACCCTACTTACCTGGGGAGTCCTTTGATTTCAATAGGACTTCTAGTAAATATGGTTAGAGCTACACTTTTAATGTAATATGCTAGACAAGACCTTCTTCCTAATATAGAGGAATACTTACAGGTGGCGTTCACTGTAAAATTATTTATTTCTATTTGAAAAATGGCAGAACTGGATAATAGCTCAGTTGGTAGAGCATGACAATCTTAATCTCAGGATCATGGGTTCAAGCAATACGTTGGGCAAAACTTTCCTGCTTGGACTAGATGACTCTAATGACCTCAACTCTACAATTCTGTGATTCTATGATTTTATCTTCACCAGAAATTCTTAACTGGAAGGAAATTTAGAAACTCTGCACACTGTATATAAAAGTCTAAGATTTCTAGTCTGAACACATGTATTTGGTGCTTTACAATTTTGTTGGGTCTCTAGAGTGAGATCAGTTTAAACTTTGTTTAAAAACTGTTTAGACATTTGCTTTTTTGTGTTGGATATTTAATGTTGTTGATCTTAAAACGTCAGGCAAGAGTAGTATAATGTTGTCATTTGCAGATTGAAAAGTTTTGTAACTGAGGTCACTAATAGATGGGAAACTTTCCTTCAGATATTCTGTTAACTTCCACCTGGGACTATAAATGCAGTCTATGGCAGATTTAGTACATCTGAAGCTAAAATGAGTCACATAGGGTGTTGATTCATGATCTTTGCATAAATAGGTTAACAAACTGGAATTACCTTTTGTGGAATTAGTCACAACAAAAGATGCCATCTTTCCCCCAGAGATGGTTGGCCTATAATGATCGGGATTAAACCTTAAGTCTTACAATATTAAATACTTGGATGATAACTAGTGTTAGTCATAATCTGTGTAGACATATTGAGCTCAATGCACTTAAATACAGAAGTCCATGGATTTCACTGGGTTCAGAGTCTGGCTATCACCAATTATACTTATAACATGCTTGTCAAATATATGTTGAGCCTTCCATTGAGAAACTTCAAAGAAAAAGGTTGTACAGCTCTCCTCAGACCTTGTTTAGCAGATGTGTGCTTTGCAAGATGCTGCATGCATTCAATTCTGACATGCTGTTTATTTGTACGTTGTTGCTACACAAGAATGCTCCTTTCTAATCTACTATTATGGCCAACTGCATTAGCTATTTTAGCACATCACAGTAGCCCAGTTCGTATGTCACATTAAACCAGCATGCTTGTGTATGCTGCTCAAAATTTCTCACTCTGCTTCTCTTCTGCATCTGCTGCTGCTGCTGCCACCACTGAGAAACAAGCCAGAGTCCCGCTTGTTGTGACATCTGAAACCAGGCTTATGGCTTGTTAGGGGAAAAACATCAAGCCTGAATTCAGACACCTCAACAAGCCAGAGTCTGGTGTGTTTCTTGGCTCAGTAGGAGTGTTTACCATCATGCTTCTAATTCACGTGGAACCAAAGTCTTTTGACTGTGGTTTCTTGAACTGTGGTGACCTGTGTGTTATGTATATGGCTTGGTTTCAATCTGTGGAGAGAAAGCAATGGCAAATAACTCATTCCTATTAAACTGGGCTAAAGCTGATACTGTTATTCTAGCTGAATGCGATTACAAATTGTTGCTAATTATTACTGCGGAATAGTCAAATTAATGAACAAGTTTACCAGGTGATTGACTTTCACTCAACATGAGCTAGTTGTTGAACAGTTGGCTGGAGTACAGTCTTCACCACTGTAGAATCCTGCTTAAAAATAATTCAGTTCTTGGTTTATGCTGGCTGTACCTCTGCATTAAAAATGGCCATTTGGTAATGACTTAACAATTGTGTAATGCTCTGTACTTCTAGTGCTATGTAGCAAGAGTGGTACTTTTTAGTAAGGGGAAATAAAAATATGCTAAATGCGGCATGATTTAGGAAAGTCATCTGGATTAACTTTTTTTTAAAAAAGTATAGATAGAATTTGATGTTTTTTAAAAAATAAAGCTAGGTTTTTAAATTTAACTTTATTTGTTATATTAGGTGTCACTTAAAGTAATCTGATATATTTTAATGCAACACAAACCTATCATGGTGCGTAGCCAGACTTGGCTCAGAGATAACAGACCATGGTTTTATACATGAGTAAGTTAGCATAAATTGACAGCTTAACCTAAGTCTCAAGGTTGTTGTGAAGACAAAAATGAAGAGGGAGCTCACTGAAGGAAAGGTGAGAGATAATTGTAATAATAAATAATAAGGTTTTAAAGCCCTTTTTTAAAAGTTAAAAACTATCTGCAATAAGAGCTATGTTTAGGAGGAAATATAGAGGCTACCAGATTTTGTAAAGTTTGACCACCCTGATTAGTAAACCCCAACCACTTCAATAAAAGTGGGTTAGAAACTCAGCTCTGTCCAATTTATGCCGTAGCTATCCTACTGCCAAATCTGCTCAATTATTCCAAATCCTAGCAAGACCCAACAGTGTTATACACCCAACAAGACTGCTAGTGTTTTCTCCACAGTTCATTGTCCCTCTTTTAGCAGCACACTGCCAACACACACAAAAAACTTGCAAGGACATATTTTGCAATATTATTCACATTTGTTACAAGTGTTTTATAATGTGATTCTTGCAAGTCATCAGAAAGCCATATCTTTCACAGCCCAGAACAGAGGAGACAGGACCCATCCCATGTTTAAAGTTGACATTAAAATGTCACTGTGTGGGATATTCTTGCCAGTTGGTCATTTACATGTATATTTAATATAACACTGTGGTCACATCTCCCAGTTGGTTCAACAACACTTACATCTCTCACTGGGTTCAGCATTTGCATTTCTCAATGACTGGAAGACATATGAATCCAGTCTGTGTGAGGGTAGTTGAAGTCACCCATTACTACAAAATTTGCCTTTTTGGATGCTTCTGTGATTACATTCTGCATCTCAAGTATGAGCTGTGTAGCCATTAATTTGTTTCATCAGACTTGAAAATGTAGGGTACTTGGAGCATGAGAAAAATATAACATGTATAATTTGTATGGGTCTCTTACAAACAGTTGCTAAGTATCCACATTTTATGGGAAATACTTTTCTATAGTCTCATTAAATACCAAGTATTACTTTCTAAAACCTGAATGATGCCAGGGATCAAATTAGTTAAGAGAAAATGATAGTCTGGTTAGGCTGCTAACTATTTCTGTGGTACAAGCAGTGTTGTAGAAATCACGAGCACCTTGACAGTTGAGGTTGGTATATAAAACAGAAGTTTTCAGTCATGTGCCTGTGTGTTGCTTAGAAACTGAACTTTTGCACCAGTCCTGGCTTAGATAGCAGGATAGACATTAAGAATAATGCATTCAAGACTCAAACACACAGGTAAACGAATGCATGTGCATTGACAGATGGAAGCAAATAGAGTTGATGCAACATAAATAGGTCCTTAGTTCTGAAATTAATAGACTATTTGTTTGGACTCTTTCCAGTGACATTATGATAACCTACTTTGAACCTTCCATCTCCTTTGAGGGATTGTGTAACGAAGTTCGAGACATGTGCGCCTTTGATAATGAACAGCTTTTTACCATGAAGTGGATCGATGAAGAAGGTAAGATGATACAAAGCAGAACTACTTCATAAAATACTAGTATCTTCTACCCAGTGCTTTTTTCTGGGGGGACGCAGGGGTACACATACCCCTAAACATTTTGTGAATCTAAGTTTGGCCTCAATAAGGGACAGTATTTCAATATGAGTTGGAAAATGAGAGTACCCCTAAACATTTTTTTAGAAAAAAAGCACTGCTTCTACCTAATACCCCAGCTTTACTTCCCAGGACCAAAGTAGAAAGCATTTCATTTCATCTGTAGCCTCTATTTGCCAACAAAGAAAAAAGGAAAAAAGACCATAGCAGTCTATTTGAACTCTTTCATGTGTCAGATGTAGGCATGTCAGTTTTCAGAGCATTCCAACTATAAACATGGAGAAGGAGAACTTGAGACATCTTAGTACTGTATAAAGTGAAAAGTTTTAAGATTCTCTGTTCTTTAGGGCAGTGAATTCCATATGCTATTCTAGTTCATTGTCACCAAATTTTATGTAATATGAACCAAGAAAGATCGTATTCCCATCGTAAGCTTTGGTATTGATTTTTGCTGTTTCTGTCATGTGTTTTGATTGTGTCTTATGTAAATGCATTTTCAAGAAATGCCTTCCTTAGTTATAGGTCACTTATTCTACCACAATAGCAAACTTTTTAACTATTGCCTGCAGAAGAAAAAAGCTTTCCTGTGTGCTGGTCAGTAAGTTACAATAAAATCATTAGCTCAAGCTGCCGTGGAAATGTACCACAGTTAAGTTTTGAGGGGGAGTATAGAGAAAGAGTGTGCCAGGGAAAACAGATGCAAATAAAATTACAGGATTGGAAAGCTGCAGAACAAGTTCCTTATTTTCCCAAATGACTTGCAATGTAAACTTCCTGGTATTTAATCTCAGTTCAGAGTTCCTAGTTCAGTAGAGAAATTATGTGAATTGAAAGTATACTATCGTTGAGTTCCTTTATTTGCATTAGTGAAAGTGACCTAGACAGCAGACTGGATTGCAGCCATTGCTTCCATATTTTCCCACTTCTTTGCACTCATGAGAGCTAGAGTCCTAAGTTTTGGAACAAAACTAAGATTGTAGGGTTGAACAATAAACACACCCATGAGTCCGCATACCTGATGTGTTACACTTAATGTAATGGTTTTGTAGGTTGTGAGTCATTGATGATGTGTTCATATTGGAGTGTACGAGCACAATTTCATCTTCATTTGACTGTCCTTCCTGTTTCCTTCATTCTGAAAGTAAGGATTTTGTTGAGATGGTGAGGTGGAGCAGGCAACTTTTTAACCTTGGCACACCTAGAATCATTGTTATACAAAGTAAACATTAATTCTGGTATGCACTAAATATCTTCAGGCATATATAAGAACACCTGCCCATATTTCTTTTTTTGTTCTTTGTTTTGCTAAACTTGTACCACAATTGTTTCTTTGCTTGGCTGAAGAAAAACAGGTTTGTTCTCTTAGTGTCCCTGAATGAAAGCTTTCCTCTTTAATTGCTACAATTCATTTCTGTGCAATATTCAGTGTCTGTCTTAGATGCCCTTGTTTAATCAGTTTTGAGCACAGTAAAAAGCAAGAGATGTTGTCCTTTAGCTCTGGGTGCCAGTTGTATCTCAAATGACTTAGGATGAATTCCCAAATATACAAATGGTATGTAGGATGGTGAAAAAGATATTTTTTACAGAAACTGTGAAGTTTGATAAAAGAGAGCCATTACATCTCAAGAGAACCATTTCACATAGTATTGTTGTTGTTGTTTAGTCGTTTGGTCGTGTCCGACTCTTCATGACCTCATGGACCAGAGCACGCCAGGCACTCCTGTCTTCCACTGCCTCCCGCAGTTTGGTCAAACTCATGCTGGTAGCTTCAAGAACACTATCCAACCATCTCGTCCTCTGTCGTCCCCTTCTCCTTGTGCCCTCCATCTTTCCCAACATCAGGGTGTTTTCCAGGGAGTCTTCTTTTCTCATGAGGTGGCCAAAGTATTGGAGCCTCAGCTTCAGGATCTGTCCTTCCAGTGAGCACTCAGGGCTGATTTCCTTCAGAATGGATAGGTTTGATCTTCTTGCAGTCCATGGGACTCTCAAGAGTCTCCTCCAGCACCATAATTCAAAAGCATCAATTCTTCGGCGATCAGCCATCTTTATGGTCCAGCTCTCACTTCTATACATCACTACTGGGAAAACCATAGCTTTTACTATACGGACCTTTGTTGGCACGGTGATGTCTCTACTTTTTAAGATGCTGTCTAGGTTTGTCATTGCTTTTCTCCCAAGAAGCAGGCGTCTTTTAATTTTGTGGCTGCTCTCACCATCTGCAGTGATCATGGAGCCCAAGAAAGTAAAATCTCTCACTGCCTCCATTTCTTCCCCTTCTATTTGCCAGGAGGTGATGGGACCAGTAGCCATGTTCTTCGTTTTCACATAGTATTATGTATCTGTAAATCTGAGTCTGCTGATATTTTCAACAAAAAGTTGTTCTCAATCACAGCTCTTCAGCATGCATACATGTCTGCAAACTTGTTTGTTACAGTCATTAAATGTTTGCATGTAAAAATCATAATGTTTGAAATAGCTCTGAAAAAAAGCTAGTTATTCTTTGTGTAGCTGTGAGAATAACTTTAGCCAGCCTTGAACACAAAGAAAGCCCTGCTGGATCAGGCCCGTGGCCCATCTAGTCTAGCATCCTGTTTTTTCTGGTGGCCAACCAAATGCCCATGGGAAGTCTGCAGGCAGGGCGTAAGCACATAAGTTTTCTCCTGTTCTTGTTCCTCAAGCGGCATTCTGCCTCTGATATTGGAGGTAGTATATAGCCATCATAACGAGTAACCGTTTGAAGCCCATGTCCTCCTTGGATGTAAGCCTTGCAAAGTTAGTTTATGACTTCTTTTATTGACATATAAAATAGATTAAATCCGCACCTATAAATCTCAAAGGATGGGAGTGGGGAGGAGGAGTGTTTCTCGAGAACTATATTCTTTTTAAAAGACTCACTCTATCATAGAAAATATTGTGAATGTGATATGCTAATGCAACTTCAAGAAACATAATTTTAGAGGAAAATTGGCACATATTTAGTTTATCCAGTGAATGTGGGGGTGTAATGACAGATTTTGTTTGCTAGGCTTAAGTCAAAATATTTTAAAAATAAACAATTCATAATTTTCCTTCTTTAGATTGGAAAGCAATTAGGTAGTTTCTCTGAAATCTGAGGTGACATAATCAAGAACTCTAAAGAGAATATTACCCTTGGTTATAGGAATATGTTAAGGAGCAGCTTGACTCAAGTTGAGCTGTATTCATTGAATGAATTCATTTCTTTCTAGGGGATCCATGTACTGTTTCTTCTCAGCTGGAATTGGAAGAAGCTTTTCGGTTGTATGAACTAAACAAAGATTCAGAACTCCTAATACATGGTAACATGGTATAATACTGTTTTTGTGTGTGTGTTCATGAGAGAAGGAGGGACAGAGAGGAAGGAAGGAAGGAACATATTCTTCAGCCTGCATGAATGACCTCTATTTTAATATTTAAATGTTCATCAGCTTTGTTTTTTAAAAACACTTAACTTGTGTGCAAAGACTGAAGGAGCAAGTTACCGTATTTTTCGCCCTATAGGACGCACCGGCCCATAGGACGCACCTAGATTTGGGGGGGGGGGGAATAAAGGGAAAAAAATTATTCCCCCCCCCCCCCGAGCTTCCCCCGACCCCAGCTCCCAGAACGGGACCCAGAGCGATGCCGAAGCTGTGGGCAGCTTCAGCATCGCTCTGGGAGCTTGCGGGGCTAGGGGGGCGGGGAAAGCGGAGCTTCCCCCTCCCCCAGCCCCCAGAACGGGACCCAGAGCCATGCCAAAGCTGCGTGCAGCTTTGGCATTGCTCTGGGAGCTTGCGGGGCTGAGGGAGGGGGAAGCCCTCCGCCAGCCTCCAAACCAGGTCGGGTGACAGCGGGATGGCGTGCTGCGCCTCCCCGCTGTCCCCCGAGTTTGTGGGGCTGGCGATGGGGAGGAGCAGGCTTCTCCCCCCCGTCAGCCTTCTAACCAAGTCGGGGGACAGCGGGATGGCGTTCCGCCTCCCCGCTGTCCCCGAGGTTGTGGGGGTGGGGGTGGGGCTCTCCTTAAGCCTGGAGAGCGAGCGGGGTCGGTGCGCACCGACCCCTCGCCCTCTCCATGCTTCAGCGAAAGCCTGCATTCGCCCTATAGGACGCACACACTTTTCCCCTTCATTTTTGGAGGGGGAAAAGTGCGTCCTATAGGGCGAAAAATACGGTACCCTTGTTTAGGGATATTTGTTTTACATACCATATTTGTCCACCTGCCTTCTTACCATGCAAAAGGTTTTCCGGGGAGGGAATAAACAAAAATATTTTTAACTATACTAGACATCACTTTGGCACATCCACTCCTGATTTGAGGAGTGGAGAATACACAGGCTTTCCTCATTAGTTTTTTGTTTAGTGCTAATAAAGTTAGTGCTAGTAAAGTTCTGTTGTACTTGAAACAACTGTTGTCTTCATGACTATTTCTATCATTACAGATTTTACACTTCTTGCTAGTAGGAAGTTGAGTGGGAGAAATATAAATGCCATGGACAACTTTTTTATTTTTATATGAATGCTAGTTACCGTTCTGAGGCACTTATGTGATCCATTCTTACCGTAACTGAAACGAGTCCTTTAGAAACACATTTGGAGATGGCTTTTGAAATGTGACTTCGTATATGTGGCCTGCATGTGCCCTAGATGACACTGAATGCTCAATTCTCTCCTTTGTAACTTAGGGCCACTGCTCACGCAACCAAGCAGTTTGGCACTGTTTTCTGATGCATATTTTATCTTTTCACATATCATTAAAATAATAGCTAATGCAGTATTACTGATTTTCGCCCCCTCCCCCAGTGTTTCCTTGTGTACCAGAAAGACCTGGAATGCCCTGTCCAGGGGAAGATAGTAAGTATAATTATTTGAAATATGCAGTGTTACCATATTTTTAAAATCTGGATCCTTGTTGTGTTTTTGTTTATGGAGTGATTTGTTTGTTTATACTTATTAAATATAAATATACCACTCTTCATCCAAAGATCTCAAGGTGGTTCACAGCATAAAAATCAAAATGAGAACAGAAAATACATAATAAAACAAAAACAAACAAATAACCTCATTCTACAAACACATTTAAAAGGCCATAGAATGTTAATGATCCAAAGGCCTGGTTATTAAGAAGTGTTTTCACCTGCCATCTAAAAATATGTAATGAAGGTATCAGGCGAGCCTCCCTAAATTTTACCTAAATTAAAAATATACATAACTTTCAATTTTATGACTGACTGGCGAGTACAGTATGGTGGTTAATCAAATAATCTGTGACCCAAGAAACTCCAGTTTAAATTTCACTTTATCTGTGATGTTACTGATGGTGATAGGCAAGCTGATAACTATCAAACAATCATGCTTACACCCAAGATCCATAACGGAATAAAAACGCTAGCCAACCTTCAAGGCCAGTTTTAAAGTTTACTGAGATTATGTGATACACAAGAGTAAAAACCTTTATAAATACAAAATAATTGTTAAATATTTGGGTAATCTATTTACATATGCTTGACTTGCATAATTCTTGAAACTGGGCTCAGTTTGATAGCTAGGGACAAAGCAAGCAGCCTTCTCTGGAGTTTTTGTGTGATTGTTTCTAATTTCTCCCCCTAGAGTCTATTTATCGTCGAGGTGCACGGCGATGGCGAAAGCTCTATTGTGCAAATGGTCACACTTTCCAAGCCAAGCGATTCAACAGGGTAGGTTTTAATATACTTTACTGAGACTGTTCTTTCATTTGTAGTTAACCTCTCCTAATAAATATCACCTTTTCGAAATGGACTTTGTCCTCCTGAGATATTAAATGCCTTTTTATATACGTACTGATAATTAGGAAATAGGCCTTAAAATATCAAATTTACTTTGTCAGCTGCAAGTCCAATCAGAGTTTATTTAGTTTTCCATATAATAGAACTTCATCTGTAGGACTATTTATTTCTGAGCACCCTGTGGTTTTCAACTAAATGTGATGCTTTAAAAATGCGCTAAGTCCTTTAAATGGGAGAAAGCTTTGCTCGTGAGTGTTTATGCTGGGATTCAAAGTACAGTGGTACCTCAGGTTACATACGCTTCAGGTTACAGACTCCACTAACCCAGAAATAGTAGCTCGGGTGAAAAACTTGGCTTCAGGATGAGAACAGAAATCGTTCTCTGGCGGTGCAGCGGCAGCAGGAGGCCCCATTAGCTAAAGTGGTGCTTCAGGTTAAGAACAGTTTCAGGTTAAGAACGGACCTCCGGAACTAATTAAGTACTTAACCCGATGTACCACTGTATTGGATTTAAAGCCCAATATCTACAGAATATTGGGCACCCTTATTTGTTAGTACAGTGTACCTATAGATGAGTCCGGTGATCATGGATAATGAAGGATCCTGACAACCGAGGAATGTTTATATAGTGCTTTATAACATACAAAGTGCTTCACACATAGTAACCATCACATTGAGACTAGCGTATTTCTGTTTAATAACCCAGAAGATGAGCCACCCTTTCCCTGATGCATGCATCCCCTTTGACTTGTCCCTTCACAACAGTTCTGTTCTGGAAGCCTCTAAATAATATTTTCCTATTCTAACTGAAACAGGAAACTGCGATTGCCAGAAGAAGCCAGGGTATTAAACCAACTTCATATCATATATCATATCATATCAAGCACTCTTGGATGAAACTGATTATCTTGACCCATTTTAATCTGGCTTCAGACATGGTTATGGGACTGAATGAGCCTTTGTAGCTCTGCTAGATAACCTTCGTCACGAGGACAACAGAGGGAGTGAAACCCTTTTGTTCTTACTTGATATTTTTGTCAGTGGTTTTTGATAACCACTGGCAGTTGTATCCTTTTGAACCAACTCACTGAGATGGGTATTGGAGGTGCTGTTTTACAGAGATTCAACAAAACTTAAAATTGGGTATTTTTTATGCTCAGAATTTGTTATATATATTATCATTTAATCAGATTGGTTATCTCATCATTGCGTTATAAAATGTGTATATAGTCAAAAAGCCAGAGAATAAATAGAGAGGGGGAGAAAGATTTTTTTAAAAAACCAAATTAACAAAACTGAGCATTTTAAATGTATGTAGTGGGGAACATAATTTTACCATGAGAAAGCCAGACACAACACAAAAAGAGCACTTGTGAGCTAATTACTTTAACCATAACTTCAGAGCAACAGGTTATCAGATTTTTCAGTGTGGTATTTTGTGAGTAGATACCCTATTGCATGAGTCGTAGTTTGAGGGTATCTAGATACTGTTAGTATCATTGGTCAATGGTCATTTGCCTGTTTGTTTTTCAGAGAGCTCATTGTGCCATCTGCACTGATAGGATATGGGGACTGGGACGCCAGGGATATAAATGCATCAATTGTAAACTCCTCGTTCACAAAAAATGTCACAAACTGGTCAGCATAGAATGTGGCCGACACGCATTACCACAAGTAAGTGATATTGATAGCTATAACCTTCTCCAGTGTGCATATAAATACACAAGTATACATAATGATTTTACTAAGACTGTGATGGGGACCTAGGGTGGGATTAGCCTAACATGCCCCATTAGAGTAAGCCCTGTGCTAAGACTTCCACATGCAATGGGGCTTCCCCCCATATCCCCAAAATAAGCTCTGGGGGTTGGAGAACCTCCAGACCAGTGTGCTGGGGGAGGTGAGGGGGGCGGTTCTGTTTGACAAGCTGATAAATTTGTACAGATGGAAAAACTGGAAGAGCACAAAAGCTGAATGCCACATTCGACTTTCACTTCTTTGATTCTGGTTTTTATATCTGATGTTGCCTCACTAAAATATAACACAGCTGGTTTGCTTTGCTGTTCTGTGAAAGTGAATTTGGATGCCAATATGGGCACTTCAATCCTGCTTGATTTTGGTAACTAAACGATCCTAGCTTTTGAACTTGAGGTGTATATTTTGAGAACCCACCTCATTTTTGTGATTATAAGTTGTTTTAAACTGTTTTTGATACTGGGTTTTATTGTTGTGATCAGGCCTGGGACCTTACTGTGAAGTGTGGGTAATTATTATTAAATAACAACAACAACAACAACAATAATTTTGAATGAATTTTGAATTTGTGTTTCAATGAATGAAACACAAAAATTGTGAGGCCCTTAAATTTTGCACCAGACCTTGTGGCTTCTGATCAAAGATTTATATAGTCTGGTCTGTGCATTAATTATTTTGAAGAATGCCCTACTCTGTTTAGTGGAATTTATTCCCAAGTACAAGAGCATAGGATTGAAATCTTAGATTTAGACTGCCAGTTTTGCAATTTGAGCCAATGACATAGCTCCTTGTAGAAAACAGAAAAGTTGTAATCTTATTCTTTGACTTTTTGTAGGAGTCTATGGATCCTTCATCAGTGCATCTTGATAACATGGAACCAGGTAAGAACGGTGCTTTCTGTAATTATATTGAAAGGACCAAATGTGGACCCCCCCCCCCCCAAAAAAATGAATTAGTGCTTCTTATTTGCATAATAATTTCTGGGTTTTATCCAACACTGTGCATGTTCCACTTATACAGCAGGACTTTTCCTGGAACAGATTTTGAGGGTTCAAGGGAGAGGAAGTTCCATCGTGCAGGCAAAAGTATGCTGCATGAGCAGAATGGCGGTGTTGAATACAATCTTCTATTTTTTAAATCTACTGTGAGCAAGAAGCAAAACTATGTATTCTTCACTGACTTTAAATGAATCATTTATTTGTGATCTCTATATAAAAGCATCTTTAGAAGTGTGTTCTGTTAACTGCAGGGAACGGGCACAGCCATGCCTACCCATTTAATTTCATGTAATTTACTGTGTGGTTCCCTGTGGATGTACAGAAGATGACTTCATAATATGGCCATGTTTGAGATAATGCAGCAAAATTAATTAATTTGTAGGACGTTCAAGCAGACTTTGCCAATTTACCATCTTAGAAGCATAAAAGCAAAGAGGAATTTCCAATCACTTGCAGAAAGGAATTGCATTTGCCTGTAATTTTGATACTATCCTTACATTTTTTTACTTTTAGTGATTCCTTATCATCCTTCAAGTCATGAAAGTTTGGACCATGTTGGTGAAGAAAAGGAGGTATTCTAATTGTTTAATGTCTTGGTTTTTTACTAAGTTATCTGTGCATTTCTGGAATATTAAGAAACTTACCTGTAACTTCCAACACAACATATGCAGCTCAGTTAGCCTATTGTTAATAGAATTTTTGAGGTCAGAAAAGCTCTCAAAGATCTGACAGTATTACCCAGGGCAATTCTATTTAAATGTTTCCATCTACCCATAGGCAACAAGTATTAGAGAAAGTGGTAAAGTATCTTCCAGTCTGGGTCTCCAAGATTTTGATCTACTTCGAGTTATAGGGAGAGGAAGTTATGCAAAAGTACTTCTGGTTCGGTTAAAGAAGACTGAGCGCATTTATGCAATGAAAGTTGTGAAAAAGGAACTAGTAAATGATGATGAGGTAAGTGGTATTTCTGTTAAATGAACTGTTCTTTAAATTCTGTTTTATATGAATGGTGGCATATTAGAGGTCAGATAACTCCCCTGTAATTTGTGATCATGTTTGGTTGTATTCAAAGTGGCACTTCTGAGTTTGGTTCTTAACAAGTTAATCAGGTTTTCCACTAATTAAAACTCTGTCAGCAATTTAAAAGATATGGAAATGTTGGACCAAATCTCCTTTCAGGAAGAGCCCTTCCTGTTTATGTATAAAGACAATCTTGGGTACTCAAGGTTAGTGTCTCTGCATTGTGACATGATAGTTTTCTTAAACTATTTCTCAGACTTCAAATAACTATTTGTGCTTAAAGACATTGATGGTATAAATGCATTTAAAGGAAGCTATCACCATAAGCAACTTAAAGACCATGGGGAGTTTAAGCCTGTTTTGAAATTGCATTGTTGTATAATTTTGGAAACAAAATTCAATTGCATCCTACGAATTGCTGAATATGGGAGCAGAATATTTGACTTTAGAAATGGGTATGACTTTTTTCAGGATAATTAAGAATCTTATTATCGTCTGCCTACAAGAGCCAGGAAATCATATTTCTGCTTATCTGTTGCAAGTTAATTAATATTAGCCGAAAGTATTACAAAAGCAACTGTTCTGTGTATTTTTATAATAGGATATTGATTGGGTTCAGACAGAGAAACATGTCTTTGAGCAGGCTTCAAATCATCCTTTTCTTGTTGGCCTTCACTCTTGTTTCCAGACAGAAAGCAGGTAATTGTGTAATATGATTTTTGCAGGTTCTTTCACTTGATCCTTTTTATAATAAGCCATTATTTTCCCCCCAACACTAAGATATAATTAGCAACATACAGCACTAACACTTATGCAGTTTCATCAAAAAAGACTTGAACGACAGGTTCCTTATGATCAGAGAAGATGGCTGTAAGGAAATCTTGAGCTGCAAAAATGATTTTCAAAAGAGAGTTGTTGAACAATGAAGCCATCCGTAGAATAAAGGATAGTAGAATGAAATGTAAAAACAGCATGCAGAAGAGCTGGTTTCTAATTGGGAGTAGGAGAACTATAGTTAATGAAGGTGGAAAGATGGGAACCATGTGTGCAGAGAGATCATAGTCTGCGTTAAAGTTTGAACACAGTACAGATAAGGAGAAAAGCCAGAATGTGCCAAAACAATTGTTTGCTTTTTCATTGAGTGTTCAAAACCTAAGTAAAATGGATTACTATAATAAAGAAATTGCTTAAGCATAGGAAAATACTTTGAGGAGTGGTGAAGTGAATATAATACTTCAGTTCAGGCATCCCCAAACTCGGCCCTCCAGCTGTTTTGGGACTACAGTTCCCATCATCCCTGACCACTGGTCCTGTTAGCTAGGGATGATGGGAGTTGTAGTCCCAAAACAGCTGGAGGGCTTTAGTTGATCAAATGTCTTGAAAACAAAGCCGCATACAGGAGACACACATGGTGTGATATATTTATTAAAGAAGTTGGTAGTGCAAGGTTGTAAAATAGGAAAAGAAGGAGGTAGGTGATAAACAAGCCTTGAATCATTTTCTCATAGTGGCCTAGGTGCTGCTGTGTCACATACTTCAATATACATGCCTGTTTACTTACCATGGTAAAACACGAGAGAATATATCCTCAGGCAAACCTTTTCGAGGAAGGGTAGAGTTTGACGAAAAGGGAGTACAAGGAAAATCAAAACACAAGTCCTGAAGCATTCAGCGGAGCTGTACTCCCAACTACCTATCAGTAAAGGAATAAGATTATAAGATGTATGTTAGAAGATTTATAGTGTAAACTGCCCATTGATCTGCAGAGGAAGGGTGGTATAGGGCTGTGTTCATGTTGAAAATACCTGCAAAGGGAGAATAGATAGGCATGTTTTATTGATGTTTGAGATGGACTAACCAAAGAGGAGAGGGGGAACGCTCTGAAAGCACTTCAGTTGTTAAGTTTGTGTAGGTGACAAGGTGGACCATAATAATAAAAGTATGTAAGAATCAAGCCATTATAGAATTTACTTCTGTGTTCCAGACTATTTTTTGTTATAGAATATGTAAACGGAGGGGACCTCATGTTTCATATGCAGCGCCAAAGGAAATTGCCGGAAGAGCATGCAAGGTATGTGTTCCTGCCATGACTTTTGCACATTGTTATGGATTGAGGGAAAACCCAAAGGTGTCTAATTACATGGAACATCTCCTTTTGCCTCCCAATTTTAATTATTGTTTTGGTCAGCCTAATTATTGAAATGAAAGAGTTGCATTTGGTGGTTCTTATCTTCTCTTTCAGAGATGCTCCCAAATGAATCTAATTTCATTTGCAAAGTACCCTAGAACTCTGAAATGGGTGCACCAGTCATTTTATGTGGCACTGGCTCGTATTCCACTATGTTTTGCTCAAAGGAGACCTATTGAAATTAATGGAGCTAGCTTAGTCATAATCATTTCAATGGGTTTACTCTGAGTAAAACTTAGTTAAGTACCACCTACTGCCTCCTGTGCTCATTCTTTGCCAGCACAGCTGAGTGAGGTGAATAAAAGTTGTATGTTCTTTACTTGTTTATACCTTCAATTTCTAGATTTACTTTCTCACTCGTCTTAGCTGTTGTTCTTGAATTTCTCAGGCACCATAGTTTGATCTCTTCTGGCAGACATAATTGGCTCCTACTTCAAAAAGCCTTTTAAAACTGCCAAGAGACTGATTTTTAGACATTTAACTTTTTTTTGCCACTCAGCAGAAAGAAGACACAAAAAGGCTAGTTGTGTTCATATGCATCAGTGCTTGGAATTACTGGGGTTCAACTGAAGGGTGGAAGGGTCAGGTCACTACTAATTATACTTAATATATTCCAGCTTTCTCAAAGACCTAAAACTCGAATACCTAATGAAGAAAGGTAGAAATAGCTCCTCCACAGAAGATGTAACATTCTAACTTATAGATTTCAGGGAGGCCTGAGATGACTAATAAGCTTAGAAGGGACACCCAGTTTCATAACGCTGGATATACACTGCTGGTGTTGTTGGATCTAGCTATGGAAGCTTAAGAATAAAATAAGGCACTTCAATTTCATTTTAGGTTTTACTCGGCAGAAATCAGTTTAGCATTAAACTACCTTCATGAACGAGGAATAATTTATAGGGATTTGAAACTCGATAATGTGTTGCTAGATTCTGAGGGGCATATCAAACTGACTGACTATGGCATGTGCAAGGTAAGAGGCAAAATCTCCAAACATCTTGAAGTCTTGATTTTCCTAACATGATTTTCCTCCCTAGAATGTGCGGTAGTTTTTGATTAGGTTGGCTTCATTAAAATATGTACAATGATGCAATCAAATTACCAAATAACTGGAGAGAAGAGGAATATCCATGGACTGCAGCTGTCATGGTTTCTCTTGACTCATTTTTTCAAGTTGTTTAGAAGCAGCAGTAAGTCTATGCTACTAGGTTGGGCTGCCATGCTGTCCTCCCATAAGCACACAAGCTTCAGTTATTGCTGTTTTCCTCTATCCCCTGCAGCCCCAAACATGACTTCCCCCACACTGTTCAGGGGTGGTCTCACAGTCCTCCAATCCAGATTTTCAGGGGGATTTGAGTAGATTGTTAAAAAATGCTGCCACCTCTGGCCACCAGTGGGAGCCTCAGGTAGTTTGGAATTGTGCTAACTAGATTTTCTACTAATTCAGTAAAATGATTTTCCATGGACTTTAGCTAGCAGCCCAGAACATCTTCAGTTTTTAGAAAGAGCGGTACTTTTATCTTGATCTAGTGCAGTGGTTCTCAAAGGGTGTGGCGCTCCACACTGGTTTGGCAGGAGAGGATGGCAATTGTGGCAGGAAGATTCAAGAACAATCAAAGAAACGTTTAAACTTTTCAGTGTAGTATAATGAAATACAGGAGTATGCCACTGGACTCTTTTTGGATATAGAACCAGAAACAACTCTTCTTCAAGAGCATTCACTATTCTACAGTTCTCCATGACATATTATTGTGAACAATTCTGACAAATATGAAAGATCAGAAGAGAGACTTTTGTCTCAAATTAGATCTAATATGAATAAGATTACCCTGCAAAAGCAAGCTTACACCTCTCATTGAGTGCAAAAGACTTGTTTATAATTCTATTTTGGGAATGATTCCTGTTCTTATGTAGCTGTATTGTTTTATACTTTCTGGATGTCCCACAATCATATTATAAAGTAGTTGTGATCTATGCTATAGATCAAGCTAGGAGTTGTTTCTTTTTGTTTTCCAATGTATTTCTTATCAATTAAAATTTTTATTCTGGAAGTGTGGCGCATGTATGAAAAAGAGCTCGTATGTTTGCTCTTGCCTGTTAAATTAGGTGTTGTGCAGTTAAAACAACTGACTTGCTATTATGATGGGAAGCAGAATAAATATTTGCGTACGATTTTCATTCCCCTTTGTTTCCGTTTTAAAAGGAAGGATTAAGGCCTGGAGACACAACAAGCACATTCTGTGGCACTCCTAACTACATTGCTCCTGAGATCTTGCGTGGAGAAGATTATGGTAAATATTACATGTATAAATACCAAACCTGGAGAGCATGAGTAGTTACCACACAAACCAAATGTCCACCACAGTTTCCCCCTGGCACTGAACCCCTCTTGTACTCAAAATGATTGTGCAATTAAACCTAGCACTTGATCCAAATGCAAAATAAATTGACAGTGACCAGTTCTGCTTCATCAGTTTGATTTCTTAGAATGTGGGAACATGTTTGAGCTCCCCCAAAGCACTGCTTATCCTGCAGCCCTCTTAAGTATTTCCCCGCCCTGTGCAGAGGATGTGGGGGCCAGAGGTCTGGCAAGAAAGCAAGGAAGTAGAAGGAGTACAGTGGGGTGCAGAGAAAAGATAAAAAGATAATAAGCAAGAAAAATGGGGAAAGTGTGAGGTTTTTAAAAAGAAAGATGAAGCAGGCTAGGTTCTTAGGGAGCTTGGCTACACCAGACTGGCCACAGCAAGAGGTAGGCCAGTTTGATCAGTGGGATTGCCCTCCCGCCAGGTGAATTGGTCAGTAGATTAGACCCTCCCTGCCTGAGCCGATGGAAGGTGCCATCCCAAGCTGTGGAGCCCACCTGCAACCACTTGGGGAATTGGCTTACTACCTCTTTGGGAGAACTAGGCCATAGCGATCATAAGGATGTCATTGAAAGCCTGGAATTTCTTATCCACCTAGATTTACCTTGAAATCCTCGATTGTGTAGTCTAACCACTGCTCTTCTTCCTGCTATATCTATTACTTTCCACCACATCTTTAAAGGCTTTGCCAGATAAACATGCTGATTATACCAAATCCTTTTAAAGTAGTGTTCTGCTTTGTTTTAAATCACAGGATTTAGTGTGGACTGGTGGGCTTTAGGTGTCCTGATGTTTGAAATGATGGCAGGCAGATCACCATTTGATATTGTTGGAAGCTCTGATAATCCTGATCAAAATACAGAAGACTATCTTTTCCAAGGTAAGTAATTCAAAAGCACAATTTTTAGTTTGTTCAAGCAGTTGATTCTGTGAAATGTACAATGAGGCAAGGTTTATCTCCTGACGAATGCCTGATTCCCAAGTAGATTTGTGCTTTCTGAACAAACATAGTGCAAAATTAGCTAAAGGACAGCAGTGTATTGGGCTGATTTTCCATTGTCTTTAGAGACATGAAAGTTTACTTCTGTGGCTAGATCTTAACTTTTAAAATAAAGGAGGGTGCAGTCAAGTTCCTATACCAGAAAAGGAAACCTACATATCTTTTAAAATTATTCTATGTATTTAAAGCACAAAAGAGGTGAAATTTATATCCCATGGTCCAAAAGAATACTACTATTTAGCATAAAAAACAGAATTAATTTAGTTCAACCTCTTATACAGATTGAGTTTTCCGTTGTACATCAGTTCCAAAACACACCTTTAGAATTTTAAAACAGAAAATTCATGAAATTAAAATGTTATTAATTATTTCTTCTAGTTATTCTAGAGAAGCAAATCCGTATCCCACGATCCCTTTCTGTGAAGGCAGCAAGTGTTCTAAAAAGCTTTCTTAACAAGGTAAGAGCTCGTGCCATATTTGGGTTGAACTTTGGTTCTTAAATATACATGTTACAGGTTTAAAACTGGCAAGAGAAAATTAGTATAAAAATATCAAAATACATATTTGGGAAGGAATGTAATATGAGCACTTTAACAATTTGTGTACTGAAACTCATTTATATTTACAATCTGTGCCTGTTTACTGGCCCAGTTACAATAGTCTTATTAAGCTTAATTTGACCTTCATGTTACATGTTTTCTTTACCTAGGATCCAAAAGAACGGCTAGGTTGTCATCCTCAAACAGGGTTTGCAGACATTCAGGGACATCCGTTTTTTCGTAACGTTGATTGGGACCTGGTAAGTGGACAGTATAAATATTGCTTTTAAATAGTACTATGCACAGTGAATATCTGAAATCTTGCCTGGATGAGAGAGCCTCTGCCATTGTCAGTAAAAGTTGCCAAAAAACATTGAGTTTTCCCCATAGATTTTATATTATAAGCAGATAATTAATCTTCTTGGGGGATGAGCAATGTCCTTTCAAGTACTCAAAGTGAGCATGGACTATGCAGTGCAGTAGTCATTTTAGTACTTCAGGAGCTCAGTTCCCTTTTACCATACTACTACTCAGAAGTTTGAGGATTATGTTCAGAGCAAGGGGTTTTAAAGATTTAACAAAACTTATATACTGCTTGATTGTAACAAAATCTCTAGGTGGTTAACAATAAATATTAAAATTTTCATTAAAAAAGTAAAAACAATTAAAAAAAGGAGTAAACTAAAAAGAGATTAAAACATGTCAGCATGTATACGTCTGGATAGATTTGCCTAAACAAAAATAATTTAAGCAGATGCTGAAAAGAATATCGCAAATATGTCTGTTTGATGTCACCTACTACCTAAGTGTAGGTGATGCCACACAAAAATTTCTTAGAAGTATGGGATTATTATTGTGTGGCACTTGTTAATAGTGTCACTTTGGCAAATCGAAGCAGTTGAGTGGGCACATATTGGGTAAGGCCATCCTGCAGATAAACTGGTCCCAGGCTTGTTAAGGGCTTTATATACCAGGAACAGTACCTTGAACCTGATCCTGTAACCAGTGAAAATCTCTAAGCAGACATGTTTATAAGTTGGCAGGGTCTCGCTTCTGTCAGCAACCATGCTGCAGTATTCTGTACTAGCTGCAGTTTTCAAATCAAGAGCAAGGGAAGCCCCAGATAGAGTGCATTGCAGTAATTTTATCTTGAAGTCACCAGTGCCTGAACTACTGTGGTCAAATTAAGCTGGTCCAGGAATGGTTGTAGCTGTTGTATCAGGCACAGCTGGTAAAAAGGGCTTCTAGGTACTGAGGCAGTCTGGGCTTCCAGAAACAGAGCTAGGTATAGAAGCACCCTGGACTGTGTAACCTGCTCGTTCATAGGGAATGCAACCCCATCCAGGTTTTGTTTTCTGCCATGGGAACCACTTGCCTGCAGATTTGCCAAACTGGCACCAGTCCAGGTGTTATCCTGATTCCAATGTAATAAATGGAGAATTCGAGGTGAGTGTCGACAGTGTGCTGGTGGCACCTTGGCCCCAAACTCCTGATAACAGTTCCCTGTGGCTTCATGTAGATATTAAGTAGCACTGGGGGATAAAATAGTTCCCCGTGGCACCCTGTAGCATAACCACAAGGGGGCCAAAAGCGTTCTACCCATTATACTCTGCAATACAGAGCCTCCAAAGCAATAGGATCATTGTGTGGAATAAAAGCTTACAAACACTATAACCCATAGTTTGTCCTCCTAAGAGAAATGTGAATTATCCTTAATGCACTCTATATAATTATCCAACAGCAACACTTAAATGCTATGTGAACTTACTCCTAGATGGAGCAAAAGCAAGTGGTTCCTCCCTTTAAACCAAACATATGTGGAGAATTTGGTCTGGACAACTTTGACTCCCAGTTCACAAATGAGCCTGTTCAACTCACCCCTGATGATGAGTAAGTAAATGATTAAGCTACTAAACTGAGCGAAATGCTCCCTTGCAATTCTAACAGCTCTTATTGTGGTAGTATGTGCCGTGATGGAACTTCAGAACCTCTAACAGTTTCCAGAAGTAGAGACAAACAAAGAAGGCTATCCACATTCTGCCTTGCTTGTAGGTATCCTGGATGATTGGCCATTGCTGGAAGCAGAACACTGAATTGGATAGATGCTTAGTCTGATTCAGCAGAGCTGCTCATATTCCCATGTGACCAAAAATGACTACCCCATTGGGGTGAACAAAATGGCAACTGGTAAATTGCACAATGAATTGTAACTAACATGGTTTCTGAGATTTTGAAAAATATAATTGGGGCCAATCCAGGATTTTGTAACTTCAGATAGGAAGGAAGCACAGGAAGCCACTTTATACCAAAACCAGACTTAGTGTCTGTCTTGCCCAGTATTGCCTGGCACCTACTTTCCAGGGTCTCCAGTAGAGATATATCATATCACCTGTTACCTGATCACAAGTAGTGATGACATGAATTGACCCTGAAGCCATCTGCATGCAAAGCATCTATGTGTGGCTGGGGAAACCTAGCTAGATGGGTGGGGTGTAAATAAGGTTATATGAGGTTAAGGTTATATGAGGACAAGCGTAGATATATTTCTAACTTTGGAGAGCGAATACTTGCTTATAATAAGAACTGGTGGAAATTACCTGGTATTGTTCAGGAATTCTAAGCACCAAAAAAATTAGAAATTTATAAATGGATAGCATAATTTATTAATTTCTAGGCCTGTGCATGCTCCTCCAATCTGACTCCGTTAACAGCTGACCAGGAACTCTGAATCAACTCGGAGAGCAGGGCTAATGTTAATTAGGGTTTTTTAAACCCAAGGTAGTCAGCAGGAGGGCTGAGGAAGGAAGACGGTATATCTCCTTAGGCCCCCTCCTCCTGCCACACTGCAGAGAGTGGAAGGGTTCAGTCCTGTTGGGTGCTGTTTCATCAGGGTGTTGCCCACACAGAACACAATAGTGAAGCAGCCAGCAATATAGCACCCGTGGTGGGCAGCTCCTGCACTGCTGCTCCATGTGCTTGGCTATTCTGCCAGGCCTAATTGTCCTCTCCTCTTTGTCTTCCCCTCTCATTGTCCCAGTCCATTGGTGCTGCTTACCTGGCTGCTGCTATCACCGTTATATTACGGGAAGCGGCTGCCTGAGCCCAACTCTCCTCACTTTGCGCCACCCTGCAAACCAGCTCTTGCACCAACTATATCACCAATGGGGCTCTCCCCAGGGTGGCTCACCTGGCAGCTTCATTTCGTATACCGTATTTTTCACTCTATAAGATGCACCAGACCATAAGACACACCTAGTTTTTGGAGGAGGAAAACAAGAAAAAAAAATACTCTGAATCCCAGAAGATGAAGGCTCCCTGCTGCCCTGAAGAGGCCTTGTGCGGCTATCCCAGAAGCTAGAACAGTGAGAGGGAGCGCTGCGCAGTGATCCCTCTCCCCGTTCTGGCTTCTGGGATAGCTGCGCAGCCTGCATTCGCTCTATAAGATGCACACACATTTCCCCTTACTTTTTAGGAGGGAAAAAGTGCGTCTTATAGAGCAAAAAATACATCTTATAGAGCGAAAAATATGGTATTTAGATGCCAAGCAAAAACATTCCTCTTCCCCAGGTCTTTGACTAATTAGTCTACGGCCATTTAAACTGGAAGTTGTGGTGGTATTGTTTTGTTTGTCTGTATTTTTGTTTAAAAACTAAACTGTCCTGTCATCCTTGGATGATGTTTGGTTAATAATAAATAAATAAATAAATAAATAAATAAAAACAAATATAATAGTTTCCACTTGAATTATAGTTTAGTGATAGGAGAAGGGACTAAAAGAATTCCTGTGTGTACTTTTTGTTCAGTGCATCAGAACCCTGACAAGAGCACATTTCTTTGGGCTCCCTTATTTGTTTTTAGCACCTCAGTTTTAAGTTGAAAAGGGGGGGGGGGGACTCCCCGAGCAGCTTACAGACATGAATGAAAAGACAGTCCCTGCCCTCAGGCTTAGAATCTAAAAGACTCTACACAAGATGGGACTCAGTAAGAGAAGGGGAAAAAAGCAAGCTTCTGCACTGGTTCTTAGATACAGAGGTCTTGAATAGATACAGGTTCTTAGATATAGAGCTTGAATAGAAAGATTCAGAGGGAAAGGGCTAAATGTTACTACTTTTTCAGCAACCTTTGTCCTTCTGTAGTAGCTTGATGGAATGGTTGCTGGTGGACAGTTGAGAGAGTAGCCTGATGAATGTGATGTTTCAGTAGAGCCAGTGCTGAATACAGTCACTCTCTGGGGTTTTTCCTCAGTACAAATTGTATTGTATTGTTTTTTGAGAATATAAATGCTCTTTTTATTTTCAGTGATATTGTGAAGAAGATTGACCAGTCTGAATTTGAAGGCTTTGAATATATCAATCCCCTTCTGATGTCTGCTGAGGAATGTGTCTGAGCTCCCACTTCTGAACTGTGCCATTTGTCGCTGACACATTTTTCTGCATGGATGAACAGTTTGCAGTTGGGATGCAATTAATAAAATGCATTTACCTTTGTCATTTGCTATCAAATAAGAACTTTTCATTAACCTGCTATATAAGCTGGATGCTTTTTATTTGACTAAAAGGAAATCTAAAACACTAAAACAGATTTTGCCAAAGTTGAACTTGAAACATCAAGGCAACCATTTTCCTACAGGCTGCCTAATGTGAAATAGAGGATGTTGCCACCTATTCCACTTGAAATGTAATGCAGCTCTGGGTTCAAAGTGGTCTAATTAAAGAGCACCTGCTTGCATTAAGTGAAATTAACACATCAAGTCCACCTGTCTTCAGTTTTACATGTGTCTGTTGCCAACCCAGAGTAAAACAAGTATGCTCCCTAATTCATTTGAAGAACCCTTGCTAAACCTGAGTTCTCAGACCTGGCTAAGAAGCTTACTCGCATTGGTGATGGTAATGTGTTAGACTGAAAACAAATGAAGAGCAGCAGGAGAATTTACATGTACTGCTACAGCCCGCTTCCATTCCATGTATATTCCACATTCAGTGTGAACTGGACATAAAGTTTCATCTTCCATGTTACAATTTTAGCATTGCAATCCTGGGTGCACTTTGAGTAGGCACCATTAGATTTGCTAGGATTTACTTCTGAGCAAACTTGCATAGGATTGTGGTGTAATATTTGCAGTCTCCAGGATACAGTGGTAACTCGGTTTACGAACTCAATCCATTCTGGAAGTCGGTTCTTAAACTGAAACTGTTCTTAAACCGAGGCATGCTTTCCCTAATGAGGCCTCCTGCCGCCGGTGTCCTTCCACCATTTGGATTCTGTTCTTATGCCGAGGTAAAGTTCTCAAACCAGGACACTATTTCCGGCTTTGCGGAGTTTGTAAACCAAATCGTTCGTAAACCAAGGTACCACTGTAATGCCTTGCTTTTTTTTTTTATAGACTCGGAAGTAGCACAGCATTTACTTTAGGCTTGACAGAGCCATGGAGAATAGTTGCTTTCTTGACAACGGAGACCATGGCTGTCTCTAAATAGGACTTTTCTTTCAAGCACCATGCAGTAGATTTGACTCCAAAATTACTTGTCATTCGTTTAATCAAAGTTCTTTGGTATACATCCTTGCTATGTAAATGAGTGCCTTCTTATTAAGTCTGTCCTTTTCAAAAGGGCTAATAAAATGTATGGTATCAGTTTGAATTAAAATGAACCAGTAGAGGTGTTTTTTAAAAAAAGAAAAAATAAGTATTTAGCAGAAATAGGCAGCTAATGTTAACAAATACAACCTCATGCAGCCAGCTTTATAATTTTGTAGCTTCTGTTAAGGTAGACCAGAATTTATTTTCACTATTGATTTAAAAGTCTAATAGGCTCATACAGCAGCTGTACAGTTTGAAAAACCATTACACTATACCACTACAAAAGGATCCCTCTATTAATGTGATTAGGGAAGTGTGGCTCCTCTCATGGTCCTATACTTACTGCTCTAAGATGTATGCAAAAGTCTAAATAAAAATTCAAACCAGCTAGGTCAGTGAAGATGGGCGTTCTAAAGGTCTGTATATAATTAATATAATGATGTACCGAGAAAAAGTTGCATGCTTTATCTTAAAAGTCGAGGAACTGCTGGCTGGAGATGTCACTTGTGTATTTTGCTTGATTTTTAAATGCTTGTAAAGACAAGGGATTTTCAAAGTGTTTTCGATAATGTAGAAATGTGGACTTAACTTAATAGTTGTCCAGAACCAAGCACATTCTAGTTAGCCTTCTGTGAGTTATTTTTCTCTGCCATTGTGAACTTAATCTATGGTACATCTGTGCATTAAGGCAAAAATTGCCTCTTTGACTAGTATGCATTATCTTCATTGTGCTTTTCAAACACTGGCATGTTGAAGAGGAGGAATTCAACCACTTTGGTACTTTCCCTTATTAAGCTCATGTCAGTTACAGGGTACATCTAAAAACATTTAATTGTGCTATGTTTTAGATCTGGTGAATAGGCTTTCAGTTTTACATTCTTGAAGGGGGAAGGAGACCTTTATAACTTAATAGAGCTAACTTACAACTTGGCTTGTGCCCTCTTATTTTATTTCGTCCTTTCTTAATGTATCTGAAATTAGGCCACTAACAGCGGTTTCACTTCATAAGCTGCATGGTACAGAATGACTTATATAAGAGGTACATTTTCTGACTCACAAACTGTAGGTGAGTGAAATTCTCACATCTAAGACTTTTCTTCAAAGCACAAAAGGAGTAAAATTGCAGATGTTACAATGTGCTTCCCACCCCCTTGTATATGTGTGTCTTACTTATTTCATCTTATAGTGTCAATTTTTCACAAAGAACTGAGGGATGTTGAAAGCAAATATCAAGTTTTGTTTCATTTTGTTTTTCATGTTTCCAAACAAGTGCCATGGTATTAAGTTGTTAGTTGTTGTTGTATTTTTAAAAAAATGTATTAAATGTGTAGAGGCTGTCTTAAAATATTGAACAGGGAATTCAGACGTGGACAGCTAATTCAGCATGCTTTTCTGAAGGTAGCCTTTTAGTGTAAACATTGAACTAAATGGGTGCTTCCATCTTGTACTATGTACTTCCTTCATTTTGCAGATATTGTACTGTACTGTGTAATCTCTTGTATTTCTGCACACTTTTTTACTTTCCATTTTAAGTTTCAAAATTAAAAAAACCACCAGGGCTTTTTCTTTAAATCCTGTGTTGCACTCATTGTACGCTTTCCTTGAGTATCCTTCTAATTTAGCAATTTTATTTACTTCTCTTTATTACTACTGGAGAACTCTTGAACATTAGACAGTAAACACATAATTAGTTTTCACAGGCGATTAACTCCTCAAATCTTAATTCATCATGGGAGTCTATGAACTGGCATCTCTTCTTTAGGGAAGGGTACAATTTAGGTTATAGTAATGCCAATTAGCAGTTAAGAGAAATGTGCATCATAAGACGTTCTTCCATCGTTTGTTTACAGCCCTATTGAAAATGCTGAGTTGCAGACTAGGGGCAGGTCCATACTATACATTTAAAGGTAAAGGGACCCCTGACCGTTAAGTCCAGTCATGGACGACTCGGGTTGCGGCGCTCATCTCGCTTTATTGGCCGAGGGTGCCGGCGTTCGTTTGCAGACAGCTTCTGGGTTATGTGGCCAGCATGTCTAAGCTGCTTCTGGCAAACCAGAGCAGTGCATGGAAACGCCGTTTACCGGACTTCCGGAGGTGGCGCCAACGGCAATGGCGGAATCCCTCTAATTCGGAGGGAGACTGCTCCACAGAAATTGGGTCTAATACCGCTTCGGCGCAGCGGGGACCCTTTAAACCACAGGCGGGTGAAGCCTGTGACCCTGGGACTCGGCGGGCACTGTTTGCGCCCCCCCAATCTGCAAAGGAACCCGGCAACGGGCTCCGGAACAGTGCGGGAAGTGGCGCTGTGCTGCGAGTCGTCTGCTTCTTTGTGGAGTGAAGCCGCGTAGCTGTTGCCGGAGAGCGCTGCCTTTTTTCCTGGACAATTCGGACTTTAAAACAAATATCCGTGAGTACTCAGAATTTGAACAAATTGGGACAGTAAATGAAGATTAGTGAAAAGGACAGAATTGGACTATTAAAAAAAGAAAAATCGATTGAATTTGGTACGGAGCGGGAAGGGCTAAACAGGAAGTCACCCTTCCGTTCTTTTGTAAATACAACAAAGCAAAGGCAATTTATACTAGAGCTTTGAAAATTGCTTTTAAAAGAGTGGATTCCAACATTTCAAATTGGGAATATTTTTTGGACTATTTGAAGCAGTAAAAGGAAGTTATTTTCGTCCTGATCCTGGAGCGGGGAAGTCAGGACTGACGTGAATCAACCAAGATATCTGTGTGTGACAGATAGTTAAAAGAAGAGAATTTTTGTGACTCTGCTGTTCCCTTTCGCATTTTAAAGGAATATATATGGATAAAGTATTTCAAGTAACATGGAAATGTAACAAAAACAAATATAAGTCTTCTCCCTAGGGGGAGCCTTAGAAACTGTAACTAATGCCAAGGACTTGACAGTTGCTACAAATAATCGTGGGAGAGTGCAACAATGTTTTCAGAAGTTGTGGTCTGCCTGCTTAATAAAACAAATACTCTACTGGAAGAATTACATGATAAGGTGAACCAGATGGCCAAGTCGACTGGAAATCTTAGACAGGCAGTGGAAGGCTTTGATCAAACTGTGGGAATATATGTGGAGTCTATCCAGGACTCAAACCAGGAGTGTGTTTTGACAGAACAGGGGTTTGTGGCATTAAATCAGGAGTGTGGCTTGACAGAACAGTCTCAACAGGAGCTTGATCCTTCGGATTTGATAATGGAACTTGGAAAAAACCAGATATGGGAAGGGAAAGTTTGGTGTGGTTTGGAAATGGGGGGCTGGATTGACCCCCCTATGTTGGGATATCTGGACTTTTTAAATACAGTAACAGGCTGCGACATGTTTGGAATTGTGAGGGCCCACAATTTCGGAGGGCCCTTGAAGTATGCTCTTAAATACTACATGGAATGCAGCGATGAACAGGGAAAAGGATCTGATCTGATGAGAAGGGTTAAAAACACTATTAAGTTGGAGTTACTACGAGCAAGTGACTACAGCCACAAATATGAAGAAAAGCTGCGGAAGGGCCATGGAAGTGACCTGAGGGCCTCGGACATAAGGTCACCGGGTTAGATTGAGGAATAAGGACTGACAAATCCCGAAACCAGGAGGAAGGGACGTTGGATAAAGATTGGACTTGTTTATATGCTTTTTTCTCTTTTCTCGTTTTTTAACTAATAGAATGTTTTATAAAGTTGATGAATGATAGAATGATAGAAAAATGAATGATAGAAAAATGTTGGAAGAAATTACCTGGCTTTAGTAAAGATGTATAAAGAATTATGAAAGAACATTATGAACACAAGAAGCTGGTAAAGTTAAGATCTAAATTTTAAATTTTAAGGTTTATTTTATTATAGAAAGATGGAAAGGATTTGCTGGGATAATTAATAACTAGAATACAAAGGAAGGGAGGAGGAGGAGGTCTAATGTTTTTTCTTCTTTATTATTATTTTTCTTCTGTATTTTCCACTTTCTCATATTTTTATTTTTACTTTTGTATCTTTTTCTCTTTTTTGTGTAAGTTTTTGTATTTTCTATTTTTTGTTTTTGTGTAATTTTTGTTTTTTTTTGAAATCTCAATAAATATCATTAAAAAAAAAAAAAGGAAACGCCGTTTACCTTCCTGCCAGAGTGGTACCTATTTATCTACTTGCACTTTGACGTGCTTTCAAACTGCTAGGTTGGCAGGAGCAGGGACTGAGCAATGGGAGCTCACCCTGTCATGGGGATTCGAACCGCCGACCTTCTGATCAGCAAGCCCTAGGCTTTGTGGTTTAGGCCACAGCGCCACCCGTGTCCCAGACTATACATTTAAAGCATAGTTTAAATATGCTGGTAATAGCAGCACTCTGGCAGGGAAACTATAGTTCCTAAGATTCTTTAGGGGAGGTCACATCCTTTGAATGTGTGTAGGATGTGCTTTAAAAGTATGGTTATGGTGTAGAGCTGCCATGGCTCCCGGCCCCCTTCACACATTACTCAGGGCAATCTTGCGTTGTGTTTAAGGAGCGCTTCCCACTTGACAGTGAAACACTGAATCTCAGGAATGAAGGAAGATCACATTCAGACATGTATCAAAACCAGGTGCAGCAGCTGCATACTTCTTTGTGCCAGAGAAAGGCATGTCCTCCTTTGCTGTCAACAGAGCTGTGTTTTCACTGTTTGAAGAAAAGAGAATAACATCCAAATGCCTGTTTTAACTTTAGAATTACAGCCAAACAAGTCCATATGTGCCTGTTTTTACCCTTTGCTGCTAAGATTTTATCTATTGGCTGTCTCTCCTTTTACCTGCAAAATCAAGCATAATAGTGACCTTGTGTGATGGACAGATTTAAGGAGTCTGTTGCCTAATGGAGCAGACATTGTGGGACAGACTTGTGCCCTGGCTAATCCAAAGAGCTAGTAGGCAACCTTGTCATGTTACTCATCAAGACTCCTGTCTTTGGTTGGAACTACCTATTATGGTGCATCTTAATATCACTCTTTCTGGATTCTGCTTTCCTGACTTCTCTGTGGCCTACCTGAGTAGCAAAACCTCCGCTTCCACCTAGGTGAAAGGTACTGAGATGAAGTTCGTGCGAGAGTTCCTATGTTTCAGTTCATTACGTTAATGGGTATCTTGGAAGTTGGAGTTATCAAATCTCATGTTGTGGGGTGGGAGATGTCGATCAACACAGTATCCTCACCCAAATCTGGAATATATCTTGCCCTAGACATATGGAGCCTAGTTGTGATTGCGCAGTGGGGAGATACTCTGGACATGGCGTAGAGGTCCTTCACATTTCCAGGGCTGAGCCATGGTATTGAAAGTAGGGTCTTCCTGTTTCCGGCAGTGGAAAATGGCTGATCCCACACAATCGGACTTCAGCCGTTCCGATAATTCAGGGCTGATATGGGGGTAATTAGCCCTGGCAGCCTCCCCAGGGCAGGGGAGGACTGTCTCAACGACCCACGGTCTGCCCCAGATTGCCGATGTGGCAGACGGCAGGGGCACTGGGTCACGGAGCTAGGGACGGCTGACACTCCTGCGACGCCACCCCATAGCCGGACGCATCTGTTTGGGAAAATATAAAGATTTGGAAAACAAACAGACACGCTCTGAATTGAAGAAGCTGGAAAAAACCTGCAGTATGTACAGTCTCTGGTGCAAAAGATCGAACTTCAAAGAGATCCTCATCATGACGTTTGGAATGTGGAGGGGCTTGGTATGTAAAAAACATCCTTATCTCCCTAACATCAACAATCCGTAATGCATGCCAAGTCTCATTAAGAACTTAAATTGCTCTTCAAAAAGTGAGTTCAGATGGACTTTCATATATAATTGGGATCTACTCGCAGCCACTTCTCTTCTAAGACCGGAAATGTCTGTTAAAGACGAAAACAAAGGACAAAGGACAAAATGGCGTCTCCCACCACGTCGTTATTGAATATCTGAAATACTTCCCTGATTAAGAGAAACAGGAGCTAACGGATGGTTGGTTATAAAGACTGGAAACAATATTACATATACAACTGTTTGCAAAAAGATTTTTTTTGATTACGAGCGAGAGAGAGGGCTAAATGGATGTCTGGCAGCCCCCCTCTAGGGCCCGGAGGGGGGACTGGGAAGATTCCAAAGGCCAATTGCTAACTGTCTGATATATGGCTACATTGCAAACAGTCTGTTTAAGATAAATCAACAAGGAGGGTACAGAAGGAAATTTCTCTCTGTTTCTTTGATAACACCTGGACGGGAAAGATTAACGATCTGGGAGCTGCCAAAATAACAACTCTCAAAGAGCTGGACAGAACTTTGAAATTGGATGCAATTAAATGAAGCGGTGCGATGAAAAAACAGTGCGATGAAGGAGTACAATATACGGACAAATCTGCACTCCATAGGAAAAAAAAGTATCGGTTTTCTGACATGAATGAGGATCGTAGAACCAGAGTCAAAATGTGGAAGGGAAAAATTGGACATGGAATTATGAATAACATTGAGGATGATGAGAGGCAGGACTATGATGTTGAATGCGCTTCGAAATTCAGACCGTGGGAAGTCAAAACAAAATTATTACAATTTGGAAGACAATTGG